AGGATTTTTTTCTTAGACAACAAGCGTTTGTGCAACACACATGTGAAGCGTTTTGTGAATCACTCGTTCTACCCATTCAGGTCTTGAAAGCACTAATTACCAAGACTTGACTACCGAAAAACCCTGAATCTTAAGGTTTGTTTCACGAATTTGCTCTCAAGTTTTTAACTGAGTAAGGTCAGTCTTCCACCTGATTTGATAGGATTTGAACATTCAAATTACGAGTTATGTAAACGTTATTTAGTATGACATCATATTCATCGTAACTTCTGAGTACTGACTTCAAGACCCTTTTAAATGGGTCTCACCCCCAATACAAGTTTAAATGTGTATTTATTTTATTTCTGTTATTTGTATACTCTGAATAAGTGAATTACATTGAGTCAACAAACATCAGTAACACAATATTTCTATTCATCAAGATAGAACAAAAATATATTTACTGTTAACTACCAAACTATCAAATTCAGACTTGTTATTGATACCCATAAAACCAAGACAAAATTGATCAAGTATGCTTTGATGCAATAAATACACAATAGCAGAGCTTATTCATATCAAGCACGAAACCACTGCTCTTTATAGAACTACGGCGTGTATATAAACAAACAGGTTAACATACATAAAATGTAACTGTACAAAGGGTAAGCGACATTAAACTCGATGTATTCGAATATACTCATCTCCTGTTGCCCATTCTTAGGTTGCACTGGAAATAGATTAGGCATTCGACAGCAGGTCTTCCAGTATTTTATTAACTTTCGCTAAAACAATTTCACGGTGGAAAAAACTGGGTTTACATCGATTTCCTATTGAAGCAAATTAAGCTATATCAAACTAGATCATGTGATCATCAAATGTAAGGTAACTGGTAGTTGTCGTCATTTTGACACATTAATATATACAATTAAAAATACACCAGTGCAAAAAACAAACTCAGCTCCACCAGTTTTATATTTGTCACTTATCGAATGGTCATTCGGATTCTTCGTGGGTGTTGTGGATCTTCCATTCAGTTATACGCAGAGAATGTTATTACCTGATATCTAATGCTCATAATTAGGATGAACGCAAGGCTTAGTTGTATTATTGCTCAAATGAATGATATATTTTCACATTGCTTTTTCTTACTGGAATAATTAATATTTCTGTCAAAACGGCTGCAGCGACTTGAGCCGTCTCATCTATTGATTTACTCCTCGTTTGACTGCTGAACATTCTCATTTTATCGATTGCCTATGTATTGTTTGTCATGTTTTTTGAAACAAAAATATGGTAATGAATCCAGATTTATTGATTAAGAGATATCAGAAACTTGTGCAAGAGGACCAACTACTCAAAGGACGCTCGAATATATCTTGGAAAATTTTTACTGGCATGGCTGTATCATTTGCAAGAGGCTTTGGGAGCTGCGGACCAACTATTTGAAGAAAAGCAATTTTTGAACATGGAGAAATATAAAGACTAGATAGTAGACAAGTACTACCTCATAAAAAAGGTTGCTACGCGATGTTCCACTTATAAGTTGTCTTGACAGATATTACATCTATTGAACGAAAGGAATACGGGATATATGTGTTGTAACGGAAAGAGAGCGATGAAAATCGCTCCGCAGCTTTTTTGTTGGACAGTACTGTCACTTGTCTGTTTCTTCTCCCTGTTGTGTATTTTAACCACACCTTTTGTTCTTCAGTCTTCCTCGTCTGAGCTTTTATTATGTGATTTTGATTAAAGGCTTATCTTTTGTTACTCAATTTTCTATTGCATGTTGCCGGACTATTGACAGTAGGGTCGTGTTTGACTAAGCTCAGGGTCACGGCGTGATTCATTGTGTGACTGTTAACCTTTTGACTGTCTGCTTGGGAAAATTGCTGGAATCCCTGCAGATAGATATTTGATCCCATCTTGTTGGGAATATTTTATTGATTCCCAGGTATTGTACCCTTTAGTATTAACTGTTTCTTTTATTGCTTAACACGGTAATTTGTGTCAGAGAAACATCTGATTGTATAGCACAGGCTGTACCGTTTGAGGTATTTTGTATTTTTGATCTAATTTGTTCTATTTTCTAAGCTAGAACCGTCTAAATTGAGCACAGAGTTTGTGTTTTGATATAATTTAATACGATTGTCTCAAAAGCGCTTTGTAAGCTATACAGAAGAACGTAGTCTGGCCAATTCGAATAAATATTGGTTCGTCAGCCCTGCGTTCAAACCGAATATTTGCAGTTCGGTCGTTACGTGTGTGATAACTGGAAATGCTGGTGTAAGATCCATTTTGAATGCTTTGTGTGTTTGTGAAAATCCCTCCATGTATATACTTGCACTTTGTCCTATTGATCCTCTTAGTTGTTCATTGTTAACATTTTGACTACATTTGAATTGTTAATCTTTGTATTAATTGTGGTTTTCGTTTCTACTACACCTTCACTAATCTCCCGTGTTTCTCCCCGAACTGTACTTATGTTGTTTTACTTCATACTAAGTCTGGGCGGCAGCCATTTTGGTTTGTCCCTGCTTTTGATTGCTTGATCTGTGTTGACTGGAATTGTGCATTTTGGTTATGAATTGAAGCACTCTTCCACAATTGAAAACACTCTGTGTTATAGAGCGACCAATTATTACCTTTTGAACGAGTCTGTACGTGATCTATTCAGACAGGATAAAATAACAGTTATTTGTGGTGATTGATTTCATCAATTGAACAATTAGTGGTTGAATAGCTGAGTGGTTATATTTGTTTAGAACCGTCATCTTATCCAATTACTTTGTTTTGGTTTCAGTCGGGCGAGGGCGCGTATCTAACTCATCCAGACAGCTGTTCTTCACTCCAAACCGTAGTTTGGACCTTACAGCTGGAGCTTACAGTAAAAATCATGCAGCTGTTCACTTGTAATAGCTGAAGTTACATGACTGAAATTTTGCGAATAAAATCCTATCAGAATTGAGACTCCATAGATAAAATAGTCACATACTTTCTTAGTTTACGTGGACATTACTTTTCATGATTTTCCGCATTGAATCATGAATATTTTGCATATTTAAATAGAGTTTTTGCAAGCCTCACTTTCATCCGTTGTTACTAAATAAAAGATCGGAAAGATCCTGAAAGCTTTTGGGACTTAGATCTAGAATCATTATTAGTGTACTTATCCATTGGGTTAGACAAATAGTCCCCTGATGTGACTGCTTAATCTATACAATTTTGTGTTCAACTCATACTGTTGTTAAAAATGTCACGCTCCACCGTGAAGTCGTTTGTAAGAACCCCTGAAAAATACAAGTAAGCTCACCAATGTAGTAACGTATCTAATATAAATATTAAGGAAGTATGTATATTGCTCACGCTTACATGACTGAGTTATGTAATCCCAAGAATGTCGTCATACTGACGCTTACATTAAGCACTGTCACAAATTTTTCAAAGAATAGAGATGCTGTGCTGAGAATAAAATTGAACTAGGAAGAAAATCTTCTTAAGGTACAGTTCAAACTTCTAATAGAACGAGAATCACGACTTTTGGGCAAACGACTTTGACACAAGATTTGTAATTTTGTAGACGATTCCCCTTAATGCTTACTGTGGCAGACTTAGATCTGGCAATACTTGAAATTTATTTATTAGAAAGATACATGTATCTGGTTGATGAGATGAACCGCTATTTAAAGCCCGAAGAGACTCCGAGTTAAACAATAGAAAAACAAAGTTAATTAGTCCCCCAAATCAAATACCGTAAGGTTACAGGAGGGACTCTTGAAATCTTCAATTTTAACGAACGCAAAGCATTAACATTTCATAAGTAGACTAGACTAACTTATACAAAGGAACTGGATGCTCTCATGGGTTTGGAGATAAGTACCGGACAAACTGATGGTCGGTAAGGGTGAAACTATCCATATCCCACAGTTAGACATTATCTGTTTCAGTAATACCTAGTAAGTACCATATCTACATATGGCACCAAAGGAAAATGAAAGTAACTACTTGCTATGTTGCGTGTGTCAGAGAAATTCAATAATTCGGTCTAAATTACAAAAGTCGGTCATGCATGGAGATGTAAAAGGCAATCAACGGTCATTGCCATCCATGCCTCACAGCATATTACACTGAGATAAACAAGCAAAACATACAAAAAATCCTACCTAACATGTGCATTAGAAATAAAGGACAAGATATTCGTTAAATAATGATGGAACTTCTCAGATAAGAAGGTGTGACATAAAAGTGCAGTACAATGGGCACAAATGGTCTGCGAATCAATTGATTAAAAGCGTTACCTCCGAAAACAGAATATATAAACATTCTTATAACTCCGAACTTTTGTGCTAATAGATAGTCTTTATTGAACAGACACCATTCATTATTTTAGGCAGCATTACACTGAAAACTTTGAAAACTATTTGTTTTGAAGGCTTAAAATGCTTTTGGAAAAGGTTCAGAGAACAGCAAACAAGCAGATTGCTGTGTGATGCTCGACTAGAGAAGCCAAACCTATTCCCGTTGTCATATCGAAGAACTGAGACGACGTGGTTATAGTTTTCGAATTGCTTAGTGATAAATGTGAACCTGATCTGCTCTCACCTTTCTTGTCTTCCGAAACAGAGAATTTACGAGGACACTCCAAAAATGTTCACAAGCCCAGAACAAATTACTTATCAGTTGACCATCGACTTTTCCATCGAATCACCGTTGAGTGAGATTCATTACCTCAGCACGCGGTTGAGTCTCCAACCATCGGCTCTTTTAATAGAAAGTTGGATCAACTGAGAGACCATCATTGCCAGGACTAACACTGGCCATCAAGCCTCCTGTCTTTTCCAAACTGAAACTGAACATCAAAAATGTAAACAGTTATCACTAAAATAAATTAACTTGGCCTCTGAAATATCAAATTGCTTCAATTTGAAGACAGTCTGCGGCAGTATCAATTGAATTACTCCAAGTCGGTTGACAGTTGCTGTAGGTTGTTTTAATACATCGAAAATACATTCTTGTATACCTTGGAAAAAAGCTCTATTTTGATTGTTTTCACATGAGCAGGTCAAGAAGTTATCGATTTCCTAAAACGCATATCCATAACTTAGCACTGGTTTTGATTCCGGAGCATGGTGTTCTGAGACTATGTCCGAAGGCACAACTAAATAAAGAAAGGGAGGATAGAGAATCATGTCTTTCTGATAAATTAAGACATCAACCATTAGAGAAAATTTTGGAAGGAGCCAAAATATCGATCAACGAAGTTCTTAAATATGAGTTGAAGGTAAAGCCTAGCTCACGTTGTTGATTTTTAAAGGACAGTGACCTTTTAGATGGTAGACAGTACCATCGTACTTATTTAGTTAGACCTGGTTTGTCGGCCAAAAGGTTCCTCGTTCAGTGGGTACGTCAGTTAAGCGAAGACGAGCTTATCAGAATTTTTAGCAAGAGTGAGTGAGTCTTTTGTATATTTTTACAGTTTCGGTAATTTTAATCGTGTCGTATTTAAACCACAAGGAAATAAAACACACAAAGTCCTCCTAAAAACGTGTGTTGTTCTTGTCAACAGTAGGAGCTGATGTTGTTGAAAGAAACACAAAAATGTTGAGTTATGTTAAGCTAAACATATCTGTTGGAGGTTTTTGGATGCTTAAAACCTGAAGGATAATTTTCGTCGAGATATTTGTTATGATACGATAGAAATGCTATTTGCTTCAAATGACTCACTGAATCTGTCCATGCGTTGATAAATCATGTCGAATTATGCGTGAACACAATAATACGTGTATTTTATCACGGAGAACAGCATTTTTATGCAAAAATGGAGTAAAGTCACTAAATCTGTTAACGGCACTGCCTCGTTACATTTGGAGATAATCTCAAGTAACGCAATTATGACTTTAACGTTTATTGACCCATTAGGATCTGGAGTGGTTTTCAGAAAGCAATCTCCGTCCCTATTGTTTAGCAGAAATATCCAACTATCATTTAATAACCAAGTCTTTATTTCGAAACGAAGTACACACATTTATTTGAAAGACTAATTCTCATCTTGAGAAATTTCATTTCTTGTTTTGAAGGCCGACAAGAAAGACCACATCGAAGTATGCAAACTAAACAACCTGCCTTTACTAACTGCCTGTTGATCTAAACCAACAGGTATTAGGCTAGATAGTGACGAAATTTAGTGCTGTTTAAAACTTTTTGTAAGTTTTGTCCATAAATATTAGATAAGTGTTCATTTATGTTTCGCCTGTGGCTGAAATAATTTATTACGTTATTTAGATTTTGTTGCCGTCGATTACCTATTGTCACTAGTCATGAATTTATAGGTCTTTAGAAAGCACGTTGGTTTTTAATAGCAAATATACGTTACTTGTGCTGATTACTAAACGATACGAACATATGAATAACACAGAGAGGAGCATAATAAGTATCAAAGTAAGTCAGAGATACTATAAACTACTTCCTGTAAAGCTAACTTAATGAATTTAAAAGTCATTTTGTGAACGGTTCTTTAATGTATACTCGTTTCTATTCTGAGAATTCTCGTTTCTTAAGGATTTCTTGTCGTCTTCATTAACATGGCTGCCTAATAAAATAAAGAAGTTTTATCCTTAGGTCAAATGATTTATGGAACTAACTAGATTCTGTAAATTCACATTAAAGCTTTCTATTACATGATTTACAATCATGGATACATTTAAAAAATCAAAAAAGAACTGAGTACTGAACAGTTCGTTAAATTCAAACAGTATCATTTCTGTACGCTCATGTGCTTTGTAAAAAAAGGAAATTGATCAGCTATCTTATGATTGTAAATGTATTTATCCCAGTGCTTTTCTGATCATACCTACCACATACGATGAAGCAGTAGTTAACTGCGTTGTCACAAATATACATTGACTGACAGACAATAAATTATTCTTCTTTCTATTTCCTATTAAAGACTAAAGGAATCCATTTCACCTACATGGATAGTTGTAGTCAGTGCGTTTTAAGTCAGTCAACGGTCAGCTCTTAACGTCAGGTTAACATCTGTTAGTGTCTCTATAACAGTGAATGTATTTCACATATGGAATCAGTCAATAAAGTTACCTGTGATATATTTTTGATTTTCAGTGAGACTTTATGAGTGAAATTGCATTGTAAACTGCAAGTTATGTGGTGAAACCATACTTTTTAATCAATCTATAAGGATAGAAATATAAGCGGGAATGCTTTTTGTGTCATTTTTTAGATGCGTTCTGCTGAAAACAGAACCTCATGTTTACTTACTGTTTGAAACGGAATTTTTTGACTGACATAGATAAAAGAACTGTATAACGTTTTAACCTTATAAAACGTTATTTAAGATGGAGCAAATTTGTGTAAATATGTCAAGTATCTCTTAGTATGTTATAATCGAATGGTGCAAAGTCTAGTAACTAGTCATTATTCATTTTTCTGGTTAACCTAACTAAGACATGCTACCTAATGGGCCCAAACATTCAGCGTATATATAAAATACGCTATAATAAATGACTTTTACGTAGATTAGAAGTAGTTCCTTGAGTCTTGACACATTTGTAGAGTTCCAAATCACTTGTCTGAAAGAATCAATCTGGATTTGAATAGATGAGTCTCTACTATCATTATCAATACAATGGACAGTAGTGTGTAAAGCAAAAATGTCGATAGGATGTTCAAGGTTTAGACTGGGGCAGAATATTGATTACAGCCGCAATTTTGTAGCTGATTATAAAACTAACCAACCAGTATTTCAAGCCGACTATGTCTAATACATAGTGTTTTATAAAGCCTTCAATAACTGTGAATAACTTTTTTAATCACACTTCTGCACAGCTAGTGTTAAAACTTAAGATACAAAGTAGTTTTGAAATTATGAAATATCTCATCATGGTTATTACAGCTTTCTAACGTAATATACTAATTCATTGCCTTAACCTGAGATCTTCATTTTAATATTGACATCAAGAAAACAGCAATTCCTTTCAACATAGTAGTGGCTGAACACCGATAATATTTTGTTTCTATTCAAGTTAAACTCTTAAATTCCATGACAAAATTGTAAAAATGGTTAGACTCGATTGTGTTTACCCTTTAGATTTATTATACTTTCAAATATGGCCTTTTTATCACAATTAACTTTCAGTCAAACGTTTCTGGAGAATTTAAAGAAGGCCTGTAAATGGATGAAACAGATATTCTGTACTGTTTAGTTAATTAAAAACGAAATATTTTATGAGTGAAAAAAGCTAAATCGATTCTTCTCATCATATTTTATCAGCACTATTACTGCTTAAAAGTACAGAAGCTACAAAATCAGAAAGCATAGTTTCGGGATATCAGAATTTTAAGTAAAAGCCTAAAATGAATTTGATTTTGTTTTGTATACCTAAAATACCTTTTTGCGTTCTAGTTTGAGTAAACTTACTGCTACACCAAAATACTCATCAGTATATAGTGTATGATCACGGAGTGTCGATGTAAATATCACTGGCTTTCGTCGAAAGGATCATTTCAAACTATGGACTGTTTCATTGAAACCATAAACCGATCATTGTTTAGTCATCATTGAAACCTAGAAACAATGGATGACCGACTTGCATTAGTATGGGGCTTCTCGGCCATGCTAAACCACCACCCCGCACTCGGGAGTTTAACCCATTACCTTCTGCCTCATGAGCGAACGTTTAACCTCTAGGCCATTGAACCGGGACTCAGCGGTGCTTACGTCTAACTTCAATCAATCCACGGCATTATGCAACCGTCTCCCATTGTCTTCGTTGGGCAATTTCCTCACAGCCGGACTGTTCTCTGAAAACTACCTTTTTGATGATGTCATTGGGTTAACTTGACCTCAACTTTCGTCTGAAAACACTAATTTAGTGACTTTGAGTTAATGGTAGGTTTATTGAAATGATTCTATATCTTAGTACCACTATCCGCCTGTTTTAAACGACAAAAGAAGAACTTTCCCTCAGCTTATCATTCTATAGTAAACCGTGAGGGTAAAAAGGTTATTTTGTATCTAACTTCTCTCCAAATAAAAAAAATTATGAATCGTTTTTTTTTGGCAATGGACTTGAAAAACGCTGAACGCAGTAATAAAAATGAACTATAGACCTTACCAAACATCAACAAACTAGCAAAAAAAGTTTATACCGTTCCAGAAATCCCAGTTGTCTTTGAAATTAAGGTATAGACATTTATTTTATAATCATTAATTAAATATCTTTTAGTAACATGGCATATATATGTGTTGGAGTTAAAAAAAGTGTAAAACTAAGTTAAATGCACTTTTCACCTAAACACAATATAGTTCCGAATGTAAACGTCTTTTATAATGATTATTGTGGTCGATAATTACAAGACCTCGTACGCTGATAAGTGATTTTGATTTTTGACATTTTGTCAATGTTCAAACAACAGATGAAGTAAAGTAGAATAAAAGTACGTCCAAACAAAATGAACACAGTATCATATCAATTAGCTAGTGGTTGCACATCAAACTGGTGAACAAAATCTAATTAGAAGTAAGGACTAGATAAACACCATACTAGTTACTACTGAGTGGTCCGTTAATTTATATTAGATTGTATATATCTGTGATGTTAAAGCTCATATGAAAATGTTGAACAGTTCCTCCATATTGTGAGGAACAATAGTGTTGTGAACGAAGATTTAGGTGGCAAAACCGGTTTATTGTTATGGTGTTTTGATAAAACATGAAAACCTTACATTTAATACTTTGTTTGCACATCTTCCATCAATTGTTTCTTACAATCTTCATCATTCCTTCATTTCTAATTTCATTAGAATTACTGTCTGCTTATATTCCTTTTTTCTTCAATTCGATCTTTTCAACCTTCTGCTACCAGGCATTCCACTTTTGATTGGTGTTACATACTACTTATTCCTGTCAACATAAGGAGTATACGCTACAATAGTATGTGATTAAATTTACAGTTAGAATTATGTAATTACTTTAATACTTTGTCTATTCTTATTACCTAATGAAGCATAAATTTTGACTTTAATTTATACGTGTAATCTTTAAATTAATATTTCATTTAAGTGTCACGGGAGCTACGTTCTATGGTCAACAGAATTTTGAGAACATTTAGGAATTGAACAAAGAATTGATTGCTATTAATTTTTGTTTATTTGGATAAATTCTTTTCAAGAAAAAATATTTAACTAGTTGTTTGATGAAAATGTTTGCAAGAATTAATTGTAATTTTTTCATCTTTTTGTTTCGTTTTACCTGATAGAGGATGCAATTCAACGACGACCGTTGTCTTCGTTTCTAAATTATGGTCATTTGGACGATGTGGATTTCACACTTAATGAAGATATTAAGACTGGACTTAAATTACGTCGTTCTCTAAGTGTTCCAGCAGAAATCTGGTTTACCGAGTCTGATGAAGCAGGTATAAAATATTTCTTGCAAAGGAGTAAAAAAACTAACTTGATGTATTTATTGTTCGGTACAGCAAACAGTTAAATTTATAATTGTGAGAGAAGTTTAGTAATCAGTTATCCAATCCTTCTTCGTTTCTCATGATTCCATAGCTGGCGTCAATTCTTGCCATAAATTACTCCTAAAATGTTCAATTCAGATAGCTGCATGAACTTTTCTCATTATATACACGTACATGTATATCCTACAATTAAAAATTAACTAAATGAATTTTAAAGTATACAAAAATCAAAATGTTAACATACAGACTAATCCTGTGCCCATAGATATAAACTAATTGCTTTTATCAGTATAAAATTGTGGAGATTTTTGAGTTTTAATTGAGATCATGAAACTAATAATGTTTGACCACCACTGAGGGGTCCCATAATAGGAAGAAACAGCCATCCGGTGCTTCCAGGTTTTCAATGATGGTCTAACATTGATAAGTTCATGATCTCAATTAATTGTTTTTTCGTTTAAAGACTTATTCTTTATTACATGTATATTTTGCAAGCGTTCTCTACCCCCTTTTTCTGTCCTCCATAAAAATGACAAATAATGAAGTTAATCAGAAAAAAATTTACCAAATTCTTAAATGACATTTATCAAGTTATTCATTTGTACAATCTTAATTCACATTCTATTTCAGTTTAGACAAGTTATTGGTTTTCTAGTTTACCGATCAGTAATATTGAAAAGAAATCAATGAAATTATTCTAATATTCAAGTACTTTTTCAATCGATGATAGACAGATTAATAAGGTATTTTAACTCATCTTTACTAAACGAAAGTACCAAGTAACGTATAGTCAATTTTAAGTGATCTGATTCGTTTCTTTATACTCTAAGCCTTTTAAGTGCATATGTAATCTATATATGACTTACAAAGTGAAAGCACTTTTGACTATGAATAAACGCTCAGTGGATACAATATATACTGTTTAGCAAAAACGTATAACTAATAAAAGTTTAAGGTTTGTGGTTTATAATCAACCATGTTGAATAGTGTTTCTTGTGACTAAATTCAATATTCTATCTTCTAAATTCGTTTTCACTGTTTATTGACTGCGGATAATCTGAGAATAGTATGTGGCATAAATCATTTTCAAATTATACGGAATATTCACTATTCATCTTAATAGATAAAAACGTCAAGGTGAATCTCTCGAAATAATAGTAAAAAAACCGTGTCTTGTGAGATCATCAATCTTAAGGGTGAAGTATTGATTTATAAATGTTATGGAACAAGGGATTTCACTTTATCACATATATTGGTTGAAGTTGAAAATATAGAAAACTGGATGCTAGCTGAGTGGTTAAACAAAAGTTTACTTATTGGGAGATCAATTTCCCTACTGTTCGATAGCATGTAAAGTTGCGAGTCCACATGAATGTAGTCTGTCGAAATAGGACGCAATCGCTATTATTTGATGTTTAATAATTATCTGGTTGAAAACACTTTGTCGTAAATGTTGCCTTATAGTTATAAGAAATCTCCGCAAAATTAAATAATCTAAAGAACTATCAGTCATGTTTATTCTTTCTAAATGATATGTACACTGATTATTAAGTATGATCAGGTTGATTCAAGATGGATGCATATCTAAAGTTTAAATCACAAGCTGATCTTAGCACGAATAATGTTGAAAATCTAGAAACAGTAAACGGCCGTTTCGTCTTGGTATGGGATCCTCGATCCCTCCATTAGTGGTCGAACCCAGGACCTTCAGTCTTTCATGCAAACGCTTGACCTCAGGACCAATGAGCCGAGATGCAGCTGCGTACACGTCTAACTTCAGTCTATTCACGATATTGTGAAACCCTCATCCATTGCCTGTAGTGCTTAGTTATGAGAAGCCATGTCTAGTGGAGTTCAATCCATGTCGGATGTGAGACAGTTATCCGCCACATGCAATAGGTTAAACAGTATCGTGAATCAGTTAAGGCTAGAAATTAATACTATTGGATCCCGAGTCAATAGTTTTCAGGTTAAGCGTTCGCGCGCGATACTCACGTACTAGACCGTGAATACACACTTTGATACTAGTTCAAAACGGCCGTTCAATGCTTTTAGGTTCTCAGTGATGGCCTAGCTAAGATCAGCTTATGATTTAAGCTTTGAAAAATCATGTTTATTTTAAGTCTTAGTTTAAATGAAGGATCAAGTCCTGGTTTAGTCAATCTAGAAATATGGTCTAAAGTACGATTACCCCCAAAGTATATGAAGAAGAAAGCACCAAACGACACACTGACACATCCTCAATGTGAACACTACTCCAAGGAAAAGTATTATGTTCTAGTACTCTCGAACATGTACTTCTTACAATAAAATACATGAATCCATTCCGGAAGTCGGCTAGACTTAGATGCTTGATCTACTAAACTATTGGATTATCTGAGCACATAATCTATTACGGAAAGAAACCTGAATAACTCCTTGCCATTTGAGATGAATTCTGAATCCGCATAAGAATCACCAAAATGAATCCATCCATATTTAATCACTGATGACTAAACTATGCCCACAATTAAAATTTCCTCTCATAGAAAAACATATAGAGTGAAGATTTTGAGTTAAATTATACATACAATCATATATTCTTTCGTTGCCAATTTATAGGTTTTAACAGGCACTCTTTTTTATTAAAGTATCATTGCAATCAAGTCATGAAATTGAACTTTAAATGAAGGGTAAATAGATTTTTAGGTTTAAAAATCGCACAATTTATATCTAAATTACTAATACTCTTTTTAGTGTTCTGATTAACAACATGGTGTTTCTTTCAAACATTAGATGATATAGAAGATGTTTCCCCCGAGTATTTATTCGAGTCTGTTGTCCCGCCAAACAGTACACAACCAACTGATTATTCATTTTGTATGGAACCACAAAACCTTAGATACGAGACAACTCATTCTCTCGATGAACTGATTAGCGATGTAAATGAAAATGAATTGTTAGCATTCAGGTGAGTTAAGCGACCAAGTTTAGATATTTTCCCACTGGTACTCACGTTATTTTATGATTCACTTGAAGTTGGAGATATGAATAATCTAATCTTATTTAGTGATTTAAAGATAATATGCTTGAATTACTTAGTTTTGGATTTCGGTGAAAGTGAATGAGCATTTATGAGGAGCAGCAAACTAGAATGAAACAATTATCCAATGCTTCTTGGTCTATCTATCCAGCTTTTTAAATCCATTTCTCTACTTGGTCATACAACTCGAATAAGTTTTATTTACTTTACCACTCATATTAATTTAGTAAGATGTGTAATTTTTACGATTCATTACTTAATCTCTCATAAAATAAATTTGAATAATTTCCTTTGAAAGTTTCAATAAAGATCCTAAGATTTCTTTTTTAAAGAGATCTATTATAAACTGAAAATCTATGTTCCTCTCTAATATACTTTACTCTTCCATGATTAGCTGCTTAAACTTTTAATGTTATAGTTATGTACTAGTTAAATGATGGTTTTGACTTCTGAAAGAAAAAAATAATAAGAGCTCTCTTGTTACAGAGTTGCCATTTTACTTTCTTTTATTAAAGTATATTGAGGTTAAATATAGTTAAAGTGTTGAGTTCATAATTCCTACAAAAAACCACACAACTCTTAATGTAAAAACTAAGAGCTAATCGAAATTTACATCTTGATAAGTAATAAGTTCACTAATGTTCTTTTGATTACAATTGAACACTTTTTTTTCTTTCTTATCAATTCTAATCTCATTATTCAGTTCTTATGATCCAGATCAATTTATTCAAACACAGAATACTGATAACAATAATACAATTGAAAATGAAAAACACATTAATTTAAATATAACTAAACAGAATCAAGAAAATTCAGTAGTAAATATAAATAAAGATAAACTGATCAGTTCAGAGATAAAAGATGAAATTCAATATTCAAAGGATAACATTGTCAATGAAATTCCTACAACAATAATTAAAGTAGGTTTATTGGGGGAAGAAAATGCTGATAAGTATCCATTTATTATTATTTTTATTTATCTATTGTTTTTAACTATTGAGTTGTTTAGTTGTAAATGAAAGTTGTTTTTTCTTCTCCACAAAATTCAATTCAGCTAATGAATGAAACTTCAATAAGTTAGTTATAAAGTAATGATCAACACTAATAATAACATGCATATGAGCTACAAATTTTCTCATTCACTTCATCGATCATTATATGTTAGCCTTTTAAGAGAGATTGATAAAAGAATTAAAATCTTTTGGTAATAGACAAGATATAAATAGTTGTGCAATAAATTACTGTGTATGTGATTCTATAGGAAAATGATCTGTATCGAAATCATGAACTGATCAATGTTAGGTTACCATTGAAAACTTAGAAGCAATGAACGGTCGTTTCGTCCTAGTATGGGACTCCTCAGCTGTGCTAATGCACGATCCCTCATTCGGAAATCGAAACCTGGTTCTTCAGTCTTGGGCACTAATGTTTAACCTCAAAACCACTTGGCCAGGATCCAGAGTTGTTAATATGTAACCTCAATCAATCCATGATATGTCGAAATTATCTGCAAACTTACTGAAATTAATCTTAGGTGAATAATTTGTTCCAAATTATGACCAATGTGCGTTTGGAGTCAACCTTTTTGTCTCGAAGTAACTTAAAATAGCAATCCTGTACATAAAATTTGGAGAAATGACAACTCTTTAATCATGAATTCGTACCCAGCAGTTTTACAATGCATTTTTGGTATGCAATATTGTTTAAATATTTATTTTATAAACTAGTTCATCTAGAGTACGAATGAAATTAAGAAAATACTAAACATTTGTTTCATCATTGTATGAGATTTTATAGTGGGCGTACTCATGAATATGTACTTAATTAACCCGGGAATTAAACAGTAACTCACCAATAGCATTGCAAGAAGATCTCACTATATCATCAAAACTGACTAGAAATTTCAGATACACATCTCTGACGAGGACTAATCAATCTGAAATGTAAGTCCTATTGTACTTGTCAAATACATCCAACTATCACACAATAATTCTCAAATATCTTAAAGCATTTCGAATTTTGTTTATCAGCTGAATGATAAAAACATTTAAAATCAAGTGTTTTTTAGTTAATTAACTGGGCTTTCTCATCAATTGTTAAAGTTGAATTCCAAAACTAATCGGATTAGCCAACTAATAATCACTTTTACTAGTTGTTACCAGGTACCGGTTTATTGAAGTGTTCTTTTAATTACTTACTGGTTTTCCTGCGTATTTTGTGCTCGTGTTCAGAGTGATTCAAATGTTGTCAATGAGTCACCCATGTTTGATGATGACAATGTATTTTTGAATGGATCCAATGATGATGATGATGCAAACAATGAAATTCGTATAGAATATGACGATTATCAATATGAAACGGAAAGGAATCGAAATGGATCGATCGAACAAGAAGAAAATATTCCTTTTAATATAAATGAAGAAGAAAATGGTGATCATATTCCGCCTAGAAAAAATTGCACACTAAAATCATTCGAATTATCTGTTTCCCCTTCACATGTTACAATTTCAAAACTTCCAGCATTATCAAGAAATAAAACGTTACCGATTATAAAAAGAAAATCTAAGTGAGTGTATAAATAACTTTTTCTTTATAAGTTTTTTACTGAATAAATACAAAATAAGTAGTATATAGTAGAGGTCTAAATATTCATAGTGCATTGTAAGCTGCGAGTGGGATGAGTGGTCAATTTTTCATTAAAAAAAATTTGTATCGAATTATTGAATAAAGTATTTAGCGGTCAAGTAAAAACGTGACCGGTCGAGCTAATCTGTGTCAGGTAGAAACAGTTGTCTACCTCAGTACAAAGAAAGATGGTTGCGCAACTTTGTGGGTTGGTTGAGGTTAGACATTAACACTATTGGATGCCAGCTAAGTGGTCTAGTAGGTTAAGCGTTCACGCGTCATGGGTTCGGATCCCACGGACGGGATTATGGATGCGCACTGCTGAGGAGTCCCACAATAGGACGAAATGGCCGTCCAGAGCTTTCACGTTGCCAACGGTGGTCTAACATCAATCGGCTCATGATCTCAATCAAAACTTAACGATCTCCACAACCCATATACTGATAAATAAAAACGTGTTGAAATAATCAGCGTAGTATCAAAATAGATAAATGCAAATTCGCTGATTAACTAGTATATCGATAAAATGAAACACTTGTAAAATATTCCTTTAGCATCCTAATCATAATGCTTGATTATTTTAAGTGTTTTAAGTAAATTAACAAGGGTTTATACTTGTTGTTGTGTTTATCTGCGTTTTTTGTGATGATTAGTATTTGAGTTAGATTGTTTAAAAGCATCAATCAACACATTTAATGATATTGCTTAAACATTGTTTGAAATATTAGTAGTAGCAATTAAAAGGTCTTGTTTTACATTCGATTTACAATAAAACAATGAAACTTAGTGAAACCCAGAAAACTTAAAGTAACCTGAGAATAAACATTTGTTCAAGATTACGTAATTGTATTTATCATCAAAAGATCCTAAAATATCTCTAGCTGCAACCTAGAAATGCAACTCATTTACACTTAACCACTATGGAACACAGATTAAATAACTAATCGTTAAACTTATGACAGAAGTTAAAACTGATGAATTGATTGGTCGTACCAGATCAAACTCAACCAACTAACAACACGTGCAGGGTACCGTGATGAATGGTCCCTAAGACTGGTAGCCATATTGCAACTTGATCAATAGAACTGAATCAGCACTATAGATTAGTCAAGTAAACATCGGTTAATACTGATTTGTCAATAAGCGTATTTGATTCATTCTTATAGGATCTTATTAAACAGTTATAATTATTGATTGGAAACATCTGTTTTAACTGTAGTACTAGGAAATAAGCGTTTTTATCTCATGGTACGCATCATGTTTCAAAATATTTCATATACACCTTGCTGACGAGTGTGAACTATTGTGGAACCTGTAAACCTATTGATTTCAACCTCACTGTGATTTGAAATCTATTGAATAAAGCTTACATGGATCATGGTACTTGGGAAACGTTCATGACACAGTAGCACTGTTATTTGACCTTATATGATTGAAATTAAACGATAAAGAGTATATCGTCAAGAAATACTAAATAAAAACAGAACACAAGTTATAATATTCTTCAATATAACTATAATATATTTTCTTTAGAAACAACATGAATGTATCTGAATTTATTTCTTATATTGTTAGAAAAACATCTTGTATTGATTCGAATCAAGTTCATGTACGTGGAAAGAGATTTAAATCGGACAGTGATTCTACGATATTAGAAGAATCTACACTGAAATTGCCACCAATAATTTCAAAATATCCAAGTCAACAATCATTTATTAAAATGAATGAAAGCGACGAGAAAGGAAACGACAAATTAAAACAAAATTCTAGTGATAATAATAATATGAACAATAATGATGTTGATGATGACTATGATAATGGAAGTGAAGAAAATGTAATCACTGGTATTGAACATAGTTTATCGTTTAATACACCAGTTAAAGTTTCAATGGAATCTGTCGACAAATTACCATTTATAACGGGTAATTCGTATACACTTATTATCAATATTCTTTTAGATTTTGTTCCTAATATCCAATATTTCTAACAAAATCGATCAATCATACAACTCTTTACTTTCCCAAGTATTTAATATGAACATGAGCTGGTCAAATAAAGGATTGAAAATATCTTTTATTAAAACCCATGTGATTATAAAAGTCAATTGTGTGAGCACAAGCACTACTCCTATTAAGTACATTTTTACACAAACCTGAGTAACAGATTTGTAGATGAATTTATTTATTTAGACTGTAATTTACATGCCGTTAAAGACATGTAAGTAATTAATAGGTAGAAAGTAGTTTTTGAAAATGTCACAAAACAACTATGTGTAAGAAATGTTTAGTTTTCCTACTGTTGATATTTAGGACTGCAATCAATCAGTCTCTTTTGGTATATTTAAATCATGAGTGAATTACCTTGGTATAGCTAATTATTCAAAAGTTTTTGTTTATACTGGATGGTGGTTGGTAGTGGAATCTAGGATGTGCGTCCCATCCTATACGGGCATCGTAAGCGGGATGCATCTACCTTTCGCTTGAAACCTTAACTCGTTGTCCACTGAAGTGCCTAGTCTAGATAGTCTCTTAAAGCGAAAGTTACTGAATTCAGTATTAACATCACAAGAATTCATTAATCTCATATTTTTACTACAACAAATAATGTTCTTAATTGATAAGCTTTGTGATTACTTAATGATTAAACTGTTACAGCAGTAACGAAGTGAATTCCCTGAGTAATATAAATTGGAAATCAAAACTGATTATTTTGTTTTAGGACATTGTATCCTATTAAGTTATATGAATATGAACTGATATACAAAGTACAAGAATTTCTACTCAGTAATTCATTATGTTTGAGGTAACATGATATAACTGAGAGTGTACTTGTAATAAATAATAATTTGTTAACTTCTGTTTCAAATTAAATCTACTTTAGAACGAGGGAATGTAATTATGGTTTCTTACTATGTCATTTTCGCTATATGATGAGAGAAAAGCATTTCTTCATCAGTTCTAAACGATTTAAGCTCTAATTGAAGATACAAGATGAATACTTACAGTGATTACTTTTGAATTTTCTGCTACAAATTCCGACGTCACTTTTCTGATGTTTGCAATCACACTGCAATAATATTTCAAAGACCGAACAATAATGAATATTAATACCAACTTCCATAGTCACATCCAGAATAAATACTTCCTATATCCCATTATAATTTTTGTTTGCATCTATAAATAAAACTGTAACGTGAAATTTATGAAACAAATTATTTGTAGATTTATAGCTGCCTTGAAAAAGATTAGTCCCAAAGAAATGATAACATGAAATCCAGAAACCAATTATAAGTTAATTGAGGTGTAAGACGCTACCTATTTGACAATGACTTGAAAGTTATGAAAAAACACACGTTAGATTTCTTTAATCATTCTCTGCTAACAACAAATACATATTGCTCATATTCAACCACAGTCTATTAGTACGTGTGGCGATGGCTAATTAAGTAGCAGATTGAAATCGGTCTAAGGACACTAAAACCATGACATGGCATCAGTATATATAAAGTCATATCAAGTCATGTATACTCTCTGATTAATTTCTGTGTGATAACCATCATATACTGATAAAGACCTTATAAGTCTTGATTGAAAATAGGTTACCGTTATACACATGCTTTCTATTATCTTTAACTCAATTTTTAATTTTTGATGATTTCATACTTTATTCATTTCTTTTTGAACTGTATTTTCTGTGTTTACTCTTTTACTATAACTGACACATTGATTATTTTGACTCGTATACTTTTCTACTTGTTAATTCCCACACGAATATAAAATGTAATTGCTCCAACCAATACACGTTGATTTCAGTTTATACGTTGGATACAAATAACTGTTCAAACTAAACAGTTAAAACTCGAGACTAATTTGTTGTCTACTTCTAAGTATCCAACATTGAATATAGAATGTCATTATTAAGTCATTTCATTCCCGGTGCCTAAATCAAAGTCGTTGAAATCTCTCTAGTGATTAGCTATCAACTTTACGTTACAATATACACTTTCAAATCGATTTTTTTCTCCCCATATATTAAGAATTGGTTAAGTAACGTTGGCTATTATACCATATGTATTACACATGTATAGTGTCATTATTATGACAATGTGATTCACAACCAACACTTTTTCTCTCTCCCTAGATTCCAATGAAAATAAAATTACAATGCCAACGTTAAATATTTTTAATCACGATGCGCATTCCGACGATTGTGCTCGTCTTGATGACGATTTGAACAGCCCATTGAAAAATGACGATGATAACATTTTACTAAGACCAGACAATTCTGCGAATGATAAACGACACAGTATTATTATTAATCTTGAACCAATCCTTCCAATAATTGAAACCAACAATAACTCAATGGTGTTTGAAACATTCAGAAAAAAATCTATCCCACTGCCATTTTCCAAACCGAAGGGTTATTGGCCTAATAAAACGGCACGTATTGACAAAGATGTACAATTTGCTTTTGTTCCAATAAATCAATCTGATGTACCACTGAATTCAGCAAATGAACCAACTGGGAGAAGACCGACTGAGTTGAAATGTATGTTTTCATTGTTCAGATGTATACGTATATAATACTTAGATTTACTAAAATGTTCTCCATTTACCGACATCACTTCCTGCAGATTGGTTAGAGAGTCAGTTGGCAAACTAGTTGTAGCCCAAATGAGCCAATGGTAGTGACTCTGATCATGACGCTTGAAGGGCCCCAATCATTTTGCTTAAAATTACAAATTTTTCCTGATGAGCGTCAGCTAATAGGAAGTTTAAATTTAGAACATCTTATAGATTCCCTTCAGCCGTCTGACATCAGATAAAGTGAACTACCATATGAATTTTCTAAGACATGTAGCCACATGGAGAATTGATTAGCAGAATTCGATCAGCATTAAGTACTGAATATTGAAAGCGGTTACTACTAATTGATAAGTTATGTAGTGATTGCAGATAGTCGACACGAAACATTAGACCTAGGCTTCGGGCTATTTGGCACTCGTCAGCAAGGTGTACGTGTTTTTGATGGAGTTTTGTTCTCTGAGATGGATGGTTTGGTCGTGGAGCTTTCGTCTTTCTTCTAAGCGACACCATCACAAACTTCAGGTAGAAGTGAAGTGTCCGAATTTCTCCACATGTGGCTCACAGCTTTTCCTGTACACCTCGATGTTGATTGGTTCTTGTTGACCTTAAACCTGTGATTTTTTACTTCTTTGTTCTGGTTGTCTTCCATTGGTTTGATTTTTGTTCCTATATTTGTGCATAATTTTCCTGATCCAGCTCAGAGAACATAACTCCATGAAAATCACCCACCTGGGCTAAAAATCTCCACCATCTCAAGGTGTACGTGTATTCTTGAGAGAACTAAATGCTGCCTGTTAGATTAGGCCGTGCTTCGCAAACAGAGAAGTTACTACTGATCCATACAAGACACGAATGACTTCCTGTAGAACTAAGATGAATCTTCAGATGGCTCATCACTGGTTAGTGATCGATATTATGTTTGTCCGGTCCTTCTTAGTGCAGATCCACTATCTTGAACCAACTACCTACCACCACCTCACATCGCAACCTAGTGTACGCGATGTCGAGCCACCCAGACAAATCAACACATTGCAAATTAGTCGATAGAATTCGGTCTGCAGTTAGAAGAAACTGACATACATGATACTGGTCACTACCTAGTGACCAACCAATTGTAAATATTTGAAAGTTAATTCATCAAATGATATATAAACTTCTCTTCTCTTTTTGAACTTTCAGCTGAACGTTCAACTATCAGAAAGCAACCGATTGGTCAAATATCACAAACAAATTCCGATAGTTTAGGATTAACAGTGATAGATTCATTAAAAAAAGTACAAAAGGGTATTAAAGACAATGTTCCAATGCACAATCCACCACTAAAAAGACGTAATTATGGTTTAAATGTATTTTTCTGAATATATATTCCTTGTATGCAGAATCAATCTTATGATATTCTTACAGATTATATGTGTATGATATGAAGTAACGTATTCACATAAATATTTGTGCTGATCTAATAGTAGGGAGTTGCTTTTTAAAATTAGTACACTGTGGATTTACACTGATCAATTACTTCATTTGGTATGACAAAGAATATCAGGGAGCAGTTTTCGCGGGACAGTAACTACTGCTGACATTATTGTCTGTCGACAATATGATCTTAATGTTAATGGTGCTGGAGTTTACACATGGAATAAAACAGAACCATTTTCATCGATTCTATAGAAAATCTGAGATCAAAGTTCTTGGTTAAACTTTTCATTGCTGATTTCACAGTGACTTATAAACATAAAAAGATTATTAAACATTTCTCAATGCTTGCGATGATAAATATTTATAATGATGTCGAATTATTTATATTTAAACTTCATTTTACTGCAGACCATAATTCAGTAGTATCGAAAATCTTTATTCATCTGATCAATGTGACAAAAGCTATTTATCTTATAAGTTTTCACTCTTGTCTCGATGTTTGAACACGTTCTTCTAATTTCATGTGTAATTTTACCATAATGACTCACTTTTTTGTGTGTTGTACATGATCAATTCGCTTTCACTTGTATCTCAGCAGTCATAATTTGTTTTCTAGTTTACAGAGCTCACTGTCATATCTAGCATTCACCTTTGGACGAGATCCGATTTCCTGTTAATGATTCTAACTTACACATGCAGATCTAATCATTGAGATCACTTGGTATTGTTTACTTGAATCGTCCCATTGATATTTGTGACTGCAATTGGTCAGTCTCTTATCAGCATATATGCATACTGTGCATATTGCCTCGACATTGCTAGGTGGATAACGTGATGGCTTTTGAAGTCAACAGTACTGGGTCCGAGTCCCAGAGCGAACATCAGCCCTGAGATGCAGGTACATCCGGCCGACGAGCCTCAAGTAGGACGAAACACGCGTCCCGGATTCCACTGCTAGCCACCATCCATCTTTGCTAACCATTGAGAGTTGTAAATTTCCAGTGATCGTTACAAATACGACTGTGGAATACCGCTGTAGGTATTTCTCACTAAACAATCTTACTAATAAAGATGTTTAGCTTAAATAATGGACTGAACTTAATTTGATACCCATTGAAAATCAGCTAGCACTGGACAGCTGTTTCCCTCCTAGGTTACTAATGCTCATCAATGAACCTGGTAGAAATGTTGCTGCGAGTCCCTTATTTTTAGACCACTGAATAGGGATCTAGTAGTTTGCATCTATAGTCTCAATCAGCTCGGGATACAATTGCTTGTAATGTAAAACCATGATTTATGGCAGGCTTTGTAATTAAAGAATATACGTTAGTGTTCATAGTAGTTGACCTGGCTTTTAAGTTATCCGTTAATGTAGTTCAGTAAAGCTGGTTTATGAGCATCACAAACATATATATATATATATATATATATATATATATATATATATATATATATATATATATATATATATATATATATATACTTCTTCTCCATGTCAAGTATTGCTTTAAGTTGGAAATGTGCATTAGTGGATTCAGACTCACTGGTACACATCTAAAATTCTGGCTACAAGTTCCAGGGTTTTTAGTTCGACTCCTAGAAATTCCATCGGTGCCGTTTCACAGAATTTCCAAGCTAGGACAAAACAGCCATTCGTGAATCCTATTTTTTCACCGGCTATGTTACTTTTATAGTCACAGTGGATAGTATAAATACTAAAGAGAATTTATTCAATATCGATACCATATTGTTGATGTTCGTCACAGACTAACCATAGTTGGTGGGCTACTGAAAACCAAGAAATATTGAATAATTGCTTCATTTCAGTAAATGGTTTCTCAGCATTATTCAACCTTCGCCTTGCAAGAGACCTAATAAACGATCTTCCTATGTTGTACATTTCTGATATCAACCAATTCATAATATATATTGTTGATCGTACGATACACTCGGTAACGATTATTTCACTCGCTGAAAAATTCCTATTATATCGAAAACATGGTTATGAATGACATGGCTCAAAATTGTTTGCAATGGCGCAGGTGCATCCACTCTTTGTGTTCTCCCTAATTTTAATCTTCTGAAATCTTCATGTCCCTTTTTTTCTCTCTTCAACTTTATTTCACTGGACGATACTCCTTGACTAACATCTTCAAACCCTAATCTTTCCGATGACTACTTATGCTTTTACTACCTCTACCACTATGGGACTTGAATCGACAATTGTATCTGTGTGATAATGTGGTATGGTAACTCGAACTGATTTACGTACGTCCGTAGTTCTACGTTGTTACTGACTGACTGATATATTCTTCCATTAAACATTAGATCGGATTTGTATTTGCACTTTTATTTCTCTCACGCTAGTTGACCCATATTTATTCAGTCTTCAGTAGTAAGAATAGGAGGTCAACCAACCTATATTAATCCTTGCAATTTTTAGTACTATAAAGATTCAATCTCGCTTTGAATATGTTGACAGAAGGGGCTGATATTACGTGTTCTGGTAGAGAATTCCAGTAATTTACTACTCGGTGCAAGAAACGGGATTCTAGATGTAAATTATATGATCTCGGTTTTTGAACTTTTTAGAATGTCCTATCATATGACCACTCTTAAATGGAAGGAACACATAACGCATATTAATACCAATTTCGTCGCTTAGTATTCTGATTTTTAATTTAAGTTTCATTGAACCAATAAACTTATTCAAGTTAACACGCCATATCATCTCAATACTAACAATCCTGTCATTTTACTAACAATAATGAATTCATATGCTGCAATTGTAAACGATGTATTTTGCATTAAACCAGGTCATTTTCTTTGGATTATCTTACTACCAACCTGTATAAATTCCATTGGTCATGGTTTTTGATTTGAAATTCATAAAGCCGTTCTGTGGTTAACCAACAATAACGGACTATATAACTTGAATGGGGTAGTTTTGTGGATATGATTTTATTTCAGTTACTAGTAAAATGCCAATAAACTGTTCGATAGTAGTCCATTCAATTGAAAATCCTTCAAAAATGACTTCCATATATGCTTAGTTCAATAGTTCAGTAGAATCCACGTTGGCTATACTTATTCTTTTCTTTTTTTAGACATAAAACCGCGACCTAATCCTGATGATTTTTGTATGACGATGTGGAGTTATCAAGAAATAAAACACGAAGAAGGTAATTCATTTCATGTAAAAAGCAACATACATTTAAGGTTATTTTTCTCCTCTAAAAATTACATAGATAATGAAATACTGGCCAATTGTTTTCAAAATGAATCCATAAGAAATTAGTAATTTCTTGAAAAAAATGAAAATCCATTCCTAATGTTGTATCTCCTCATTTCTGTAACTATTTGATTGGTCCTTCTAGTCCCCTGCATTGTCTAAGCATTCCATGTACCTATATTAATTGTTGCTCTGGTTGTTAGACGAGGCATCAGCCTCGTAACTTCTGAAGAATATCAGCTTTCATCATGAGGTGTCGTTATTCTTCTGAATGAAGATCCTTGAACTCCCAGGACCCAGTTTATATGGTTTAAATTGTTTATTATCGTTAGCGTTTTTTTAGCAAGGTTGTTTTCTACAGGATGGGGTTGCTGACTCCATACTCAATCCTCCTCTTTTGCCTGGTCTTGAAACCGACAGTAATCCTAGAAGAGCTACAGGTCAACTTCACTGCTTCTCTCTAAATAGAAAGTTATTATCATTAGACTAAAAAACAACATTCTATATACAAATATAGTTTTATATAGTCATGAAGATATAAACTCGAGAAGCAGTGACTAGTGAGGTTAATTATATCTCGAGTAATGTGAATCGAAGTAGAATACTAAAGAAACCTATGTTTTCTCAAATAATATTTCATATGTTGAATAAATGTCTATCTTTCTTCTTGATTTACAGTTCCACTTCCTGAATTACTCGAAATCCTTCTATCAGGGAAATCAGATTTAATTTCAAAAAGAGTTTTTGGTGAAATTCAACCACATCGTAATTTAGCGCAAGAATTAAGAGTAAGCTAGTTTTATTTAACATGTTTTACTAACAAACATTGGGTCATACTTCGTGTTAGGCATAAACAATTGGTGTATTTATGAAGTTGACAGTTTTTAGAAAGTAAATATTTGGAGGACAGTTTAAATTACAAACTATTATTAGTCATTTACTAAGGCTAGCCGTGAAAAAAATCTGAGTAGCTTAATGGAAGGTTTCATCACTTACAACCTGGGATCAGCGGGCTAGTGTTCCAGCCCTAATGTGGAAGTTCTAAACAAAGTACACTGACGAGCCAACATAGGATGTAGTACAGGACCTTCGGGTTTCATCGGGTGTACAGTATCTTTAAACCGATGAAAATACAGTCAAAACTTTGGGATAATATTTGTTGTACCTTAAACTGTCCACTAGTTCATGATTGAAGTTTTACAGAGTGAAACCTAAGATGTCAATATTCATATTGTTTTATTTCATCGAAAAAAGGCACAAGTCAAGAAGACATTACTTATTTATTAGGTTTAAACTTCTCTTTCTACCTTCATATATTATCAGCGTTGATGATAGTACAATTTATTGAATGTATTCATTACAACCTGATCTAATTTTATGAATTTCTTTGATTTCGCTTATTTATATTGTATTTCTAGACTGCTATCGAGACAATTTATCGTGTCTTACCAAAATCGCATGCATTTGGTAGTATAGCTAATTTAATTGGAATACGACCAGGTTATAAACTAGAAACACAAATATTAAAACATGGTTATACACAAAAAGAATACAAAAATATACTTATTAAAACACTTAGAGATGCATGTAAGTATTGTAATGATAATAATAATAGAGAAATTCTGTTGATTTCTTCTACGCACTATTTGTAACGTACACACTAAGTAAAAATATCTATATGGTATATTATTGTCTATTTTCTTTACTGACGAAAATCTTATAGGATACATCATCATTACTAACGACGTCATGTTTTATTGTTGAAAGTTATTATTATACTCCAATAAAGAAAAGTTAAGTAAGGAAAACGATCATATCAGAAATCACTTTGAATTGTCTTAATAACTTTGATCGAGTGAATCAATGTTTTAATAAATCTTTTGTTCACTGTTGATAAAAAACATTCGATTCAATTTGACTGTTATATAAAAGTCAGTTTAATGTTGAGTGAATAAGAAAAACGCATTTTAACAAGAGAGACTTTTTAATACCAAGTGTAGGTTTGTGCATATGCCTTTATGTTGGATCGATGACAGAAAAGTTACTGATACAATTGATTTGTCCAAACATAAGTGAGTCAGGTGTGGTTTGTTTATTATCATTATTTATTTAAACACATAAATATAGGTACAAGAAGGTTTCAAATAGACATGCGCGACATGAATCATTCGTTTTGTTTGAGGGCCAGGATACAGACCGGGTGCCCAAACCGAAGCAGGTGGTTTTCTTAGGGGGCCACACCCGGAGCTTCGACCTTAATGTTTGACTTACAAGGCAGTTGAGCAACGTAGGGTGATGCAGTCCTATGGTGGCCGTGACCAACGATTGGTTCATACGTCATTTGTTCCCTCAGGGTACTGGAGCCCATGGGCACCATTGGTTTGGAATCAGGGTTTTCCAACTTCCTCAGGTGAACCCTCCGAGCCCACCCACCCAGTTAAAGCGTCGGACATTCGCTTTTTGTCCTCCAACTTTCGTAAGCAACACTCCCGCCAGGAGAAGGCAGTGAGTAGGACTTCCATGGCAGTAGTTGTGTGCACGTGGTCATATGAGAGCATTTCGAGATGGTGAGCTGACCCTCTTCACTATCGGCCGTACCACGGCATTTTGGGTCTACATGTGGAAGTTAAATATCCTCTTTTTATTTTTGTGGATGATAAATTACTTCAAAATATTTTTTCCGATGCTCATTTTATCATTGGAATTTTAATTTCCTAGTTAAGCATAGTACACTGCAACAAGTGATGTCGATTCAACAAAATTATGATTTAGAAAAATTAATTATACAAATTGCTGAAGTATGCAGTATAGTAGCGACAGAATTAATAGGATCAGATACAGCAAAACCTGGTAAACATTTTACAGGTAAATTATGAAAGCATTACCCATTTTAATTTTGATTGATTCAGTTTTTAATTATATGAAGTTATCATTTAATGTGTTCTTCGTATAACTATTATTGTAATTTACTTTCTTGATTAGATTGAGAAGAACCAATGTGTAGAACTTTTAAATCGTTTAGTTTATACATTCTAATGGATTAATCAAATTTAAACGTTCAACTTATAATGTGCTTACCAAGTTACATAACTAATCTTTATAATACACTTCATTTTAGATTACATGTTTGAGAATTATTAGCAGCAAAGCCCGCTACATTTAGGTTTCGTCACAGAGCACCATCTTTAGCATATCTTATCAGCGAAACTGAAGAAGCTGATGTTCTCCGTTGTATTTAAAATCTCGTTGTGATACTCTTTCTAAATATGACCTTGGATAATATTCCACCATTCTACAAAACATATCAGAAGAGAGTCAAGCTGTTCAAGTTTCTGATGATAAGTTTACTCAGAAAAATCAGTCTAATTTTATATCCGTTTTCAAAAAAATTATGTGAACTTAAGTTTTCACTTCAATGAGGCACTATACAACAGTACTCTTCAATTTGTATGATGAGAATTTCCCTTTAGGAAACAAAATCTGTAGTTTCTATTGAAATTAATATGTTCCGTAGAGCTCTAAACGCTTACTTATTCTTTGAATCAATCTGAATTTCGAGAATCATAAAACTAGGTGGGACTTAGTTGATCTTTTTTATCATGGAGATCTAAATAGTCTAAATAACCTATGTCAAGCTGTGAGAAATCAAGCTATTGTGAGATTATTTACAAGACATACAGTTATTAATAATTGTGTTCTGTGTACTTTATTATATATCAAAACTTTTTGTTTAAGGTTTAAACTTGGAAACACTTATCATGAATCTGATCAAAGGGGCTATTTATGACACTCCACTTGCTAATCGTGGCGTTTTAAGTGGATTATTAGCTGCAGCTGGAGGTGGGATTGAAGCTTTACTGGGTTTGATTGGATCGGTCGGTGGTGGTGTTGAAGGATTAGCTAGGCTACTAGCTTCAGGTGCTAATCCATCTGAAGCTTTAGGTGAATTATTAAAAGGTCTCGATGATGATCCACTAAATGCTTTAAAACAACTTGCCAACGCTATGGGTGGAGGTGTGGATGGAATTAAAAATATATTGAATGCACTAGGTGGTGATAAACAAACAGCTTTAAAAGAACTAATCAAACAAGTTGGCGGTGGCGCTGAAGGAATTAAAAATCTATTCGAAGCTGCTGGTGGTATCAAAGAATTAATGGAAAGTTTATTTGGTGAAGGTTCAGAAGGATTAGCTGGCTTAATAGCAGCTGCTGGAGGTGAATTAGAAGGTTTAAAAAATTTGATACAAGCTGCTGGTGGTGGAGTTGAAGGGATTAGAAGTTTATTAGAATTAGGCGGTGATCATGTAACTGGATTGAAAAATCTCTTAACTGCTATCGGTGGAGATAATGTAGGTTAGTTAGTGTAAAATTCCTTGTACTCATATTACCATTATTTATAATGAATTTTAATTACATTCATACATCTGTCCTAAAATTATAGAATATCTGACAGATATTCTATTCAGCATTTAACTAAATAATCAAAGGTTATACTTATTTAATTGTAGATTCTTCAACGTGTCTGTAATTTAACCTTTCTCCGTACTTAAATTGTGCTCTTCCTTGTGTATTTTATTGAAATAAATCATCCCTTATATAAATGAATACAACAAGTATTTTTAAGTATTACTCGTTCCTTGATATGCTGGAGTTGAAACGCATTGAAATCCTTAAATTAAATAAGTAATTTGACATTATCAATGATAAATACTCTACCGAATATTCATGAATTCTTAAACATTCTGGGATTAATTATTCGTCAGTCATGATTAATTTATGGATATTCGACCTCGATTGTAAGATAGCTTTTATGTTTTACTCAAAGGCAAGTTTTCCTATTAACTGTTATTATCTACATACTTTTCTGTCATCCAAACATGGAATTGTTTAATATTGGCACTGATTTTAAGCGATGTCAGTTTTATTGATAATTTAATACAAATATAAACTAGGCAGCCCTAGAGGTGTTAATTCTGTCATCTGAAATCTTATATTGAATCGAAATGTCATAATTTACTTTAAAATTAATTTCAATAATTCAACAGTCATAGATCTGAGTTGTTGGTCTCTAAAAGTCTTGTGAATAATGAATTACTGATTGGAATCATTGACTACTATTCTAGATGCAAACTACCTGATTAGAGCTCAAGTTATTATCGTGACTGTTGGTTGAAGACGTTGGACACAATGGTTTAAAATCAGTTGCAATAACACACTTGGTTATTCATTATATCTGAGTCTCAAGGTACTTGATACTTTTTATCCTGCAAGTCTGTTCTTTCTTCTTGGTTCATTTTTAATACTACTGTGGTGTGAGCTACTTATATAAGTAGTATATAACATGCGTTAAAAGAATGTAATGTCCGGCAGCAATAGATGGCGAAGATCAAGAAAGGAAGAGCAAGAGCACAATGGAATTGTAAGAAAACGCATGTACAATGGAATGGGAGACAATGGATTAATGTTTGCAACGGGAACAGTACAGTTTGATATGATGGAATGATATTTTGCAAATTGACGATTGACTTTATGGTATTCACATTTTATTGAGATAGTCTGTAATTTTTGTGCTAAATACAATAGACTGTTCCCACCCGTGTTCTTGTTCACTACACTACCACCATCTCCACTACTTAAGTAGTCACCTTGCTGTACTCATGCAGTGTAGAAGTTTCAGTCAAGAGGCATTTTTAACAAATTCTACGTTACCTATGACCAACTGAGGATAAATTACATAGGTGGAATGAATTTTTTTTCAATGTATACTAAATGTAAATATTCCTAGTTCTTTTCTTAATTATCATACATACCTTACTTGATTCAACAACTATTATTGTCGGTGTGTCTAGTTTAGACTGACTATCTTCCATCTATTTGATTAGCTATCTATTAAAATACTAAATAGTTACTCCATTAAGTATTAATTCATGAGTTAAAAAAGTTTAACTACAATTCACAAACCTTTCACTGAGTTGATTTCCTGTTAACTTGACCTTGTCTTTCTAGCTGATGCCTTGTCTACTCTCATAAAGGCTGCTGGTGGTATAAAAGATGGATTATCCACTTTATTACAAGAATCTGGCGGTGGTCTCAAAGGTTTGGAGAATTTACTTGAAGCTATTGGCGGTGGTGTTGAAGGGTTGAAAAATTTATTGAAAGCAACGGGTGATGATCCAACTGAAGCATTGGCTAACATTTTAGCTGCCGCTGGTGGTGGAATAGATGGTTTAAAAAATCTATTGGAAGCTATAGGTGGTGGTGCTGAGGGACTGAAAAGTTTGTTGAATGCAATGGGTGATAATCCAAACGAAGCTTTATCTAATATTTTAAAAGCTTCTGGTGGAGGTAGTGAAGCTCTGAAAAACTTACTTGAGTCGATCGGGGGAGGGGTTGAAGGTTTACAAACACTTTTACAGGCATTAGGAGGTGATCCTACGCAAGCTTTAGCCAATTTAATCGCTTCTGTTGGTGGAGGAGAAGAAGGTTTGAGGAATTTTATTGAAGCAGTTGGTGGCGGGGCTTCTGGACTGACTAATCTTTTAAAATCTTTAGGTGGTTCTACTAAAGAAGCCTTAGAAGCTTTGCTAACTGCTTCAGGTGGAGGAATAGAAGGTTTGAAAATTTTAGTGTCTGCAGCTGGTGGAGGAGCGGAAGGTTTGAAAAATATCATAGAAGCTGCTGGAGGTGGTTTAGAAGGATTAAAAAACCTGTTATCTTCACTTGGAGATGAACCTGTTGAGTCGTTGAGATCACTATTGTCAAATATTGGAGGCGGTAAGCTAACAATGTAATTGTAAAGCATTTTGATATAAATAACGTACTTATTATTGTTTTTCATAATGAACTACAAACACAATCCCCAATTTCGGTAAACTGTAGTAACTGACATTGAAGTTTATCGTTTCGAAATAATCCTCTTTTCGTTAACAACAGTTAGATAAAGAAATACATTCAAGTTAGAATTCTATGAAGTTTAAATTTAGGTCACTGTTTTGTTAAGCTCACAAAAACAATGCAGTTAGTGATTTTGTAAGAACACTCATTGTACGCGATTATAATTAAATAATTAACAAGTAAATAAATCTTCTATTAGTATGATCACCTGGATATATTTTATCTACCATCATGTTACGAACTTTTAACCACTTAATTATAAGAAAAGCAAAGTAACCAAAGCTTCATGAGAAAGTTTATTGCTGTAGCCTGGACAACGATGCTCACAGAGTTTGAATATATCTATATATATGAACTGACCCGAACAGTTTAATATGTTCAACGCCCTTGGTCAGTTGAATAATCCACTTATGTTAAAGTAGAACACCAGAGCATCTGTTAATACTATTTGACTTTGAGACAAGATGCCAGATTTATTGAATAAATCATTTTATCATGATGTGTATGTTGAGGGTTTTCTATTTCTATTTAAACACTGTCCTTCTCATACTGTTTTTTTGATAAATGAAAAAAATAGGTGTTGCAAATCTAATTACAGCTTCTGGGGGCGGTGCGTCTGGTTTAAAAAATCTGTTTGATGCAGTTGGTGGAGGTGTACAAGGTTTAACCAATTTATTGAGTGCATTAGGTAGTGATATGAATGAAGCACTAATTAACCTACTTAACGTAACTGGTAACCAAGAAGAAGATTTCAAGAATTTGATTGAAGCATTAGGTGGTGGTGTTGAAGGTCTTGACAATTTATTCAAAGTTATCGGCGACAAAGTTGGCATTGAAGGTTTATTAAAAACACTAGGTGGTGGAGCTAAAGGTTTGGCAACTTTGTTGAATTCATTTGGTGAAAATGGCAATAAAGAAGAAATAATAAGAAAATTAATAGAAATGTCTGGTGGAGGTGCAGAAGGATTAGCTGCTTTATTAAAATCTGCTGGTGGCAGTATAGATTCTATTAAAGAAATCTTGAATGCATTTGGTGGTGGACATGAAGCATTAGCTAAATTACTGGCATCATGTGGTGATAATCCAGCAGAAGCATTAAAAGTCTTGTTAGAAATGTTAGGTGGTGATGAAAGCGCATTACGAAATCTATTATTAGCCAGTGGACTTGATCCAAATGATCCAACTGCTTTGAAACTACTTTTTGAATCATTAGGTGGAGCTGATGTAGGTCTCACAATTTTAGTTAATGCTATGGGTGGTGGTGAAGAAGGAATGAAGAGATTGTTGAAAACACTTGGTGATGATGGACTTGCCAATCTTATCACAGCAGCTGGTGGTGGAGAAAATGGAATGGAAGCTTTAATTAAAGCTATAGGTGGTAAAGGTGTTGAAGGTTTGACAGCGTTCATTAATCTGTTAGGTGGAAAAGAATATGGTCTAGCTACTTTAATTGCAGCTGCTGGTGGAGGACAAGTTGGATTAGCCGCATTACTTAAAGCCGCTGGAAAGTTTTCTGAAGATGGAGATGGTTTAGCGGCATTGATTGCAGCAGTTGGTGGTGGTGCTGAAGGTTTAGAAGTATTAATAAATGCGGCTGGTGGAGATGAAGAAGGATTGAATAACTTATTACAAGCAGCTGGTGCAACAGACTCTAATTCAAAAGCTAATATTTTAAAGACTTTGATTGCTGCTGGAGGTGGAGGTCAAGAAGGTTTCAATAATCTTCTAAAAATACTTACTCGAGGTAAACATAAAAAACCAATAGATGGATTGTCGAATTTATTGAAAGTACTTGGAAATAATCCAGATACATTAGGAATTCTTTTAGAAGCGATTGGTGGTAATTCTGATGGATTGGCGGATATATTGGCAGCGGCCGGGGGAGGTGCAGAAGCCTTACAACTCTTGATTAATGCAGCAGGCGGTGGTGCTGAAGGTTTAGTTAATTTATTAGCTGCAGCTAAACTTGACAGTCTACAACAATTAGCAGATGTTTTAGCTGCCGCAGGTCTTAGTGATGATCTTGTTTCAGCTGCTAGATCGGGTAATTTATCGGAATTTTCAGGTATGTTAATCTGAATAGTTAATGGTGAACGATGTTATTGATGAATTAAAATTTTAAAGTTTGGTTAACTATGACTTGTAACAAACATTTAAAATGCAGGTGAGCTAAACAAGTGAGCTTTAAGTTTCCCCTTAACAGTATTTTGTATATAATAAACACACATTTAAACGCAGATATCATCGTGTACTAAAGTCCTTTCAAGAAGTATTAACTAGGGAACGCTAGACATTTCTTTTATCTTAATTAGGACTCCTCTGATATAAATTCTCATGAAATTACACGGGATGAGATTCGAGACCTTTATTTTTATGGTACGTGGGAATTAATCAAGCCATTGATTCAGTAACAAATGTTCCATGTTGAAAGTTTTTAGTTGACCCCCAACTTTATCTGCTATCCTGACGTGATGCTCAGTTTAGCTGATCAAAACAACTCGGTCGAGCTATATTGACTGGTATATAGATTCTTTGATGCTCTACTATGACAGGTGGCTTAATTGAAATAGAGTAAATTCGATACAGAAAACTTAAGGTCCAAGAGCGAAGGCGTATTTTCAACTATCATGAAGTTTTATAGCAGGTTTTTCACACGATTGATCAGTACACCCAATGATGTTGCCTTGCTAAACCGGAAAAGTAGTCAGGTAATTCTGGTCATAAATACAGCACACGTCACCTTGTTAAACGGATACCCTGTATCAGCGGTTAACCTAAAATGTTCGAAACTAGTATATCGAAAACTACTAACAAAAGACAGTCTGTAATAGGACTTAATCAACTGGCCCTTGGTCTCTTCAGTCACACTTTCAGGTATTTAAAACCAATACCAACTCAGGTTTCTTCCTCAAGTCCCTCAACGAGAAATATCTTTCCACAATGTGGACAACCAAGAATTGAAAACTGATCCTTAATGTTTTCTAAATGATGTTTATCGTTGCTTTGGATAATTACCAACTTTCACTCTCTTCGAATTATTTGACTTAATGTTTATGCGAGGTAATTACTCAACCCTGAAAGTAATTTGATGTTCGATCATGATAATCCAAGAACCCTAAATATCAAAAATTCCTAATCAAACTAAAGAATGATTTGTCTCGTTAAATATCAAATAAACAGGAAGTAAAAAATTACTTTCGCCTTTGAGGTTGGTTTCTGTCTTGTCGATATAATTTGTCATTCAATTTCCAAATTATAATCACAAGTGGTTAGTGACTAGCAGTGATATCTAGGACGTACTATAAGGGACCTCGGGGCTCGAACTCAGTTGCGTTCGCTTGGAACGTTCTTACATTATCCACTTAGATACTGAGATGTTGGTAGATCCAGCTAACAAGTCTAAAAACAATGATGAAACGCTGATAAGCATCATCCATTTCTCTTTAAAATGCCTGTAATTTAATGGCAATATCGTCGCAATGGGTACAGTATACGCATACCCCGAATGTGACTAATCAATTCAAGTCATAAACATCGATAAGTAGATTCAAACAATCAATATATGTGAAATAGGTTATCATCTGTAAAAATATCTACCAAAAATCGAGTGTTAATATGTTTCTGTATGGTTTTGTAAATCATGAATTACACTTTCAGTGATTAATACCATTAAACACACGATGATTTTTGTAATTTTTTTAATTCGTTGTTTTCAACTCAGTTTAAAAAATTTTTCATCCTATTTTTATAATTTTACCTTCAGCGACAACTTCCTATAAGCTTAAATTGTTCGGTTTTTATTGTGGAAATTATCTAGGACAAATCTTTAATCTAATATGATATGTTTGCATTTATTATGATCTATTTAGCTATATAATGTAATGTCTAACTAATAGAAGTTTCAAAAATTGTTATCGCTAAACTTTTTAGAGTTAGTAGCCCATAATGCAGCAGAAGAGAATTATATGAGAACAAAAAGTGGTAAAAGTGAGTTGTTTAACAAAAAACATTACGTTTAATACACTAGAATGTACTTATTTACTTACTTACGCCTGTTATCCCCAACGGAGAATAGGCCTCCGACCAGTATTTTTCAACCTACTCTGTCTTGAGTCTTCCTTTCTAGTTCTATCCAATAGTTGTTCATTTTTCTCACGTTTCTCTCCATTTCTCGACGTAATGTATTTCTTGGTCTTCTTCTTCTCCTTTGGCCTTAAGGATTCCAAGTGATGAGGGCTTGCCTTGTGACTTAGTTGGATGATTTCCTCAATCTGTGTCCTATCCACTTCCAGAGCTTCTTCCTGATTTCTTCCTCCGCTGGAATCCGGTGTGTGCTCTCCCACAGTAGGTTGTTGCTAATAGTGTCTGGCCAATGGGTCCGAAGTATTCCGCGTAGACAGCTGTTAATAAACACTTTTATCTTTTGGATGATGGCTTTCGTAGTTCTCCAGGCTTCCGCTCCATACAGTAGAACTGTATTGATATTTGTATTGAAAATCCTGACCTTGGTGTTGGTTGACATTTGTTCCATATGTTCTTCAATTGTGGATATACTGCCCTTACTTTGCCTATCCGCGCCTTCATATCTGCATCAGATTCACCGTGTTCATCAATGATGCCGCCCATATATGTAACAGTCTCTACATCTTCCAAAGCTTATCCGTCAAGTGTAACTCGACTGTTGCATGCTGTGTTGTATCGGAGAATCTTGCTTTTCTCTTTGTGTATGTTGATACCTATTGCTGCTGAGGCTGCTGATACACTGATCGTCTTCTGCATTTGTTGTTGCGTGTGTGATAAAAGAGCCAGATCATCTGCGAAGTCTAGATCGTCCAGCTGCATTCTAGCTGTCCACTGTATCAAGTGCTTCCCCCCAGATGTTGACATCTTCATGATCCAGCAGATCATCGAGAGTAAGAAAAAAGGTGAGAGTGAACAACCTTGCCTGACACCGGTCTGTATTTCGAACGAATCCGTCAGCTGTTCTTCATGCACGATTTTGCAGTGTAATCCATCATATGAATTCCGTATGATATTGACTGTCTTCTCAGGCATGCTGTAGTGATAATATTAACAGATAGATGATAACAGCAACCTTCAAAAGAGGGTTTGATTGACAGACAGCTATATAAACGTGTAGGTAATGTATAAATTATTAGTTTTGTCATAGTTCTTATATCCTTTCAGTAGCTCTGGCCAAACTATTATGATACTATGAGTTTGCTTGACATGTTATTCCAGATAGGTAGCAAAATTCTAACGTTGACATGATTTTCTGTTAGACTAGGTACGGAGAAAAACATTCTGAATAGCACTTTATTATAAATCTGACATTTACTAAAGACAATTTAAAGCAAATTAATTCCGATGAAGAACAACAAAATCTGAGATTTTAAATCATCAGATCTCAAGTCATTGATTCAAAAGTATTGTACATGATAAACAATCTGGAGATTTCAAACTTGAAGTCGTTATGAGTCGTTACTCTAAACCGTTCGGAAGTCCTAAAACTACACGGAACAGGTGTTTTTTGTCTCAGCTTTCCAATGTTTACATGTAATACCTTTTGATGGGGAAAAATATCTCCTGAATGTGAAACGTTTGATAAGAAGCTGAAATAATATAAATATGAACTATACAACTATGAACGGTGTCACAATTTCACCTATCTTGGTAACGATGATTCTACATAATCGCTTGATTAACAGTTTAATAACTAACAGTAATTTCCGAAATCTAACAGTATCGAAATACAATGAACTTTTTGTTTAAGAAATACAAATTAGAAATATGTATATCGATTCCACAGAGAATAACTTTCAAAATTTCACATTTTTATCTGCTTCTCACGTTCCTTTCCCAAAGCATATTCATTTAAAGTTTCATGATCATTGCCTAATCGTTCTTAGTAGACACTGTTATATCAAGTTACGTTTGTGTTCCTTAACGAATAAAATCGAAATAAAACTAAATTATTTGGACTTTATAATGAGTTAACATTTCAGTAATTTAAACTTAAATATTTGATGTTTCGTCATTACCTATGTAAAATGTTTAGTATCAATGATAAAAAGCTAATTGTTTTATGTAAAACGGATAGATTTCGTCTGCCCACGGAGTCAAGGACACGAATGTTATCCTATTTGAGGGCCATCGGTTTCATTTATCTGAGTCGCAGTGTTGGTATCCACACGGGGACTCAAACCCTGTAGATTTTGCCTTCAACGTTAGAGTGTTATTTACTGAAGTGTTGAGGCTAGATTAGCATTAACTTGTCCAATAGGTATGATGCTTATGTTACCATTAATGTTGATTTCTTTTCATGAAAGAGAAACTTCTAATAAGAATCAAGTTATTTGTTAAGTAATTTTTTTCTAACTAAAACTAGCGAAAGAACTGTGTAGAGAAGAAAAAGAATGGCTTCGTACACGTCCAACTGGCCCTATCAGTAAGTTATGGTGATAAATTGAAGTAATCATTGCTTCAAACTATTACATTTTTTCACCATCACTTTAACTGTAAAACCTCACCAACCGTTTTCAGATATCCATCAGAGTTATGTATATCTAGATACATATTTCAGAGGACACCATTCGCTAATTCCTTATGTCAAGTTTAAAGTATGTTTTATATATGTTTTGATTTCTACATTTTTAATGCTTATCTCTGGTTTGAAGCTATTTTTCTTTAACTAAGTGGACTCTTTTTTGGAAAATAAATTATAAGCTGGGACTTATCGGATGGTTGGAGACCTTGAGTGACATGGCTCAAAATCGTTTGCAATGGCGCAGGTGCATCCACTCTTTGTGTTCTCCCTAGTTCTAATCATTTGAAATCTTTATGTCCCTCTTTTTCTCTCTCCAACTTTATTTCACTGGACGATACTCCTTGACTAACATCTTCAAACCCTAATCTTTCCGATGACTACTTATACTTTTACTACCTCTACTACTATGGGACTTGAATCGACAATTGTATCTGTGTGCTAATGTGGTATGGCAACTCAAATTGATGTATATGTGTGATCAGATTATCCAAAATGTATTGCGCTAATATATCACAAAGTTCTGGAAATCTTTGTCTTAATATTACCCTATCCAAGTTCATCAAAAGAAATAATTGTTTTAAGAATATCTTCTCGTTAAAATATTCACTTCATGGTTTGAATGAAAACTTGTGTGACGATGTGTTTATATCAAAAAGTTGAGGAATTCGACTCACATTTACTTTTGACATTCGTAAGTCGAAAGAAAAATGACAATAAACATTTTGCTTCAACCACTTCATTCATCAATAAATCAGTTGTTTGTTCGTTTTAATAATGCTTCCAACGATTATGTTAAGTCACAGATGAGCCAGATAAAAAAGGTTAATTTTAAACATCAATGTCCAATGTTGAAGAACTTCTTAGTCAGCTGAAATAATCGATCACTATGCCATACGATTCAAAGTTTCCAATCGACATGATTAACAAAGTAATCTGATCAGCTTAGAACCAACGTTTTATTGAACCAATATTCAAATTCGTTGATCAATCAAAATGGTTAAATAAAAATCTACAATTTTATTAAGTATGTCTCTCTCTTTTGTTACATAGATTTCTTCCGTAAACTTACAACTACAAAACAAACTTATAGAAAATGGAAAAAAGTAAGTATATGAATTTAATTTCCAGTTTGAACACATCTAAAGTATAATATTAAACACTTTAGTTTCCCCATATGCACATCAAATTTCAGCTTAGATATTTTGGTGAAATATAGAATTTGGGCACTATTTAGTAGTCGATTTGTATAAGCATCTTATTTGTACAAAAATTTAATCATTAGATGAATTGTTCAATAAAGATGTCTATACTAGCAGAACTGTGTGATAGTTATTTTTTTAGCGAACTTCTCATTACTAATCAAGCCGTGAAGCATCTAATAGCTATGTCGCACAATACAAATCTTAGTATTCTAACATAAAAACATTAGTTGAATTGGGAAAACTATACGATTTACTGCAAATTATAATTCGAACTATGTATATAGATTGAATTTCATACAGAATGCGATTACATCAGGTTCCATGCTCCCACAAATGTAATAGTACTAAAACGAAAAAATCTCATAAATATTTTTATTCACTTAATCATCCATGACAAATCTATTTCCAATGTATCCTGTATTTATACATATACATAAATCAAATGAGATAGGAAGTTCTATCGCCAATCATAAGCACATAATCCTATTTGTGAGAAAGAAACTAAATTATAACCAAGTATATTATATCAAATATATCTTTCATAGGGACTTGACGACAGAATACTAAGATCTCATTAAATGTTATCGAGAATTAAGCACAAGGCACTGACAATTAACCAAAATACTCTTTTGTGTCGCCTAGTTAGTTTAAAAATGATCTTCGATTAAGAATTTTCCATCTGATCAATTGTTGTAATGTGTGAACTGCAGGTTAGAGGGTAGCGAATTATTGATCGAACCAAAGACGCTCAAACACGTAGAACGGCCTAGGGTTCTGATTGGCCCCGCTTCCCTGTCTAGCCCAGCCAGTTGAGTCCAGAACACAAGTCACATCCTCTGAGATATGAATCATTATATTTCAAACACACTCGGTTTATATACTAATCAAGTAGACCACATCGTACCATAAAATAGAAAACAGCATTTACACAGTATTTAACAAGTGAAGCAAATATCGACCAATAGGGAGTGTACATTTAGAGTCCAAGGTCACCGTTAGACTTAACATGATAATTATTGGTATATTCCTCTGCATCCCTAACATAAATAGCTCTTATTCATACTTTCCTAGAAGTATATATATATATGTATATAATTGAAATAAAAGAATGTGACGAATATTTGCTTGACTGTATTGATCATTATCAGTAAAAAGATTTGTAGAGATTGTAGTATTTTCACAGTTGGATTAACAGGTCGGTCCGAGCTGGACTATTTTTGAAAAGTTGGAAGTCACGCGTGCGCGATCGTGGATACACACTGCTGAGCAGTCCGTTTTAGGACGAATGCTCCGTCCAGTGTTTCCAGATTCGCGATGGTGGTCCAGCTTAGACCGACTCGTGAATCCGACTGTGTGAATATATCGATCACACTGGTCCGATAATTACACGTTATTTTGAAGCTTCAAACAAAGATATTTATTACTTTGAACTCTGAATAAATAGATCGTCATCATACTGCAATTTGCAAATATATACATTCTCAAAACCATTTTCAGGTTAGCTTACATGCTCAAACATAATAGTTCACATAGTAACTAATAAACAATAGATTATACAAATTTTTTTACGTGAGTCAATAGTTGAAAGTTTTTTTCAAAAATTACTTATTTTATGTCATAGGACCTCTCAAAAATATTTTAATTTCGCTTATCTTCTCTCAGTTAACTGAAATGGCTTTTGCAGCACAGAAAGAAGTAGATTTGACTATTCTACCGGAATTTTCTCAGTCAGTACGTAACCTTGCCTTCTATGTTTTAAATTTGCTACATTTTATCATGTTTTTGTATTTTAAAAATGTTAGTTTTATTTTATTTTTAATTACTGCCTTAATTTATTCAGAAAAAAATCATTTGATCGGTTTTAACTCAAACATGTTAATAAATATTGTGACCCATTTGTGATGAATTAGTGTGACCGAGTGGATTTTGTACGACAACAGGGACGGATTTCTTTCGCTGACAGATCACCTGACAATAAATAAAGCTTCTACGTATAAGAATTTAATATTTCACTAAGAGCCAGAACACCAAAAACTAAGCCTAATATGTAGCTACGAAGAATTAATATGTAGTTGAAATGTTGTCCTTTATATACATTTTTAAGGAACTTAAAATTACAATGAGAAATTAATTGAATGACTTGCATTGATTAGTCTAACAGCAGAATACACTGTCTCGTAATGTTATCCTGACCACGCTGCAGTATAAATTAAAATATGAAATGAAATAAATTTCACCTCAGGAACAAATAACCCATAATTCTAATTTTTACCTAAGCCTTTGCCCCATGAAACATACGAACTATCAGTGGAAATGGTTTACTTTGTAATTACCTACACATATAAATGATCATTAAAAAATTCTCAGACACGTCATTTATAATTAACATTAGTTCAGCAAAACTAATTTGTCATTGCTTATTTTGTGGTTAGAGTAGGTTGGAAATATGATTTTCGTAATGAACTACTAAACAAAACCAGTAAGCACAGGACAGCTGTTTCGTTGTAGTTTAAGACTCCCGAACAGTACTTGACATTAGTCAACTCTAAGTTTCATTTCTCACAAAAAACAATATTTTTTTGCACAATTGAGTCTTCTTCATTTATCCACACTTTATTTAAATAATTTCCATAATAATACACGTCGGCCAATCAGTTTTAATCACACGAGTTAGTCCAAGTTATCATACCTCTGTATAACGACTAGATGAATACAATAAAATTATACAAAACTATGTAGTAGCAATGATAATGAGAAAAACTAAACGTTCACATTATGGCTGGAATAGATTTATATAAAGTTATGCTGGAACTTAACGTTAAGAACAAGATGAAAAGTGCATTGACATCATTTGGACCAATTCTGACCCATGTTACTCACACTATTCAATTAATGGTTGCAGTTATCGTGTTGGTCCCTACCAGGTAGTCCGATTCTACCAACACTTCTCGGACCAATACCGAATAACTTCATGAACTGATACTACGTACTGATTTGCGCAAACCTTAATTTCTTCTAACTTACTCCTGTAGCATCTAACATCGCTTACTGAGCTAGGCGGCGTCTTAACATAACTAAAACATCCTAATCACCTCAATAGACAATGATTTACAATCCGACCAACTTACATATAATCTGTATCTAGTATTGCATAGTTAATGATGTATAACAAGAGGCTATACAAAGCTATGGTCAACTAACATGTCCAACCTGATCTCTAACACTATCTATTTGGTGTAACATGAATGAATTACTAAGGGAGGAAAAATAATTATAGTTATTGATAATGAAAAAAATGAAACTTTTACCGAACAGAAGTTTTATTAATGAGTTGCAGTCACACCTAAAATGAAAGACATTCCAATGTTCATTGATCAATGGTTAAATGAAGATTGTCCATATAATTGTTAGAATTATCTATCAGTGAGCATTTAGATTAAAATACAATTAGTCGTTTGATAAACCATTCCCTTGCCTTGAGTAATGATAATAGGTTGTTTTTACCACGAATCACTGAGTTAACAAACCGAAGTAGATGTTTTATAAGTTGATCGGGAAATCAACTTTACAAAGAAAATATAAAACTTTTTTGATTTCTCGTAAATATTAATTTAGCAAACTAACATGATTGAAATGAAATGAATTATTCTGTCCTACTTGTATTTACCCTAGTTTAAACGCAAATAATCACTTACCTACGCTTGTTACCTCTCATAAAGAAGCATAAGCTTCTCACAAACATTTCCAATTTAATTCTGTCCTGGGCAATTCTTTCTAGTTGCAATTTATCCTTTTCATGTCTACTTCCAATTCCCAACGTAGTGTGTTCATTGATCTTCCTCTTTTCCGTTTCATTTTAGGATTCTCATCCAATTCCAGTTGTTCTCCATCGTAGTTTCTTTTTCTTTGAGTAGATCTTGTAAGGGATGAAACCTGTTTTTGAGAGTTATCTTGAATTCGTCGAGTTTTTCAGTATATCAAAGGAAGGCTGTATTGAACCTTTGCAATTCCGTTTCTCCAGTTGTCCAATGCATCTTTAGCTTCAGTTTCATCTTGGCAACCACCAGGTGATGCTCTGAAGCTATGTCAGTTCATCTCCTAGTTCTCAAGTCTTCCATCGACCGTATGAATTTTTATTGATGCAAATATGATCTATCTGGTTCTCCGTGGTGTGGTCCGGTGAAATTAATGTATCTTTGTGTATGCGTTTGTTTGAGAATATTGTGCCGCCTATAACCAATTTGTTGTACGCACATAGATCTGCGAATCTCTCGCCATCCTCGTTTCTTCCTCCCAGTCCATGTCGTCCCATGATATCTTCAGTCCCGATATTGTCCATTCCGACTTTGGCGTTTAGATCTCCCACCAGGATGGTGAGGTCCATTCATGGGCACTTCGCTATGATCGATTGCAGCTTAGCATAGAATTAATTATTATAGTCGTCATTCCTATGATTTTTGGGTGCCTAATATTGGATGTCATTCATTGTAATTCCCTCCTTCTTTGTTTTGAAGGGTGCCTTAATGATCCTGGTTCCATGATATTCGCAGCCCATAAGTGCTTTGCGTGCTTCTTTGGACAGCATTAGAGCAACTCTCTGAATGTGTGGAGCATTTTCATCTTAATGACCGGATATATCCTTTTCTCTCTAGCTTGGATCTAACGTGTTTCACTGAATAAGAGCACCGTCACGTTGTATCTTCCCACTTCCGTAGATATTTGACTAGTCCTCCTGTTCTCCCACATTATCCGAACATTCCATGTACCTGTAAAAATTGTTACTCTGGTTGTTGGAAGGAGGATCGGTCTTGAGACTTCCGAACAATCTCCGCTTTAAACATGAGGCATCATGTCATTCTTCTACTAATAGGGTAGATTTTAAATGGTTTAAATTGTTTGTTGTCGTTAGCGTCCTTTTGGCAAGATTGTTTTCTACAAAATGAGTTTGCTGACTCCATACCCGAACCTCCTCCTTTACCCGGTCTTGGAAACGACTGTAACCCTAGAAGAGCTACAGGTGGATTTTTAAACGCAAATAACTTAATGGAAAATATATAAAATTGTCTTATTACTACATCAGCAATGAAAAGTTAATTAGGGGATGCTAGAGAAGTTATTTTATGTGCTTAACTATAGTCACTGATCACCGATTGGTAACTGTTTCCCCAGTGTCTAGTCTTCAAAGTGGATTGAATTCTATGGATGAAGTTGCAGAGAGATATTCAGTCATTTAGATTAGTGACCGAATTCCAGGTTAATCCATAGAATTCAGTCAACGGTTTGAACCGAAAAATCAATTTCTACCGAGTGATTAATAACCTCCGAAATCTCAGCTATCCCTTATTGATGCTTTCCATTCAATACAAAGCCTCCATTAGTTTATCACTTAATTATTTAACTATACATCTTAATACGTTTCAAGTTATTTTAATGGTTTATCTAGAAGAATTTAAAAATGCTTGATTTTTACTTATAACTCAAACAAAGAATTTGCAATTACATTTTAGACTATTGAATCAACACTACTTGATCTTCACCCATATCGACAACGTAATCAAGAGCAGTTAAACAAGTTTGCAACTCAATTAAATTCTAATATTTTAAAGTCTCTTAAAACACAAATGATACGGTTAGACAAAAAAATTGATTCTGAATTAAAAGAAACAGATTTATTCAACGAAAATCAATGTCTTGAAGAACAACGTCTTAGACAAGAAAAAGAAGAAGACGGAAATCAAACATTTGATTTAACAAAAAGTCAATTATTTGATGAAGAAGAACGTCAAAACGAAGAAGAGTTGTTATTGGAAAGCAAAAGATTAATAGAAGCATTTGAAAATCACGTTAATATGCGTAAAAAGCTCAGAGATGAAGAAATCTTAGCTAAATATAAAGGTTTGTTCAGTTATCTTAAGTCCCTTTTTTATATGTTCTCTGATAATTCAATTTGACAAAAATATTATTAATCTCTAGTTTTGTTAATATGATAGATAGTTCAGGGAATAATGTCGTACAACTTATCTGCACCATTAGATTAAAAAATAAACAGAAGCCAATGAAAACTGATGTAATCTTCTGTACATTGAACTTTGTCTTGATAAATACGTAGTGTTATGCCAAATGAATAATGAAATAAATTTGATTATCACATTAATGATGTAGTTCCTAGATCCCCTTATTAGGAAAACAAATAACTTATCACTGACTAAAACAAGTCATTGATCTATCATAAGTACTGTTTTTTATTTGTTTGAAAAACATTCTTGGTCTAAAAGCTTTGGAATATCTCTTATTTATCTATATCGTAGCTTCATTGTATTTAATAAATACAGTTTCAAGCAAAGGGTAAGTTCAATATGATGTAGAATAGATGGAATGTGGTTAATACTGGAATTCGGGACTAGTAACCTAAGTTTACCTGCATCCTAGAGTTGATTTTCACGAAACGCGCGTACTTGGTTTTACTACTAGACACATAACATTTATTCTATAAAAACTTATGTCATAAAGGTTTTATTGAGGTAACTGACACAGGATGCACATATAACAACCAAAACTGATCGAATTTTAGTCAAAAATATCAACGATGAGATAATTCAAACCAAAACAAGTTCACTATGTTAATTAATATATTTTTTGTTGGTACAAATGTAGTGGAAATGTACATAAAGCCATAACACTAAAATCGCAATATTTTTGCAGTTGAAACCATGAGTCGATCTACTGTAGACCACCACTGAAAACCTGGAAACATTGAACGACCGTTTCGTCCTATTATGGGACCCCTCGGCAGTGCGCATTCACCACACCCCACACAGGACTCGAATCCAGAACCTTCAGTGTTGCGCGCGAACGATTAATCCCTAGACCCCTGACCCACCATTCAACAGTGTCATTGTCTAACTCCAATCAATCAGTGATCTTAAGCACCCCTTCACCCACTATCTGAAGTGAAAACTGTCACACACCCGAAACTCCGAGCTGCTGAGCAGACCCATACTAGGACAAAACGGCCGTTCAGTGCTCCCAGGTTTTTTAGTGGTGGTCTCGCTTAGAGTGATTCGTGTATTCAACTGTGAAAATACTACATTCTCCAAAAATCCTCATTGTGATAAAAATCAAATTACAAACTTCATATACATTTCATCGTATGACGTACTTTTTTGATAGTTAACCGACTGTTGGTTGATAAAGTTTCACACGGAAATATGTTTTTCAAGTAATTTTCTCTACCATTTGGATGCATAAATTAGATTTTCAAAACAAAATGTGTAAACTAACATTTATTTTTTTCAATAATTTCATGTTTTACTTGTACAATTAGTCTCAAGTTCATAATTTTCATACTATAACAGTCAGTTTAAAATATTCAGGACATGAAGTCGATACACTGAAGTCTTTCAAGGTGATTAACAAACAATCAAACTCCAACGTTTTTGAAATTTACCGAAGCAATAACTGAAAAATGATGAATTATAATCAATAAATTGCGATTACTTGGAAACAGTACAATATGAAGTGTAATAGGGCATTATATGCTGTTTTACGATTCAAATACTATGATTACATATGATTAATTTATTTTGCTCAGTAATATTAAATGTACTACTCTACGAATTCGACTGAATAACTTTGGTAGTGTCAAAAATAGCATATTGTGAAGTTAATATGACAACAAAATATTCGATAATGAAATGTTTTATCTACATTTTTCTTATTTTTTAATTATGAATTTGTATTGTATCTTTGGATGATGGTGATGATATTATAATCGAATTTAGCAGATAAAGATGAATTAGTTATTCCTGAACTAGAAGGCTTTCAACATACTGCTGATAAGGTTGATCTTCATGAATTAAAGTACGTTTTCACTCCTTCAATATTACAATAGTTTGATTTTTTTAAACAGTTCTATGATAGACAATTTTTGCTTGGACACTTCAACACAACATTACCTCAAATTCTGTGCTTTTCATACAAATATTCCAGGAGTCATTTATATACTGATATAACTATAAGAATTTTGTATGGTATAAAAATAGTTTTCTTTAAAAACTGAAGTTTTAAGTCGTCAATCGTTGGAAACGTGACGACATCCTTGTTGAGGATGCTAGATCTCTAGAAATCACTTGACTAACGTGTCATTCTTGTAATTTTATTTATGAAAATTTGAATTTCTCGTTTTTGTGCCAAAGGCACACACTTTGACCTTCACTTGTATTTCCCACTTGGAAGGACCTTAAATGTCATTTGTTCGTTGTCTCTTTTAGTACACTATTTTGAGACGTTTATTAAAGACATTTTCGTTCTGTATATATATAAGTTTGAGTTGTGAGCTTATTTGTTCGTGTTTTTAAGCTGCCTGAGGAATGTACATTTCCGTATGCTGAATCTAGTCTTCCACCTCTAGTTAGCAGGGCTGGTGAGCATTGGAATAATTTTTTGTTCTGTTTTTGTGTCAGTGACTTTGTTTCGTTTGTCGATTACGTGATATCGTAATCTCTTCATACTAAGCAGTCCTAGAGCTAATTTATCCTAGTTTCATATTCCTCTACAATCGTGGCATATTGAATAGGACTTTAGACTTCGTGGTAAGTATGATCTCATTTAACACATGAATTATTTGTATACATTGAGAAATCGTCAAGTTCTGAAAGCAAGCAGTAATCTATGAAGCCTATTCAGATAAATGTAGGTTAAAAGCTCAATAGTGCATTTACTTATTAAATAATTTGGTTAATTAACTGATTAAAATCTAATTTTAATATAATTCTTTCACAATTATAAAATAACCAGTTGACCTTGAATATGATTTATTAATTATCCTTAATTAAAACAACCATCGAACTCTAGATAACATTATCGGCTTTTTAATAAAATTTTAATTCTGTATAATAGATTAGCTAAAGTTGTTAAATAGGTGGTAAGTCAATCAATATAGAGTAACACAAATAAGAGAACGGTATTATTCACTTATGCATATGTTGTTCTAACTCTTACATTAGGGGATTTTCGATGTTTTAAAGTAAAAGATGCACTTATATTATGCTAATGCGAACCACTATTGGATTGCTAGTTCAATTCGTTCAATCAGCAAGATCGTCATTAAATCTTTGTTATCAGTTGTAGGTCAGCATGTAAAATGTCATATTTCAAACAGGTATGTTGATGTTAAGATTAATGCCTTGATAGAATAATCAAAATTAAGTGTTATCCTCTAGTGAAAGTAACTATAATCAAACTGTTTCATAATAAAACGATGTTAAATTAGTAGGCTACTGATTACATAACTTTTTTGGTTGAGATCATGAACCGATTGATGTTGGACCACCACAATTGAAAACCTGGAAGCACTGGACTGCCGTTTCATCCTATTGTGAGACTCCTCAGCAGTGCGCATCCATGATCCCGCTCGCAGGATTCGAACCCAAGGCCTTCGGTCTCGCGCGCGAACGCTTAACCAACTGGACCACTGAGCCGGCATCCAATGGTGATAGTTTCTAATATCAACCAATCCACGAAATTGCGCGACAAACTTCCGCTGTACTGAGATAGGTACCTATCTCTACCCGACAAGGATTAGCTCCATTGGTCACGGCTTCTCACTAGAATTCCGAGAATTCCCTCACGAAGCTAGTCACTAGTGAGCACATGTTGATTACTAGTATAGGGGTTGTGGAGATTATTAAGTTTTTGATTGAGATCATGAACCGATTGATGTTAGAACACCTTTGGGTTCGAATCCCTCGAGCGGGATCGTCGATGTGCACTGCCGAGGAGTCCCACAATAGGACGAAACGGCCGTCCAGTGCTTCCAGGTTTCCAAAGGTGCTCTAACATCAATCGGTTCATGATCTCAATCAAAAGCTTACTAATCTCCACAACCCCTATACTAGTGATTACATAACTGTCAAATTTGAGAAAATAATGTTATTATCATCTGATCACCCTGAAAGGTCTTCTATTTGAAATACACACCATTAGATACATAACTGATATAATTTTGGATGTGAACGACTTTGTAAACTTACTACTAGAATTTATTCCATTGACTCGTAAGGTTGAGATTCATAAACACTTATCTTGTTGAGTACTAATGTATTTTTCTTTATACTCCGATGTGTAATATAGAAAACGCATAAGCCTTTTTTAAATAGCTCCTTAACACAATTATGACCAAAACTAAGGATTAGGTAGAACAATATAGTACAGAAGGATTACGCTCAAATTACAATTACTTTGGGACAGATAAGGCTATGGTAGTGAATCATACATCAAACGATAGCTTATGGTCTATAAAATAAGCTAGGGACAAAAATAAATGTCAGTGTTCTACAAGCTCTCAATTAAATGAAATAACGTTCCCAACAATCGCTTCTGTACTTTGTCATAGCTTCCTGTTTCTCTGTTCACATCAGTCATAGAGATTACCTATTTCAATAAATTAACGATAATACGACCATGCTTTTTTATTGGTCTTATGTTATTTTTCTTAATTGAAAAAAAGAATTGAAGAAGTATTGACTGAAGTTACAGATGAAGAAGAAAAAGAGGAAGAAGACAACGAAGTTGAAGGAACGCATGAAGACATACGCAAATCAACAAGATTGCAATCACGACTTCTAATAGTACATGATTTATTACGTGAGAGTATAGGTCTGGAACGAAATTTAAAGGTAATAACTATTATTTAATTTATAAACAATGAAATACTTTGCTAACCTTCAATCCAATCGTCTTTTCAACAAATATTAACAGTTACAAAACGGCAATCAGCGTGAAATCCTTTATGTAATAGCCTATTACGTCACATTTAGTGAAATTGGTGTTTGAAGATAACGTAGTTTATCGAAAACGATATCCACCAAACTCTTAACTCATGCCTCCCGAAGTATAGAATACTAACAATTTTTTTCAATTAAGTGGACTCAATTTATTGACAAATGAAAAGAGAAAATCGTCGAATACCTCCTTGTTGAAGGAACGTTGTTTCATATGCATAGAACACAATAATACAGTGGAGCAGGTCGCATTTTGATTTCTGAAAGCTTTAGCATTTACCTATATGTTTTTTATCAGAGTCACGTATGCGGAAACCGCCTGTAACTCTTCTAGAGTTACTGCCGGTCCCAAGCCCAGGTAAAGGAGGAGGGTTGGGCATGGGATTAGCGACACCATCCAGTAGAAAACTAACTCGCTAAAAAAACCCTAACCACGTGTGCGAACTGTGAGTGGGAGAAGCTAAAACAGTAGTATTTATCTAGGTAAACTAGCATAAGCAGAGTGACTCACTAACCAATTGACTAAGCTAGAAGAACTGTAAACTACATTAAAAAACGCACTTTGTACAGTGATAATGTTTGTCCTCACATATTGTTATTGAAGCATTTCATGAACTATGAATGCAGTAACTGAAATATTTGATAATCTTTTGTTTATTCTTACTTAGATTACTCCCGCTTTCGTGTGGTCATACTTTGAGTTACTCAGAAAAATTGATAATAAGCTTCAATTAACAGGTTTTGCTGATCCAGGAGATGATAACAGAATGAATTCATCACTGGATGTTATTGTTTGACCAAACATTATCTCTGTTTTTTTTGTACGTATAACATATTTTTATTTCTATTTCGTTCGAATAATCAATTACTACACTTGTGTAACTATCGTGTTTTCTAAGTTATCGTCGATTCTTGATTTATGTGAAAACGCTTCAATGGGTTAAGAATCTTTTAAACATCTAATAAAAAACAGATAAAGTACCAACTTGTGTATGATTTTTAATCCAATGAAATAACCAATTACCTTTTTATTTAGGAGAAGAGTTTTATCAAAACGGTGTCCAATTATATGAGTTGCTGTGAAATAAAATTAGATAATAATATATAGAGAAATGTTGCTCCATTATGATACTAAACGACTTTACAGGTGCATGATAATAACAAATTCTTAATATCTTTAGAAATACATTTTATTCTGTCTTTTCATTTAAAAATAGGCTGTTTGTTAAATTAACTGAAAATTCACCGAAATCGTAAAACGTTTGTAAACAGTTCAATAAGTTTAGTGTATCATTAGCATGTAGTAAAATTAATAATATTAAAAATACATAGGATGTAGCAGCTCCCAAATTCTCTTACTTACATGTTGTTGTATCAACGTCAATTTTGATTCTTAAGTTGATCAGCACATAGATGTTTGTAGATGACTTTATTGTGGCAACGCGTAATTAATCTAGTCAACCTTCAAATGATGTTTTAAGGAGTTAAATTGTTGCATGACATCAATTAATTGTTTGAATATTTGACGACATTTTCTAAATGAGAGTTGCTGCGAGTTCCGTAATTCGATCTATTAAAGGTCTGGGTTTAATGACTGCATTGATATTACTAGATGTGGATGTAATTTAAACATCTTTAATAACTTCGCTGAGAAGCGGCTTTGCGGAAAGTTCTTTCGCTCATTACTTCGTTTCGGAAACCATTCAAGTTAGAAAATCACTGTTTAAATCAATGCCGCTAAAAGCTTTTTCGGAATTTGTCAGTCATTTGAATCAGTTATCTTAAAATAAAAAATCTAATGATTGTACAGTTCCAGTAATTAAATATTGAGTGCTTGCTGTGACGTTCCTGACAAGTGAGCAGTAACAAGAATAAAGGGTTCGCCATATTTTATCGACAGTATTCACCATCAAAATATTTAAACTACACGGTAACCGTTTTTGACCAAAAACGTGTTATGCACTAAGAGATAAGAGTATCGATATATATTAATTCATGTCCGAAATGCAAGATCATCTTCCATTAAGTGAACATCTTACAGGTCCCGGCGCAGATTACCAAAACTAATGACAGACATCTGTTAGCGTCACAAGAAATATGGTCCCAGGACACAGAAATTCGCTAGACCGTGCTGCTGTACGTCAGTGGATCAAGAAACTTCACGAAACGTGCCATATAACTGGCAGTCTTCTCCATATCCGGTATACTATCTCTGCTGCGGGGATAAGCATAATCGCATGGGATCTTTTCAAATGAATACACAACAGCCAGTAAAATATTTGTAGAAGCGGCAGTTGATCAATCACTACATTTTGGTCTACCACGTCGTTTCGCAAACATTGTCGGGTAAAATAGACTATCTTGGGAGCCGACACCATACTTTTCTACAACATAAATTTAACATCAACGAGAAGGAACTCCTCAACACACGACTTCCGATAAGTTGCTAGCAAAGTAATTTATAGTATTAACTTACCAAAGTCGAGGAATAGTATCTTCAATGTCATTTAAATAATATCGAAAGCTAACATAACACATTTTAGTCTCTGAATTCTTAATAATGCTGTCCGAACGAAACGAAGCAACCTAAACTTTTCGGAGATTAATGGGTTAAGTGACTCGAGGACTTAACTTCGTATTCGTTTATGTTGACGTTCTAATTGCCACTATCTTCATTAATGAACATTTGCATAGTCTATGTATTTTATTCACCCATTTAAAAAGTTATGGAGTCGTAATAAACCCTTCGAAGAGCACATCTGATTTTCCTGCTTTGAACATTTTTAGACACCGTACTGACCGACAATGTATCAAACCGTATCATGAGAACGTCGGCGTTAACCTTAACTATCCCGAGCTACATTGCAGGCATGTACAGTTGCTTGTGACGTTAAATGCCGAATTGTACTTAATTTTTTCAGCCCCTAAAAATATCTTCTAAAGAATAAAGTGAGTAACAATAAAATTTCAACCCCGCAACTAAATTTATGTTATACACCGATGCGTCGTAAACTGCATTAAAAGCGATTTGTGATGAAACTTTCGCGACATCGTCCTGTTGCTTGCTCTTTTCTTCTGAACACTTATTCTCAGCACTTTCAAGCCATAGCATCACGGGCGCGCTTTGTCTTCTTAATCCAAGGACAGGGATACACAGTAATGAAATCATAAACGTTTGTATTATTCCTCTAGTATGTCACTCGATCGACATTCACCGCGGGAAGCACAACGACTGGAATATATCTCGCATGTCATAACGGATATGCAATACATTAAGGAAAATTCAAGTGTCATTGCTGACGTTATATCCCAAAAATGTCTGTTATTTAAACCAAGGCCCGAAAATGGGTTGAGCCAACATAGTAAAGCTAAAAGTAGCTGATAATGGTTCAAAATTATGCAAAGAAAGTCTATGATAATTCCTTATCAGGTCCCATTTCCTTCATTCGATCTCACTATCATTTGTAGTGTTTTAAAAGATACTAGGCATTCTCTGGATTGTGCTACAAACGTGTATCTCAAAATTTCTACTCGCTATCACACCCTGGAATTCTGAGCGAACACCAAAAGCCTAAACGAACGCTTTGCTTGGCATGCTAAACTCAGACCTTAGATTGTGGATAAGGACTTTCATGGAACGACAATGCAACAATGTTTAACAGCACACAATCAAAACACAATCAAATCCTGACGCTAGATACATGGATTCGACACGTGCATTTGGGCGTAATCGAACCGGTCTCATTATTCAGTCCTTCCACTCAGACAGATAGGTATACCTGATGAACCATAGGCTGCCCCATAAACGATACTTCAGCAGTCTTTATAGAAAGAGTATTTTTTGACTGTTAGACGGCAAAAAAAACGTATGTCAATGCTTTGTAGTTAGTAAGTATCAAAATATATCTGCTTTGCAGCAAAGGCCAGAATTCTTGACAGCCACGTAAACGACTAATATGTCTCTCCTGAATGTGTTAAACGTCGTTTGAGCAAGCTCGAGTTTTGAGGAAAAAGTAAGGAGTCTAATTTCAATAATTACTCGTCATCGTGAAGCCAGGTCCATGAATACATTGGAAGCGTCTGGTTACAAACCCAGGGTCGCCTTTGGGTCTAGACTTAAGTGGTACAGCATCGTAGTGTAAGAGATCTCTTATTTGTATGCAAACAAAGCATCTTTCGCTTCGTAAGATAACATAAACATTTCGGCCCCGCTTTTTATTCCATGAGTTGACGGTTGTAGGATGGCCGAATAATGCTAAGTGAACCGACGATGAAAATCGACATACCTTGAGCTATTGGTATTGGGTGTCAGGCACGTAATGGATCGATTTCCTGAAAATGAGCTTTACATTTGGATCCAATGAGATTTCCTGAATGTGCTGGTCCAAATATCTGTCTAGTTTTATTACAATGTTAAGACTTCTATAATCCCAACAAGTAGGCCAGTCCCTATCTCTATCATCATCCTTCTTTACCGCTAAATGCAGATACGATGTACACGGGCTGCTAGAGAGGCACATGATTCTGGGCTTCATTCCAGGTCTCGATTCTATCTTGGCGCAGCGAATAAGTCAGGTGATAACCTCCGTGAACGTGACATCGTTGGTTGTTGTTTCATCAAAGTATAATTTACTACTGATTATTTAACTTTATTATCCCGGTATGTTGGTTTTGTATTTTTGTGATATTTCTGGACAACAAATATAAAACCATCGTTTGTCGAGGTGTTAATTCCGATTCTGTGAAGCTGGTGGTTCGAACAAATAACTTGAACCTGTAGCTTTGTGCAAGATTCAATGAGCTCATTCTTCACTTAACATGGACAAGCAGATTATGTGTTCCAAAAATTTTCACTCAATATAGTGTATCGAATATACACTACTGTAAATACCCAGCACAAACGACGCCCGATCCCTAGACTAAAAATAAGCATTTACTCGTTGAATGTTTTCATTTTGGTTTTATTTGCAGCACTCCAGTAAATACTTACTAGTCATATTTATTGGTCACCGAGCTAATGTACCAGGAATTATTCAGAATTCGCTGCCCGTATATACCATAAACTATGAACCTAAATGTTATGCCTCAAAGATACAGCCGATTATATGACAGTGACTTATCGATCGGATCAAGGGTTCAGAATCTCGATAGTCTATTCTGGTCCGTTGTCCCCAACTCTGCTAACTCGATCAAGAAGTCTGGGTAAGGTGTAGAAAGTGTATTCTACAGACAAACAGCAGATAACAAGTCAGGCAGGCAGATCAGATCAAGCATACAAGTCAAGCGTATTTATACAAATATTTACAATCGATATTGTCATGGAAGATTTTTGAACATTAATCAACAATTGACTGCTATTTGAACATTTAATCGATAGTTCATCAATTGACCTATTTGTACATTTAATCGATAGTTCATCAATTGACCTATCTGCATATTTAATCGATAAGTAAATTACAAAATTTGAGTTTTGGGGATCTATCGTCCCCAACACTAAAGTCTTAAACAGTACATAGTAAAATGACTGAAAGATCGAAAAGTAGAAACTATCGTCACTACCATCAGGTTTCCCTGTTTTTTGGACAGTGAAAGAGGCCAATAAAATTTACAGATTGTCAGGCATTATTCTATTTCGTTTGTCTATCCGCGGAGCTACCAACATATAACTGAATCATTACCCTATCTAATGCATTCAAACTCAGATAAATACATTGTGAATATACAAAACAATCACTTCCAACAGAAAAAGGCGCCAAAATGTTAGTGAATGGATCAAAAACTATCGTTTCGAGGAAAAATATTGAACTCTTCATATTTTCGGTGGCCCATGCAAATGGATATATTCAGGATAGAGTATTACGCACAGTTAATATTAAGCCAAAATAAACATTATAATGTAAATTATTCTGAACAGGAGTCCTATTTAGTGTAAAAAGACACAAAACGATGACATAACCTCATAACAATTTTCCGTCGCAGGCTATTGCCAATAAAAAGAATAGTCGATGGAGACAAAATTCATTTTAATACCAAAGGAGCGTATGTATAAACCAGCAACTTAATGTCCGTTTACGAGCGATATAGATTAAAAGTAGATATTGAGTGAAAATATGGCTACACATAAAGTGTCACGAACAAAGTGAAAAGAATTTTTCTTCGTTCTGTTGTTACAAAAATATTGGAATGTAAATGTTACTATTATCGTGCTGAACCAAGAAACCACAAAATGCTCAGACGACGTGTATTTGACAATAAACACAAAGGCTCTAGGATTTTGATTTGTTTAATCGTAACTGTTGAGATGAGGGTTAAATCATGAATAGTGAGTATTGAATATTAGCATGAACTTTTTGACGAGGGTTATTCGGATGCGTGGTGTTCCGTAATTTGTTTGCGCTGGTTTCACTTTGAACTAGTTTTGTAATAATAGTCGGTGTGAAAGCATGCTTAAACAACCTACGCGTGATTTCTTAGAAAAACGAGATTCAGATTGATATGACGTTAAAACTATGAGACGAAAGCTCTAAAACCTTTCCTAAAATCTGGAACAAACGAAAAATAGGACAAAAGTAGACATTCCTTCAGAAAATAAGAAGAAACAAAGCGAAAACGCATCGTGAAGTCGCTGCTACTGTTCTCTGTAGGGAAATAATCGAGGCGTATCCATTTTTGTTTTTCTGCATTTCATGTATTTATTAAAAACCTTCAGTAATTGGGATATTAGTTTTATAAACCTTGATTGATTTTTGAAGTCTGTAATGTTTTGGAGCTCGATTACCGCTTTTAAAACAGACTGTGCTGATAATACGTGTTCTGGCAGAGTATCAGATTAGTGTAGTAAGGACAGAAGGCCTACGGCCTATGTTATTCCTTTTCTAGTATGCTTCTATGAGTGTCCAGTCTTCTCTTGAAAGAGTCAATTGAAGGTGCAGACACCACTGCTTCAGGCAGCAGGTTCCAAGTATTGATGCCTCGGTGTGAAAACCTGTATGCCACGGGTATTTTGTTCGTTCTTGGCTTTTCTACTCGCCAGTGATTTACTGCCATTCGCGACAAACGGAACTTTAGACGTAAATGACTTGATCTCGGTTTTTGAACTTTCCTATAATATCAGCCCGGATAGTCATTTCTAAATGGGAGGAAAAGATAAGACAATAATGTCAAGATCGTCGGTCGTTATGCGACCTTTTACCATTTCGGTCTCTCTCCATTGAACTGGTTTTTGCAAAAACGCCTCATATTTGAAAGAAGAACTCACTTCATGAATCCAATATTTCAAAAGAGGCCTCACAAAGTCGGGTGTAATACTACAACCATTTTTTCGTCCAAGTGTTGAAACGACGTACGAATACGACAAGAGATTTTGAAACCTTTGACTTCGACTGCGTTGTAAGCACTCTCTGTTTGAGGTCGTTGGTTATTAACACTCCTAGATCCTTAAAGTCCATTACTTTAGGTAACACAACTCCATATGTTGTGTAGTGATATTGATCGTGGCATTTATTAATTTTCATCCTCACATTCTTGTTAGAGTTAACTTCTAATGATCACTTATCCATCTATTCAACCGTTGAAGTTAGGTGATCCCGTAATATTTATCTATTTGACCCACTATTTATGAGTCTCCAAATCTTTATGTCATTTGAACAGAGTAAAACAGATAAATTTGCTGCAGTCAATAATTCGTTTAAATAACGTAAACAAAATAGGACTAAGGATTGTATCTTGGGCAACTTCACACCGGTAGAGCCCCATTTGTCCGTACCCGTTTTCTACTATCGTTCAGAAAGTCACTTGTCCAGTTTATGGTTTCATAACGGATCCTAATACCTTCCGGCTTTAACTACAAACACAGATGAGAGACTTTGTCGAGGGCCTTACTTAAATCTGTTAAAGTTACATCTTCCAGAATATTTCTATCTTTCGCTTCAGCCTAATCATCTCTTGCAATGAGCAGATTTGTCGAGTATGTCAAGTCTTTCTAAAATCATTTTGTTCCCTAATATAAATATCATGGCGTTTCACTATTGAGAGCAAGTATTGATAATTATAACCATTGAAAAACTCATCATTTTACATTGGTAAGTTTTATAGAACCTCCCTCTTTATTTAGGTTTTTTTTTAGAAAATAACAATTTGATCCCGATTCGGTAGTTGTACGGGAAAGAAAAATGACTTGACCCTCCATATTTTCTTCTTTAGTCAGCAAAACAATGTTTAGCACTAATTCGTTTATTAACCAGCTAGGAATGTTGTTCATAGTGTTCATTTTGCGTTTTTAAATGCCGTTTACGAGTTCGTATTTTTTATTTCTCCGTTCCTCAACCTCTTATAGACAGTGTTATCGCTAGAAGCTTATAAGTTTTTCGATGAGCTGATTGATTATATCTAGCCTTGGTTTTACAAGGATTTAAAATTGTAAACGTTATTATCACCGATGGCAAACAATGAAGGCAAAAATGGAGGGTTACAGAAAAGAAGACATCCTCCACAACTGTTTCGACAAATGGAGCAAGATGAAATCGCTTTCCCGTAGGTACATTTTTGTAATAACAAGATATTTGTTTATTTTTTCACGCGCTTTTATGCTAAATTTGTGATTACCTAACATGTATTCGTTAAATTTGCAGACTCAATGTAACTCAATGATGTCTATGAAAAAAACATGACTTTTGTAAGGCTTGCGTGTTTATGAAAAATTGCTTTTTAACCCCTAAACGATTTCACTTGTTCACGAATAAAGTATTTTCACGTCAGGACTGATGAAATCATTAAATAATTGCTCCGATGAATGAATTGTTAGCTTTGTGTTGTTTGCCAGTGTTTGTTGGACAAAAGTCATGAAGTCGAATTGCTTTATGTTGCTTATTTCTTGTAACGTAAAAGGTGCTATTCACATCGTTTTGAAGAATTAGGTTCTATTTTAAAAAAGATGGCAGTTCTTGTTATTATAAGCTCTATGAATGCGTTTATCAACTGAAAGTCTGTGAAGAAATGTAAGTAAAATCAAAACTGACACTTTATGACTTTTTACGTAATGGAAAGAAACTTTTTTAGTATTGACGCCCACCGCATCAGCTGAAGGTTTTTAGATTACTGGAGCCAGACATCTTGTTATTTAAGTTTGATACTTGTACTTGCTTTTATATGTTCCAATTAAATGCTTCACCGCTATTTTTACCGTTGCTGAAATATAGACAGACCTCTTGCACTGAGGGAGAGGAATATAACCTGAAAATTCCTGTATCTGCCAATCACAGCCATCTTTCAACAAAATCGAACAGCCATGCATCAAGCAATGCACAAACAGTTGCCGTATCCAGCGACAAGCCCATTTTTCATTCACCAGTAGCAGCTGTCAAGCAACACCATGGTATTCATCCTCGTTTCCCACCACCTGAAGACAGCCGAGCCAGCAGTAGTACTGGTAGTGCAACAACGGGAGGTACAAGTGTAGGTAGTCAAAGTAGTGGTGGTAAGGATAGCAGCAGTGGTAGTGATAAAGCTAGACTGGCTTGTTCAAGTGCACTAAATAAAGGGACTAGATGTGGTAGCAGTGCTTCATCATCGACTGAAGAAACCGAAGCACGTGAAAAACGCTTTGGTAGTGTAGATTTACATCCTTTGCCTAGCGTCGCATTAACGGCTATAATGAATCAAGCGATGCGTCGTAGTTTCTATGCTGAATCTTTAGTTCAAAATGCTGAACAACTTCAGTATGCTACGTTACTATCAGCTCATAAAAATTATGGAGACTCTTCAGGTCCAATTGATGTAAAAATGAGCGCACCATCTGTTCCACCATCCAAAAATGACTTGGTTAATCTCTTTTCACAAACACCAGCACATGCCAATATAAATTCTGTGCCACCTTCTGTTCACAGTGCAACTATTAAGATCGATTTGCCCAAGTTTAATCAAAATTTGCCATTGCATCTTATCTCTCCTAATTTATGGCCACGTAAGTCTGAGATTTATGAGGTGTTACTACAATATATTTTTAGCTGAAATGTTTTTCACCTTGTAAACTAATGGGCGTAACACATTTCAGCGCATTACTCTTTTAATAGGTGTGATATGTATTTAGGGTAGGGGCAAATGTGTAACAGTATTTGGTCTCCTAAAAGATATAACTTGGTTTTTTGAATACATTTTTCCAATCACTTGTCCCTAGAAATTTCCACGGTAATTAGGCAAGAAATTCCAAGAAAGTTTCTATTCGCTATTAGAGAATAAACTATTTTTTCAAAATCTTAATTATCAACGAGTGACTTAACTCAAATGGAGCTCCATCATTTCTTTAGTGAATAGAATGCAGATTATTGTATTGGTAAAATAAGAACGGACCATCATAGCAGTGGTAGTAAACGAATTTAAAGTTAGAACTACGTTACAGTTATTTATCACCTGTTGTCATTTCAGTCAATATATTCTGATAACAATCAGAACGCATACCCTCACGCGTCGTCTTAAATATATTATTACAAAATATCGAAAATGCTTTCTCTAATCTTTTCTAAAATTATTTTCCATCAAGGCTAATGAACAGTTTATTCTACTCTATACTGGAAATCTCCAACAACTCGCATTATTAACATCCCTTTAGGTAAAAGCTATTCCGTTTAGGCGATGCAACTTAGAAATATTGCCTTTTTAAATTATAAACTTGATTCTAAGTTTTAAAATGTTACACAATGAGTTATGTTATGGTGTAAATTACGCTTTCTGATAATTCATTTATTTTTTCTACTTGCTTCGTAATGCTCACTTTAAGTGCTCAAAGTGGTGGTTATCTTTTCGCTTCTCTCATTATATTACTTTGAAAATCAAGCAATTCTGCAATAACGAATGTATAAACAGACACTGAATCTGTTGGAAGCTTGGTTCAAATATAATAACAGTAGAGAACAAAATGGATTGGAGAAATTTCAAAAAAATAAACCATCATGAGTTTAAGTCAAAATGTGTAATCATATACGTATATTACATGTGAAAATTATATTTGAAATAATCTCAGAGATTGAAATTTAAATAATTCCAACGTTTCGTCCAGCCAACTTGTCTGGACTTCTTCAGGGTAATACTTAAAAGAAGTCCAGACAAGTTAGCTGGACGAAACGTTGGAATTATTTAAATTTCAATCTCTGAGATTATTTCAAATATAATTTTTACATATAATGACTTCTGTTTACTCGGCGCCCAATTTCTGTCAAACTATTCGTTCTAATCTTGACGAATATTCGTATAAAATATACGTATATGTATGACGAGATACTACAAAATCCCCCATGACCTAAAATTTTTGAACTCACTTATAACTTAGCAACTGTGAATGATGCAACTCAAGCATATACGTCTGCTCAAGGTTGACAATGTGGTTTACGGATTGACGCTAAAAAGTACGATTTCCTGACTATGATTAAACGTTTAACGTCAAATGAATTCTATCTCAATGCCATGTCATTTATTTTTAAAACCTTTATCGCACTCTTTAATAAATTGACCTCTGCCGTCACAAATGACTTCATAGCTAGATTATTTAGTATCAACAGAGTAGTGAACTTTTAGGTTCCTTCAGATCTTTTTTGATTTCAGGAAACTAAACACTGATTCCATCCCTTTATTTAATTTTACAAAACGTAATCAAGTATTTTATTTGGGGCTAGGAAATAGTAAGTGATAAAACTATACTAGGGAGTTTGGGTTTGAGAGTGGGCATTAACATAGTAATCTAAGTAGATACACTTCATGAATTCTAAGTAGGACGAAACAATCCCCGTAGATTTCACAAGCAGTCACAATTTGGTAATATACTTATAATTATTAACCTTAGAATAAATAAATTTGTAGCTTAGGTGAAAGGTTTTTGGTGTTGCATGTCTTACGCCAAACAGTTTAGTTCCTAAGCTTTAACTGCCATAATGGGGAACATCGCCTGCGCCTACTTCGAATAGGAATGAGCTTCTCAAGAATTTTTTCACAAGCTCCTAATTAAGTTATTCTGTTTAAATCCTTGCTTACTGGTTGTCTCTGCACATTTTCTATGTTCATATTCGTTGACTGTTTCTTCTCTTGACGTCTGGCAATGTAGCTGATTGAAAGTTTCTGGGATAACTGACAAACTGGGTCTGTAGTGATAATTGTAGATCAACCTGGAACAATTGGCCTGGAAATTCTACGAGATTCTTAGAACTAAATCATAACTTGAAATTTGTATATCTTTTTAATGACGCGAAGTAGACCAAAAGTGACCAGTGCGATATAAATGTATTTTTAAGAAAGGGGTTAATACATACAACTGAATTATAAATCTAGTTTGACGCTTAAATGATGTCTTGTTTAAAAAATAAATAGCAAGTTAAGCTTCAATTTATTTTACCAGTTTATTTCTTTTTGTGAACAGGGTTGATTTGTCCAATTCATGGTGATAATTTATTGGCTCAATTTTCTCAAGCTTTATGCAAAAGAAAAAATGGTGAGTAGTTCACGGAGCGATTGTTTCAACATACGCCTTTATACTCTCAACTGTACCCTTTTTATTAAATTATTAAAATTAATTTGAAAAAATCAACAGTAGTACGTCCGTTTTTTATCGGACTCTCTGTCACATAAACACCATAATACGGTATTTGTCTGGATGTATTGAATAAACTAGTGTTATGCACGAATGAAATTGAATAGATCTATATTTCGAAAGAATAAAAAAATAATGATTTAGGTGAAGATTGTAATAAAGTTACACGAGAAACCAAAAATCAATCGGGTTATTTTAATTTATATAATGTGATTCCTCTTATCTTTATTCTTGTTACCTTGTCTGAATTTCTTATCCTCTTTCATACGAAATGCATTTAAAGAGTTATCTCCATCAGTTCAGATTCCATCTTCGTTAAAAAAAGATTTTCGGTTTTGAAATGAACACTTTTTAAATGTTCAAATGATAAGAAAAGAGACATGGAAGTGTTCAACAGTCTGAACGCTCCATTTTTTCACGTCTGATCTGATAGAGAGTACAACTCAATATAAAGACAACTGACATTTTTATAATAAGATGAATGAAGATCTGAAAGTTTTATCCCGAAATTTTATTTGTATAAAATTTCTCTTTTTAATATGTTCAACTGCAATTTTCTTTTTGAAAGATATCAGTGAAACAGACAGTGAACAAAAAACGTTGAATTTACCAGTTCTATCTACAAAAAATGAACAATCACTCATGAATATCACATCATCGACCCCAGAAGAGTCTAAACAAGATTACAATGATAATGACATTTCAAAACAAGCAACAAATGCAACAATAACTGCACCGGTGCCCGGAACAAGTGTTTATGGGATGCCAACAATGGGGTATTTTAATAATGTATCTGAATCAAATAACAATAATAGTGTTCAACCGAATGGTCCTCAACGTATTGGTCCATATTATTTAGGTCCCACACTTGGTCGGGGTAATTTCGCTGTGGTGAAATTGGGAAAACATTCTCAATTATCTGTAAAGGTAATTATGTCATCGTATACGCTCGTATTTCATCATTCATTTATTGAGTTTTTGTCTTTACTTCATGCCCTACTGTATGTACGCTAAGAGTAATACCAGGTGACACGGAATTTATTTATTTATTTTCTATAAAAATGTAGCGAATCACTTACAAAGCAGTGTAAGAGAAAGGAAAGTTTTAACTCTTCTAGAGGTCAGAAATGTATTTTTCCTGAATGAGTTCAATGAAGAGACTACTTGAATCCATTCTTTTCCGCTTTTTACTTTTATTTTTATAATTCTTCCTAGGTTGCCATCAAAATTATGAACAAAGATTTGATTGGTTCTAAAAATCTTGGTAAAGTCTCTCGAGAACTTGAAGCGATGAAACGTTGTCAACATCCGCATATCGTCCGTCTTTATCATGTTATGGAAACAGAATCAAATATTTTTATGGTTACTGAATACGCTAGTAAAGGAGAGGTATTCGGTGAGTTTAATTTTATCCATCTGTCAACTAATTATTTTTCTTTTTGTTACTGAAGAGGATACTACACAAAAAGTGACTCTACTTTGATGAATACTGTAAACCGTGGAGCACTGGATTGCTGTTTTTTCTTAGTATCTGACTTTTCGGAGGTGTACACACACAACTTTGCATAAAAATCTTTTCACGAGTATTGCATATGGTCTCTGGTGATTCTTAGTTAACCCAAAGGCTGAAGATACAGCATCTTTTATATCTCAATGGGAAACTATGTTATTTCAAATTCTCACAAATCTTATTTCGACCATCACACTCTTGCCTTATATAATATTTAAATAGAATTAACTAAATGTTGCTTGCGAATAAAACTGATTCGGTTTCTTGAAATCAAAGTTCCTTTATATATTTTTCTCTGTAACGTTTTGATGAGCTGTAATATATCTGCTGAACAACAAACTTCGTTTTTGTCATTACGTGATCGATATTCACAGTCTAAGCTTGCTTAGCACGCTTACTGTTGTGCTACAATCATTTGTAAGAAGTCTGTAAACTTTAGTTATCTTTGGTTCAACCAGATGTCAGTATACTTCGAAGATGGTACTCATGATGAACATTAATTTACTGATATGCTTTTTTACATTGTTTCTCATGATATACATATAGTAGTTTATTAGTTAACTGACACTAAGTGAACAATCTGACATTTAAATAATAAGACTTTAAGACTAAAATATTGACAAGAAAAAGATAGGGACGTGAGAAAGATGAAGAACAAACGGTCATTGATTAATATGATGCTGCTTGCTCAACATATCTTTAAGCATTAACTGTCAGAGGTTTATGGACACTGATACTCAGTGGATAGTTCACTTCAAAAATAAAATCATCAAAATGTTATTGTGTAATAAGCATTTATGAAGTAAAGAGGTTATCATAAATTTCATGAATACATGTATGATTTAAAGATAACTTTTGTCATAAATTAAGGAGCATTGAACGATTGTTCGACAAGCAGTGTACTACTTAGGAGTGTATATTCTTGATAACACAAGGGTCGAGCCTAGAAATTCCAGTTGTAACGACAAGTGTAATAACTTCGAAATACTTAATTAAAATAATTTTTAACAACTTTAACACTGGTGGATTTGTGATAATGGGCGATACTTAGCCAATACCACTAGCCAGATAGTGTTTTCTGGTCTTTTATTTAACCAATCACAGATCACTAACACAGAACTTTGGAAAATCTCGCTCAAATATATTTATTAGTATATAATTATTACTCACTGTGATATTCTATGGGTTGATTTTTATAGCTTGAATATTGCTACAAACATATATACTAATTACATATTATAGTCATCGTTCGATTCAATTTATTTTGCTTACCATTCTACTAGATCATATCAGTCTATCTCATGCATTTACGGAGAAAGAAGCTAGGGAATTATTTTGGCAAATCGTTTGTGCAATCGAATTCTGTCATGCTTCAGGTATTGTACATCGAGATTTGAAAGCCGAAAATCTTTTATTAGATGCTGATTTCAAAATTAAAGTTGCTGGTAAGCTACATTTACACATATAATTTATAAATTTCAAGGGCAATTGATGATTCGTTTAATTTGAAATAAAAATTTTATCTTGAACCAATACCATTTAGAAAATCATTGTTTAGTCAAAAATGACTAGTCAGTAGTTTCATGCTTATTTAGAAGTTTATAGCAGCTAAATCATATTCCATTTTCTTATGTGGGTAACTGCCTCACACCCAACGCATTTGAATTGCATTGTTCACGCATTCTCATAAGAACTCCGTGAATTATCTCTCGAAGATAGTCACTAGTGAGCACATGATAATTATCAGTATATGGTTGTGGAAAATACTGAATTCCATTGAAATCATGAACAGAAAAATGTAATTTTCCATATATATGACCGGAAATTTAACACTATTTATAAAAATTGGTTAGTAATGCAATGAACAATTTTGAATTGTTTAACAGAAAAGATTCACTCTGTTGGTTGGTGTGAAATTTATATATACATATAAGCTGATCAAAGTTTTTAAGCTTTTGGATCAATGTTTCAGCGAATATATTTTATGATTATAAAATAATTGAAGATAGAAAGAACTCGCATAACAACGACTAGCGTTAAGTAGACTAAAGATGCTTTCAGTAAAAATCTTGACAAAATTTATGATAATAATAATTCTATTGATGATGAATTTTAATGTAGCAAATAATTCTTAGAATCAGTCAGTGTGGCCTATTGGTACTACAAGTATGATCTAATTTTGAACAGTTTTATAGACAAGCTCTTACTTCAATGTACATATAGTAAAATAATAACTTGAATCACTAACTTAAAAATTTAAACTAATTCAGCATCAATCTACCAAAATCATTACACAAGATGACTAATTTCATATTTTGTGCAATAGATACACTTCTCAAACACACGATTCTATAAAGTAATAAAGTCAAAAGAGTCTGTAGATACAGCTTTGTAGGATGTGAAGAGGATTTCCTTTGATGTCACAAAATAAAAATCACAATAAATATAGCGAAAATTCCCAATTTATCATTTGGTAAATAAAGAAGGAACGAATTTAGCGAAGAAATTTCTTTCCAATTAGTTTTTCATCATTGCTCTACACTAATATATATATGTTTTACAATAATAATATAATACTCATCGAGAGGATACGTTACGTAATAATTACATAATGACATTTAAATTAACATTGAGTAATTAGAAGAAAGAGGATTATTAATATTCAAAGTAATCAAGAAGTTACTACGTTGCGTAATATAAGAAACAAAGAAGGAATAGAATTTTAACGGATGGTCAATAGGATAGTAGTTACGTAAAAATCAAGAGATGAATGTTGAGAAGTTATAAGGTTCAAAAGCAATAGAAACAAAGTTACAAAAATTAAAAAAAAAGGAAGTGGAAGAAGTATGAAAAATTTTATATTGAAGGTCAGGGCAGAGAAAGTGGTTGTACGAATTTTTTTTGGATGCAAAGGTCAGGTTTGTGAACATGGATTGCGATGGCTTCCGCAATGTGCAAAAGGCGCACTCGTAAACCATGTGATAGATTTGATGGAATATTGTAGATAACCTTAAAAGCTTTATTCAATTCGACTTGATGACCTGTGTCAACCAAGTGAGAGAGAATAGAACTTTTAATCACTTTCACCTGTCCTTTGCTTAGCCATGTCGGATGATGTTCTGTAATGCGGTGACGGACCTGCCGAATTGTACGCCCTATGTAACTGGCTCCACAGGAGTAGTTGAAACGATAGATACACATAGATTTGGCGAATTCTGTCTTTAATGGATGTTCTTATTTTCGGGTGGTTGTAGAAGATGACATTTAATTTGGCAGCATTAAATGTTTTTTGTACCGCTCTTCGTAGTTTCTGAGTCATGACTTCTTCAATGGTCATTTATGAATTGTAGTTTTATAAATAATACCTTCTTGGGGACGGTGGGTATTTTTGTCCTTGTTTTCTTCTCCGTCATATGTTTGTCCATGAATTTCATGGGGTACCAATTCAGACTGAGTAGATTCCGAATATTGTTCAATTCTTCTTTAATGGTGTCTTCAGAGCAAATCATTCTAGCACGATGTGTCAAGATCTTTATCAAGTTCCTTTTGTATCTGATTGGAACTGCACTGTGGAAATGAGTGTATTGACCTGTTGCTGACTTTCTGTGTACCCTTCGTTTTACAGTTCCGTCTGTTCTTCTAGTTAGTTGGACGTCTAGAAAAGATATGCTAATATTCTGTTCAGCTTCTGATGTAAAGTTAGTTGATGGATCGACGTTATTAAATATATTAAGTAAACTGTGCTTATCATTTTCTTTTTCTAATACTATGAAGGTATCATCTATATAGCGATAATAAGTTGGTAAATGGGTAATTGTACTTTTAAGTGGTCCATTTTCCAGTTTTGCAAGGAAAATATTAACCAGTAGAAGGCCCAATGGTGATCCCATGGTGACATTTGCATTAAAGGTTCTCAATGAGTATCTGAAGTATAGCGCAAGGCTCAGTGAGGCGATGACAAATGTTGATTTTATAAAGGAATGTATAGAAACCAACTTGTATCCAAAGTTGTATTGGAAATCTTTGCGTCACTCTCGAGTTCAAGCAAATGGAAGGACTCTCAAACGCTTCGCCCTTAACCAAATCGATTCTCTAAACTCATACATTACCGAGATGGTAAAAAATATCAACGAGAGAATTTACGTTGTAGAAGACCTCCCTAATAAATTAAGACAACAATATCTCGACCATGTCGAGATGGTTGTTAACTCAATAAAAGAAAAGAAAAGAATGAAACTTAAGAAAAATCTAGACAAACAAGTTTCAGAAATGAAATTTCCATCTAATCCAGATTAGTACGTACACAATTCCTCTAGTGTTATGCTGGACAAAACTGCGTTAGAAGCGTTATCACTTGGCCCTAAGTTTTGTGACTTTAAGAAAACAGTCAATAAAAGGGACGTTAAAATTCAATTCGAAAATCTTTATGCTCAAACGTCAGAAATAGTAACTTCATCAAAAGATAATGTCGAAAGATTTAAATGAACACTAGTCGACTGTTGTTTTAAATACGTAAATCATAGACATAACACGAAAGGGATTTTGACGAAAAAACATACAGAAGCTCTAAGAAAACTTAAAACTAATGACAATTTATTAATCACGAAACCTGACAAAGGATATGGGATAGTACTCATGGATGAAAATGACTACATAAACAAAATGAAAGCCCTTCTAAATGATAAAAGCGAATTTCAGAAAGTGGCTGTGAAAAACGACATAGCAGACAAGATTGAAAAACAACTAACTGATTCAATTATTTTATAATCATAAAATATATTCGCTGAAACATTGATCCAAAAGCTTAAAAACTTTGATCAGCTTATATGTATATATAAATTTCACACCAACCAACAGAGTGAATCTTTTCTGTTAAACAATTCAAAATTGTTCATTGCATTACTAACCAATTTTTATAAATAGTGTTAAATTTCCGGTCATATATATGGAAAATTACATTTTTCTGTTCATGATTTCAATGGAATTCAGTATTTTCCACAACCATATACTGATAATTATCATGTGCTCACTAGTGACTATCTTCGAGAGATAATTCACGGAGTTCTTATGAGAATGCGTGAACAATGCAATTCAAATGCGTTGGGTGTGAGGCAGTTACCCACATAAGAAAATGGAATATGATTTAGCAATACCGTAGATTGATTGAAGACAGACATTAACACCGTTAGATCCCGGCTTAGTGATCTAGCAGTCAAGCGTTCGCGTACGAGACCGGAGGTTCTGTGTTTGATTCCAGTGTGCGGGATCGTGGATGTACACCAATAGAGAGACCCATTCCCAGACGAAACGGCTGCCAATTGCTTCCAGATTTTCAATGGTTTTCTAGCATTGATCGAATCATGGTCTCGACGAAATTCACCAATCTCCACAACCCTAAACTGATAATTATTTAATAATTTTTTTCGAAGTACTTTTATTACATTTATCCTTTTGTGTTTTGTAAATTTCAAGTGATAGAAATATTTTCTCAAATATGTAATGAAACTGTAGATTTTAGAAAGTTTTATCTTCACATATCGATTCATATCCATTATAACATCATGCAAGAGATTTAATTGAAGTTCAACTACCTTTCATAGTTGAATCTCTTGTTCAAGAGAAAATTAATTTTTTATCAAATCACATAAATAGTTATAACTTATTCCATGTTTTAAATAAATCCTCTCAGTACATGTCAAAGAAGCATACAGATGATCAGAGTTTCTTCTCAAAATAGGAACCATTAAGCTAAATATCACAAATCACACAGTATATTTTTACGAATCTCTTTTCACTTTATGATAGATTTTGGATTCTGCAATTTTTTTCAAAATGATCAATTATTATCTACACATTGTGGAAGTCCTCAATATGCTGCACCGGAATTGTTTAAAGGTGAACCATACGATGGAACATTGGCCGATGTATGGGTACGTTACAAATCTCTTAATACGTAGAATATTTGTCTTATATAGCTTATTAAAGATTATCGATTGGATACTCATAAAGATGTAATAAGTTATTTCATTGATCATCATTTCCATCGCCTGAGGTGGTTTCGATGGGTTATTTATGCTTAAACACCGTCTAGCTTGGCACCTAATCTAACTGGCATATGTGCAGGTTGAAAATCATCGAAACCTGTTCGCACAAGGACGAAACATAAACTCTATCAGTAATTAACTGCTTGTATTACCAAATGTCTTTTTGAAACCTGCACAATGGTTTTAAGCTATGATTGAAGACTCCGAGTGATATGACCTGAATTTGACGTAATTTCATTTATTCCTTATCTTCCTCTAAATCTTGTGTTCAGTATTATTCTGTTGATTGTAATTTTCCACATCATTTCCTCATTTTAATTACATTTCGTATACTAGACATTCTATTAAATTCAACGTTATTTTCTCTTCCCTACTGCTCATTTCACTGATTTACTCTCACATTAACGGGAATTGGTGACTGTCATTGACTGTATTAAATAAATTCTTCGGAAACCATTTATTTTAATGGTAAATAGTTATTTCCCAATATCTTAACCAAAACCTAGTAAACGCTCTCGTCTATCTATAATTTCACTCAGACAAGTGTTTAAATAAGTGAAATGAACTCTACCAACGTCCGTTATTTGTATTATATCAATACGTAATTGAAATAACAGAGGGAAAAACAATTTGAATTAAAATAATGAAATTGATCCAATGAATGCAGGTCAATAATATAAATGACAAATGGAGAGGTTAATAATTAAGTAACCAACTTCTTCTTTTTAAAAAAACCTACTTTGAAGAAGTGGTCTGCGTCAACACCTGAATTAAGGATAGGGAGTGAAGTAGTCGAACGCGTTGACAACTTCACTTATCTTGGAAGTCTGATCAGCCCTAATGGGTTAGTGTCTGACGAAATCTCAGCACGGATTCGAAAAGCTCGCTTGGCTTTTGCCGACTTACGTCACCTTTGGCGGAGGCGAGATATCCGTCTATCAATAAAAGGACGAGTATACTGCGCGGCAGTTCGTTCTGTTTGACTTTACGGCTGCGAAACGTGGCGCTTAAGAGTAGAAGACACCCGTAAGCTACTAGTATTTGACCACAGATGCCTTAGAAATATTGCTGGCATCTGCTGGGATCACCGGGTAAGTAATAGTGAGGTTAGACGCAGGGTATTAGGGAATGATGGTAAATCAGTTGATGAGGTTGTGAATCTTCATCGAATGAGATGGTTGGGCCACGTATTACGTATGCCTGAACACCGATTACCACGACGTGCAATGCTAACCGGTGTAGGGGATGGTTGGAAGAAAGTTAGGGGCGGCCAAACCAAAACGTGGCATCAGTGCCTGAAGTCACTAACTTCTAGTCTGAGCCATGTTGGTAGATGCAGACTACTTGATTGGGGTCCGCGTGATTATCATAACCAATGGTTGGAGACTCTTGGTGACATGGCTCAAAATCGATCACAATGGCGTCGGTGTATACACTCCCTGTCTTCCCTTAAACTAAGAGATTAAAGTCACTTCATATCTTTCTTTCTACGAACTAATTCTTTTTTCCTATACTATATCCTTATTGCAATCTTTCTCCTATATATTACCACCTTTGATCTAACCACTCCTATGAATCCGCTGTTCATCTTGCTGTGTTAATGAGGTATGGCAACCTGGACCGATGCACATATGTGCCTGGTCCTACGTTGTAGCTGACTGACTGACTGACTTTGAAGAAGTGATGACCTCCTTGTTACAATGTTATGTTTTTCTAGTTTCGATTCCTCTTGCTCTTAATCACTGTTCTCTTTTTATTTAAAAATCATGGACAGAAAATTAACTTGTAATTTCTTTTTTACTGTATCTAATTTTCAAATTCATTGTGCAATAAAGTTTTATTTATTAATCTTGAACGATTAAAATGTACATTTGTACAAAGAACTATGTGAAGTGTTGGAAATTCGCAAAACATGAACAACTGCCTACCATCCAGAAAGCAACGGATTCGTTGAAAGAACCATTTGGACTCTCAAAATGCTATAAAAAGTATTTTTTAATTTGGACGAAGTTAGATCGCGCGACCTAGCTGTAAGCAAATGTTTACCGGCATATTACGGTAGCGTTCACACGTCGACTACATTTTTACAAAGATTTCGACTTTATAAATTTGATTCAATAAATTAAAAATTGTCTATTCAGTGCTGATTGTTTCGTCTGTTTAATGTAAATTCATTTGAATTTTCGCGAATACAATTTATTTGAAATGTCTTTACTGAAAATTGTTTAGTAATCTTTGACAATTATAATTTATGTATAGAAAACTCTTCTGATGAAAAATTGGTTATGAAAAATAATGTCATTTACATAAATTTTCTTTTATATTTTAGAGCTTAGGTGTTATTTTATATATTCTTGTTTGTGGTTCATTTCCGTTTCCCGGTGAATCCCTTGGTGATATTCGTACACAAGTACTTCGTGGTCTTGTACGTTTTCCATTTTATTTATCAACTTCTTGTGAACAAGTTATACGATGTATGTTACAGGTGGATCCTAATCGACGATTCAAATTAAAACAGGTAAGTATTAACATAACTTTAATTCGAGTTTTTATCACTGAACAAACACTATCAATCTAAGTCAAATGAAACTGTTCTCTCTCATGAACAGAAATAAAGGTTGGATTGTTTTCCGTTTCTTTCCTCTCCCGATCGGTATGCATAACAAGAAAATGAGCCACTGTAAGAGTAAATTGATCTATGAAGGACTAGTTTCTATGCAATGATAGCTAAAAAATCTTATTTGATATTAAATAAATTATAATAAATGAATAATAAATGTATAGTTAATGGCTGTAGATAAAGTATTAAAAAGTTCTGAAATTGAACTTCCTATTTACTGAAATTCAAAATACTGTATTTAAAGGTGTGCGTATTATAATGTCTCATACATAGTTTGGTGAACAGCAACAAATAAATTGTGAGAATAACAAATCTTAGATTCTAGCCTAGAGAAAACAATATTTATATAGATAATATGTAAGTGAGGTCACTAAAAACCACAAAGATTTATGTTTCATGAAAGTTACTACTCACATTAATATTTCTGATAGGAACACCTGATAACATGAGTTTAAATATCATGGGGAACATCAGTCACGACAGAATTCTAGATACTCCACACCATCCCTGAACTTCTGAACTGCTATTGTTCTGACTAATTAGATTTCTACTCCTAATTGTGTTATCAAGAAGTAGTCTACAGTTTCGAATAATTTGATATTCTATTTTGAAATATAATTTCAAAGTTATCGACAGACTTTTACTGTGACTATTACCACTGTTATTTTTATTATTAACACCTCTACTTTCATGTAACATTCAGCAGCACAAAATAGATGCTACCTCTTTACGTTTTTATTAACCAACCTAATGTTTATGATAATTACTTTGGCAAAGTATACAGTGCAAACTTTATTTAATATCACCATATTTAACCCATTTTAAATTATTTATGTATGAATAATATTCTGTTATTATTAATTCGCGTTGCAGGTTACGACCACAGCATGGATGCAAGAGTCTCCAAATGTGGAACATTATAAATCACTTATGGACAAATATCAAAAACAAGCAAAAGAACGTCAATTCGAAGTTTTATTTCGGCATCAACATCCGGAACACAGTAAAATAGCTAAAGAAGAATTTCTAGAAAGAATTGAACGTAAACTTGATATTGGTGTTGTGAAAGCATTGTCTAGAGAAGCAGGTTTAGATGAAGAACAAGTATGTCATCAAGTGACTACATTTCTCTTAGTCAATATTACTCAACATTGATTTTTAATCCAGAAAGACTGAAGAGTTCTACTAAGGTGTATATAAAAACCAGATAAATATCATAGCTTTGCAAATTCAAAACATTAGTAGTTTATGAAGTCATCAGTAGTATATTAACCTTTCAATACTCTTGCTTCATAAAATAACCAAACCTATTTGATGTTTAGAGTTAATCGCGAGAAAACCCTATGTATATTACTGTGTTAGTTTTAAAGTGTTATTCATTTAATCTGCATCCACAACTGAATCTTCAAATCAGTAAGTTTGCATCCAATGTATTACATTCCTAACTTCAATTAATTCACCAGTTGTAGATTGAAAATGCTAAGAAGTACCATAGTTGGACGGAATAGCTCTCCAATACTTCCTTGGATCTGACGGTTGTCTGGCTACATTCAATACGTCATGTAAACTATAAAATTTGGTAATCTTCACTAGACCTCCTTGATTAAGATAATTTTCTTAGCATTGTTGAAAATGTTAGCGCGATGAGTTCTCTGTGTATACATGAATCAGATTGTAGTTCAGGTGAGACTATGAGATCGATGATCGGAGTAAAAAAGGTAACGTAGATTGAGTAAAATAAAGCCATTTGTGATCATATCAAATGTTCGACCGAAGATTATCTAATCTGTGAAATAAGCGATAGTAAAGTGTGGTGAGTGCTGAATATATTGTTGAATATGATAGAAAAGATAGTTTGGAAATAACGAAAGAATACAGTGAAAATACTAGTAGCTGAATCAGACGAGTCTTAAATTTACAATAACACAAAAAGATATCTATATATTAGTCGTATTAAGCTACATAACAATTTAGATAAATCTTAGCTTACTAGGCCTGTGGCTGACCAAAGTATACATTATTCCTTTGAAAGAAAAGTAAAAATGTTTAGGTTGTTGTAGATTTTACTATTAATGAATAAAAGATTCTTAATCTGATTAGTTTGGCAGGCTAATGTCAACATAGCAGATTGATGATCACCACTAAATAACTATAAATGTATGTCCTCCTTGATCTAGATGGAGTAAATAATACTGTTTACTGCATTAACTACACATTTGCATGTTCATTCTATAGCATATTCGGTAATGAGTCTCGTAGCCATAAGTAAACTAGCCCGATGATAGTCGGTTTTACCCTCATTTTCAGCTTTTACGTACATTTTTTAGATTCGTCAGTCTACAATTCAAAAGAAATACGATCGTTATCATGCAGCCTATGAATTATTAAAAGAAAAAATTAAAATATTTTATCATAATCCTATCCTACGAAATTTCGTTAATGATGAAGCCAAAAAACAAGCAGGCATATTTTCCAAACTAGATACAACTCAAAGACCTGCATGGCAGCCAACCTCTGATATTCTAGGTGGATGCAATTTATCTGAAGAACAAGTCAATACGAATGTTTTAAGCATAACCACATCAACAACACAACCATCTGCAATGCTTAGTGTATTGGATGAAACAATGTTAGAAGAACAAACTCCGAGCGATATTATCATGTCCAGTGATTCCAGTGATCTATCAGATGTAATGATGAAGGATACTTCTTTGTCTTGTACTAGTGTTCATACAACCACTTCTACAACAATGAGTACTGTTTTCATCACGGCGTCCAATCTTGAAAAACCTGAAAACTCTTGTACTTATAATAAACAGAATACAACTGTTACAACTAACAAGAAAGATTTTAGTGAAAGTAGTTTAAAAGAGTGGAAATGTGCTACACAGGTATGTATAATGCAAGGAATTGTTGAGCATAGACATTATAGTACAAGCAAATATTGTATGGAGTGAGTTGTTCAGTTACCTGAAAAAATATAATAGATAGAAGTCCAAATTCATGAAACTATTCATCGTTCTTATAGATTGATTAAATCTTTACAATATGATAACAGATTGGTTTTTCTTGGGGGGGAGGTATTAGGATTAATCAATAATAAATGTTTTGTAAACCGATGTAATTTAATTTGCTTTTTATGTAACTGGTGATATTGTTTACTACTCAGTGATCATTTTATGTAAATATCTTAATGCTTCAACAGATCGTGCTTGTCCCAAATAACTCATTGGTAACATTTTCGATTGCATTATTAGAGAATGCAACATTTAATATTATGGAAAGCATCAATTCCCTGAGGAATAAATTATTTAGATTGACAATACTATAATCCTACCGAATTTTTTATTAATTAGATTATAAAAGCTTTTACTGGTTCCTTGTTCATGAACAATTAAAATGTATATAAACTTGTGTAAAAATTTGAAATATTGTGACATATACAGAAACTTTACATAGTGTGTAATTTTATTTAAATTCTAGCATATTTTTTGATTGTGAATAGTGGTACTATGGAGAATCCACTTTTCGTCCATCTTACAATTTGTCATCTGATTTTAATTGTATCCCAGTACTCAACTTTACATTGACACTTTTACACGTTACTATTCGCTTCATGCGATATCATATCTGGATAGGCACCAACTTATTCAACATTAAATAAATATTTTTATAAGATCCTATATTATCCTGTAGTTTATATTCAGGATTCATTCTATTTATACGTAACTATTTTTTAACACAAACATTGGTACAGAGAAGCACCAAAATATATATACGCCAAACAATTAAAATGAGGTTGTGAAGAGATAGAGGAAGGTGAGTGTAAAAAAATAAGTGAAACTAATAAAAATGATTGTGATATTAATAATGGGCGAATCAGTTCAGTTAAGGAAGATACAACCAAATGAGATTCTTTCAGCTCAAGACGTTCTTCTCACTCATAAAAAGGAAACTTAAAAGAATTACCGCAGAACTGCCACCGGCTTCTATTCTGAGCCATGTTTGATAACATCTCAAGCCACTGTGTTGCACCGTCTCTGGGACCGCAACCAGGGAGTCGTGAGGGACCAACAGACCCTAATCCTGTATAGTTCTTTTCGTTCGCTCGGATGGCATTCTTAGTACATGTTCAAGGCACCGAAAATGAAATTTTTCTTCTCCTTGGGTAAGATGCTAAATGAGTTGATGAATGAAGGAATAGACATATGACGCAATGTAAAATAAAAACGAATATTAACAAGTAGTTTTCAGTATCATTTGCAAGAATAAGAATTAAAACGTGAATAGTTTTTTCTAGTTGTAGTCATCATTAGGTTTGTATGTGTATCGAAATACTGCTCGTGTGTCCAAACCAAAGCAGGTGATTTTCTTCAGGAGTCACTCCCTGACCCTTTGATCCAGAATTGTAATCTACAAGGTAGTGGATCAACGTTAAGAGATCCAGTCTCATGAAAGGTGATGACTAGAAATAGATTCATAGTCAATTTATTCCCTTGAGATTGCGTTTAATCAATTTATTATGATTGATTTCCATTCTTAGTGAATATTCCAATATACTTTAAAATGTCAGCGACAATTAATTGTGAAACACCAACCACTATAAACTTAACTAGTATGTCTGACACTTTGACAATAATTTGATTTGTACAACACTAAGACTATAATATCAGTTTCATATGGTTGTCTTTATATTGTCCACAAAAAAGAAAACTTCACTTTGAATCAATTATCTAGTTAAATGTTATTGACTTTAATTGAGGAAAATATAAATGTTTACCAAGTACTCTTGTTCATTTCTCTCTTATTTTTTTAGCCAAAAAATACTGAATTGAATGCTGCCATATGTATATTAAAAGTAAATTCATCTCATCTGTTTTATTTTTCAATAAATGTTTTCTTAATATTCATTGAATAATGTTAACATTTGTGTTTATTTTAATAATTTAATTCAAGTGTTATTATTGATAAGTGGATAACGTATCAACAAACATTATTATTATTTCAACAGTTCAGATCATGAGTCAATTGAAACTAGACCACTATGGAAAACCTGTAAGCAGTGGAGTTCAACCGGGTCAGTTGTGAGTTAGTAACTCATTGATGACAATGGTGGATGTGTCGCTCAATTTCGTGGATTAGTTGAAGTTAGTCATTAACACCGTTAGATGCCGGCTCAGCGATCTAGTTGGTTAAGCGCCTGGGGCCAGACTGATAGGCCCTGGGTTTGAATCCCTTGAGGCGAGGTCGTGGATGCACTCTGTCGAGGAGTTCCACAATAGGACGAAACGGCCGTCCAGTGTTTTCAGGTGTACCATGGTGGTTTAGCTCTAATTGACTCATGATCACAACTGTTGAAATTACTACAATCTCCACAAAACCCTTTCTGATATTATTATTATCATTTAATTAAAATCATGAACCGAATATTATCAGACCAACATTGAAAATCTGGAAGAACTGAATTGTTTTCAATGGTAGTCGAACATTGATCAGTTCATAATTTCAATGAAATTTAACATATATCTACAACCGCATACTAAAAAATTATTATTATTATTATTATTATTATTATTATTATTATGAAACCATCGTCACATCTTTATTCACAAAATTATTTATCTTCTCTACTAATATTTATTTCAATACAATAATTCTATTTCAGGTAAAGTCAGTTTTTTGCTTTCTAGAAAAAAAGTCGCTGTTCCAACTAGTACAATTTACATCAATCGAACTACATTGTTTGCATCTAGATAAAGCAAGAACAAATATTGATGCAGAACAGTATGAATTCTAAATTAAGATAAGAAATAGTGTGAAACAATTGACATAAATGAATGTAAATAACTGGAATGACAAAGGTTTACAATGATAACAATATATATATATATATATATATATATATATATATATATGCAAGAACAGGTCAGATATTATCAGGTGTTATAATCAAGGAAACATTAAGGATGGATGATGTAATAGTTGTTTGCAATTATCGCAACATAAATATCTTATTTATGAATCTTTGGTGTAAAAAAGGCCTTAACAATAAATTTTATCAAAAAGAATATTCTACTGTTTGATTTACATTAAAATATAAATTATGATTGGTTTAGAAAATTTACACATATCTCTGTCTTGTTCAGAAACATTTTCGTTGAGGTTCCTGGTACACTTTATAGCTATCAATAAGAATAACACTCGAAGGATAACCGTATGTTACATATCTAATATAAAGAAGAATTTCACAAATTTATATTCTTAGGGTTAGTTATTTGTTGATTCAAGAGTCTTATTTAAATTGAGCAATTAACTGTTTTCATAAAGATATAAACATTCGTTTAAAAGTCAGTTTTAGGCAACTATTCTATTTCGGGTGAAATCAATAAGAAGCACACATAAAATGTCTGATCATTAACACATACTCCACCAAATGATTGATCGTCAATGTTTTTTTCGTTTTTTTAAGGCTGATGAAGATGAAATTCTCTCAAATTTTGGTATTGATTCAGGGACAATAAATAAATCATTTTCTAATTCAATACGACGTCATACATTACAATTTACTACTTCATTATTTCGTAAACCATCCAACCAACGTGATAATCCTGATAATATTTTAACAAATAATGATGATGTTAATAATCATCAGTCGGATACATCTTCTGCCACCATCAACAGTATGTCCATAAAAAATTCCAATGCAAAAGCTAAACAATCTCACGAATTAACTGATGTGAATAATAACAGCAAAAGTTCTTCATCTGATGACAATAATAGCAGTAATAGTAAAACTAATGGTAATAGTGTTAAACGAACTACAGTACGTCGCTTTCCGCGTCAAATTACTCAACCACATTCAAATCGATTACAATATAATCAAACTAGTCCGGATAATTCAGATCAAATGTTACTTGTAAGTTAAGTGAATATTGACTGGCTCTATATAAAGCATCTTTCGGTAACTTTTCAACTTATTGCAGTGAATTTAAATAAAACACTTCAATTCATTATGATTTTGTTTCGCTCTAACCGGTTATGATAAGTCATCGTTTAAATGCTTAATTAGTGACTATATGGAAATAAATGGTTACTAAACAATAGCAAGGAACAATAAATATTAGCCTTTGTCTTACATATAACCATGCAACTTTTAATATTTTTGGTCGTTTACTGGATTTAAGCTGGTAAAATTCAAGCGTCCACTCTTAGAAGCTGTTTATTTTATCACTAATAATGATACTCAGGAATTAAAATCTTAGAAATTTTATATACTTGTAACATTTTACTATCGTAATGTAAAATTATCAGAGTTCCTTCGACAATTTGAATTGCCATAATTCTATATGGAAAAACAATGATTTATTCGTATATCGTAGTAGTAAATACTAATAAAAATACAAATTCCTATCATTTGTTATCTCTGTCAACAAATGTATAATCTCATGATTTCATTAAAACAACAGTGATGAAACCGGTTAATTGTTTAGGTTAGATGTAATAACAAGACCATACAACCATAAATATATAGCCTTTTTCTAAATGAACCTATGGCTGTTTGAATGTTGGTTTATGAAGAAAAATCCAAATGAATAATCTGTGTCAATTTTGAAGAGATCGAGATATTATATAGTTTACCCTGTTGTGTATATTACACCTTAGTCCAGTTGAACTCCAAATCTACGAGTTCCCGACTAGCTTCGTATATCTTCGAATAAACCTATTGTTAAATTGACCACTGCCGACCACAGGATACCAGTGATCCAGATGCAAAGTTCTGTGAGATAACTCGTTAAAGATTAAGTTAAATTTGAAACTGACAGAAAAATGTTAAACATATATCCTATTCAAATGATAAACGTATAATATATTATACAAGCTTTCGGTTAAATGTCCGAGCGTACACGAAATAAGACTAAAGTACAGAGAAAAGTTGAAAAATGGTTTATATAGCTTGACTACTGTCTACAGTTCAATACAATGTTTAAAAATTAAAAAAAGAAGCCACTATAACATCACTGTTCGACTTTAGCTGAGACAACCATCGAAAACGATAAAGCACTAGGGAGTTGTTTCATTCTTCTTAGTTTCGAATGGCTGTCTTGCTAAAATTAATAAAAAAATAACCAGTATAAGGCGAATCGTGAGTCGAAATGAACTTCGATTGTATCTATTTTTAATTCTAATTTTTGTACATACTGTCGTTGACCAAACTCCTCATACATGTCTCTTTACATTAAAGGTTCAAAACGCTGATTTATCTCGTCCCTGAAGCTACTTTAGAAGTCTAAATATATCGAATAATTGGTTTCATACATACATACTTCGTAATTGTACGACCAAACCAATTTGTCTGTCTTCTGTTTCAGAAAAAATTGTAGGTAGATAGAACGCATACATTACATTTATGAAACATAATGATCCATACTGATTCCTAACCTCATAGTTTGACTGACCCTAGTTACATAATCCTCCAGACATTATGTCAAAATCATGAATACCATCTCTCCGCTAAGAACTGACTATGTAGTGAACGAAGACTCACGTACGGTAAACCAGTTTATTCTTTCATGCAAAATTACACAGTGCCTCTGTAAAATATGAAAATCGTACATTAAAGACATCATTTACACATTATTCAGTTGCCTTCTACATACTCCATCATTCTTTTAATTCTGATGTCATTCCGGTTGCTCCCAGTTTTCCTTTCTATTCTTTTCATTTCAATCTCCTGCTGCTAAGCATTCTATTTCTTATCCCCTCTACAAAACACTTATATCTGTTTACATGAAAAGCGCACACCACAACTGAGTAACCATATTTTTACATAATCAGTGATTAGAAAAAGCCTACTGCTTTCTATCTCTTCATATTTTATAGATTACATCTTGTTTCTTTATCACAACATAAATTCCAGTTATAACCCCGTGAGTACTGACAAGTACATAAATTTAAGATTAAAACAGTACATGGGATATTTAACATGTAAAGTGGATCTAATCTAGGCTCTATTGAACTAAATGTATAAGGTTGATTGCTTATTGAGCTTTTTCGTAATCAGCTACGGTAATCCAGTTTATCCTCGTTTTGTCTGTTTGTTTCAATGATTATTCGTTGGAAACCAGTTCATAAACTCACTGAAACAACGATAACTAACAGTCGAGACTCGTTCTTAATGACGAATCTGTCAAAACTGTTAACACTTCCTCTGGTTTGTTATATTTTCTGATGTGTACACCTAAACAATTGATTTTTACCAGTAAAATAATTTTTATGAATATTGAAATTACTATAACTTTTTCGACTAGAACCGTTTAGATTGGTTGCCAAATACTTGGGAGACAACCCAGACGGGCTATCGGAAATCTCATTTACTGCAATCATCAAGACCTTATTTAAATAAAATTAGTAAACAAAATGAACAAACATTAACATCACTTGAATTAGGACAAGAAGCAGCTACCACAAAGTTACCACCAATGAAAAGGGATTCAATTACCATAGAGACAACAATAGGTGATGATGAAGAAGAAGCAGAGCAAGACGATGTTTCAATTCTAATTGATCAGGAAAACATCTTGCCAGAAGAAATATCACAGTCTATCCAATTTACAGAAAATATCTCATCAGTTGGTGATTATAATGTGACAGTAATGAATAAACCAAATATGGTATCTGAAAAGACAGAATGTCCCAATCCAGGTGAAAATTGACTGTTTATGGTTTTGTGCTTACTTTCGGTATTTATTAACAAATATTGTTGAGAACCGGCTCTGGTTTGGGTCTACAATGCAATTTTATGTTGCATAATCCAGAACTTCCGATTCCTATTAATAGAATATATGTTGACTTGCTGACTATAATAGACAGAAAGTATTGTTTCGGATTAATAGGAATTAAGATCTCTGGTCATCCTATGATGTCAGTAGTGTTATTTGGTAATTAAAATGTTATTAACTTTTCCATTAAATTGGAACGTGTAATTAGTGAACTTGATATCCTTGTGGTCCTGTTGGGTGGACATATTTTAAAGGATGAAGTTCATAACACTTGAGCACTGTTATTCATGAACTAAAAAGCTCAACTACAACAACAGACAACATGAGGAGCGTTAGTTCAACTAGGACTACAAATACACTTTACAAACGAATAACAACTATCACGAAATTCAAATCAAGCTATTCTTGACAACTGATTCCAAACATCAGAACTTATTTTTTGAACTTGGTTGCATTTGTTTGATTTAGTTCAGTCAGCACTAAGGATTAGAGATGACATCAGTTAATAGTTGATGATCAGTGTTACTAATATTTGTCGGATGGTCCAATAAATTGCTATATTATTCCCCGTCAAATAATTCTAGAGAAAACAATTTCATTTATTTGAATACAATGAAGTGAAGGCCTATGAACAGCTAATTGCTACTTTTTTAAAGATTATCACTAATTGATTTAAAAACATTTGTAAATCCGGTCTCACATACAAATGTAGTGTGATTATGCGGCACAATCTATTGACCAATCACTTGATTAGTCTTCACTAAGGTAAGGCGTGCTTTGATCAACTCGTGTAATGAACGCACCGCACTGAGATTTAAGTGGTACTTAAATTTTTAGTAGAAATTTGTATTTCTGACGTTGCGTGACTTAATGTAAGCCAATTCTTCAGTTTAAAGCAATAAATAATAGAAATAATATTAACATAAGCTTAAATACTTCAAAGGAAACAAAGTAGAATATTTTTAGTACAACCAAAATCATAATGAGTTTGAACATGTCGATGTCATGTTATTTTTCGTCAAAGTGATTTTATATGAAACATAACTCTGTGTATTTCTGCATATTATGGTAGAAATAAAAAAACCTACAGTTTGCGTATGTGTGTGTAGATTGTGCGTAAGACGAATGGAGTCACATGTGGTTGTTTGAAGAAACGTTCCAGGTTGGAAGAATAGTCAGTGCTTTTTGTATTGAAGGTAGGGGAATTCAGCATTATGTGAGACGTTTTGGCTGGTCGCTTCTCTTTATAGTTATATTTTTAATATTAATTTGATGGTTACTGAAAATAGCATCTACTGTTATTGCAGATTTACTTTGTAGATTTTCCGGCTCTACAGAATCATTAGGTCTTTATGTTTAATGATCTCGTTAGCTCTTCGGAAAAGAGTCAGGACAATTTTCGCACAGTTTCTAGAGTTAAAATTACTGTACCGATTTGAATGTGTCCGTTTTCAGTTTATGGTTTGATTAAGATTTCCATTAGAATTTGTTTTAAAAAAATAGTCTAAGATGTTGTTCGTCTTCCTTTTTGCAAGTGAATTCGATGTTATTTGAGAAACTGTAAATCACCCTAACGAAATATCTAAGCGAATTTTTTTAATGGTAACAAATCTGTCATCTGCATATCTGAATCAGATGCGTGGTCTGGTGGTACTAGCAAAAATAAGCGACTAAATATAGTACATAAATAAATTAGCAACACCTAGCGAAACGTGATATTCCATGGCTACTCCATTCGTTTGTGTATACAAAGTCCCTTTAAAGGTGAACAATGTTGATTTCGTGACTGAAGTAATGCTTAATTGATATCTCCTATACAGAGTATTATCATCCTACATCAAGGCATGAATAAGGCCTAGACATCTGTCATTTGGAAAATTATTGTATGAAGATGCCACATCAAAGCGTACCATTGTTTTATTCCCTTTGATAAATAATCCCAAGATCTTTGACTTAAATTCATATGAATTTTGTACAACATCATTTAGGTTATGTTGAAGTGGCTTCAGTATACTGCCTAGATATTTAGATAAAGCATATTTTGGGGTATTCATGTTAACTATATGTGAATCAAAGTTCTGACTTACAGCTGAGTTCTAAGTTTGGATAAAATAACTATCTTAAGTTTCTGATTCTTTGTATGTTTCTTGGTCGTTTTAGTACACATTTGAAAGAAAAATAACTCGATCCAATTTCAGATTATTTTATAAATAATACGTTAATACTTCTATTTATTTTCATAATTAATTTTCGTTCCAATTTCCAGTTGAATGCCCATATGAGTCTACATCAAAAAGTCAACTGATTCCTTCACAATATCCTAATCCACAAACACCATCATGTGATCCTTTGCTGTTAGATCGTATTCCAGAACAAATTTCAATAGATATGAACACAGAGACTAATGAAAAAGTGAATGTAAGTGTTCTTAGTATTTTTTTACATTCACAATTCCAACAAAAATACATATTTATCAGTTGTATATATAAACTGAAAAATATTATAGTACAAAATTCCCCTAAAATATTTGTGACCTTACAAAAACTTGGCAAAACTCACTATCTGATAGGATTTGTCAATATAAATTGACAAAACATTAATAATCACTGACAGAGCGAACACCTTACAGTTTTTTAATCTTATGTTAAGGCTACTCAATATGCCTTATCCATAAATGATAAGTTTAAAATAAACTTGAAATAAAAAATTAACCGACCTGTCAAAATAATCATGAACGAGAAAGATGTTTTTTTCAAAAATCTGGAGTCATTCGTACGATGTTTCAACTGTCATAAGTACAAGCCTTAGGTTTAGAATTTTCTATCGATTCCCAAAACCCACCTAGAATAAAATAGATACTGAAGAATAGTCTTGATTGAAGCTATTTTACTCAAATCATAAAGCAATACTGTATTATCTGCTTATGAAAGATACATTAAGATTTAATTTTTCTTTTCCAGTGTTCACTTTACACAATATTTCTAATTTTTTGCCAAATTCATCCATTTAGAATATCTTTTTCTTAAATTTCTTAGAATACGGCACATGTCCTAATTGAAAAACCAACCTTACTAGAAGATCCTTGCTGGTCCACTGTTCGCATTTCAGGTGGAGTGGATGAAGATGATGATAATTCATGTGATCCAACAGCTGGAGTACTGCGTACACTACTTCCACAGCTTAACTTACCGGCGAACTTACCAGCTATGATTCATCAACCTGTAGCTTGTTTTACTGTTAAGGATCCAAATTTACTTGCTCCACCAGAGTTTATGACTCCACGTATGTTTTACAAATGCTTATTTGATATAACCTACGATTGTGTATTTTATCATGCACCAATATGAGATTGAATTCAATATCCACAAGTGCTATTGTTCTATTGTTAATCATTAAACCATCGAGCTGTTTGATGATATTGCTAACCTCACTTTGAAGACAGTATTCATCATGGCTTGATATCAGCTAGAGAACCACTGACAAACATGTAGCACTTGTCAGCTGTTTTTATTGTTTAAATGTAAGCATTAATAATAACATACATAATCAGTCAAATATAAAACCTTCAGATTTTGTGGCAACATCGATGCTTTAAGAAAATATGATCACCTACAATTAATTAACGATACAGTACAACGGTCTTTCAACGTTTTTGACGTCGACTGTCCCATTCCCTATATATCTGAACACCATAAATCACCTTTTCAAGCTAGAACTTTAGGAGTTTATCATGTTAATTGGTTACAGAAACTAAGGTGATAGTTAGAGGTAATCGACCGTAAACCTACATCCTAAGTATAGTGTTGTTTTGCTTTCTTCAGCATGATCTACTTGTAATTTCAAAGAAACTGATACTTCATAGCTCATTCAACTTAGTGTCACCCAGCTTCGTAGTCAGAGACCCTGCCAATTAGTGGAGACTGACCGCCTGTAGAATAGATATAAATTTACAGTTTACTTATCACTGCGTAGTGACTAATGTCATGTATGTCAATTCCCTCGTATTTATAATCAAACTTCATAGATCAAGTTGCAATTTTACCACTAGTCTAAGTGACTTGATATCACATACTCTGTGTACAGATATAAACTGGGCGTTGATAGAATTTGATCAGCGCTAAGAATGACTTCACATACATGAAGCTAATCACTGGTCAGTGGTCAATCAGTTCTAGATACCAGAACTGGATGGTTAGAATCTATTTTCAGACTGAATAAGGCTTCGTATTGGTTAGAGAAGTATTCCATTTTTTTCAATTTCATAACTTCGAATAGCTCCATGAAAATTACTACACATTATTCTCTCTGTTAATGATTTTTGAATCTATGTTATTTACGATACGGACTAGTATCAACTAGACTACCAGTGAAAACCGAAAAGCTTTGGACATCCGTTTCGTTCTAGTTTGGGATTCCCCAGTAGTGCACATCCAGGACTTCGGACTCGGGACCTTCAGTACTTGGGCAAGCGCTTAACCTCTAAACCATCGAGTCGTCACCCAGCTGTATACAAGTCTAATTTCAGTTACTACGCGTTATTAATTGACCGTCTGTTATTGAGTTATCAACTTGTTGCAAATAATTTATCGATTTCAAATACATCAGTCTTGAGTTCTGTTAAAGTACTAATATAAATGGTTTTCTCTTTTCCCCTTCGTTTAAATTGAATTCTTTCTGTTAGTTTCATACGATTTTTTCCCATCTTTTAATAGATAGTTCTAGTTTTCCTCGTAGATCATCGGATGGTGCCGCTGATCTACAGCCACTTCATCGACCAGTAATCACAGTGGGGGGAAGTTATCCGGAACAAGCGAATTACCGTAAAGAGGTACTTATACTGAATCATTTTTGTTTTTTGTTATTTTAAAGTTTTTGTTATATTTAAACACTTTACTCCTCATTGTTCACAATATCGACAAGTTACTGTTTTAAGTACGGAAGATTTGTGGAGATTGTAGTATTATCACAGTTGAACTCACTAGTCAATCTAAGCTAGACAACCATTGAGAACCTGGAAGCACTGAACGGCCCTTTCTTCTTAGTATGGAACCACTATAAGTTAAGGGTCCGTGCACAAGACCGAAGGTGCTAGATCGTAGATGCGTGCTTTTGAGTATTCTCATACTAGAATGAAATAGCTGTCCAGCGCTTTCAGGCCTTTAATGATGATCTATCTTGGATCCACTCTTGGTTTTAATTCTGTAAAAATAGATACTGTTTGTCTAAACTAAATTGTAACCAAGTACTGATAAATCATTTAAACTTTATCCTTAAAATGGAATAACAGTTCTACATGCTTCATTTTAAACAATCTACACCACACTGCAAATCGAGTTGAAAATGTAAATCACTGGATTTCATATCATTTGTCTATGAGTTTAGTGCTCATAAGGAGATATAAACATGTTAATCGCCTACTTAAATCAAACTGTAGGTCAAATGGATTTTTGAAAACCTTTATAGGGATAAACATGACTAAAGTAGGATGAAAGAATTACTAATAGCATAATTGATGGTCTAAATTAATTTTTAATCAGGGATATCATTCGATTGAAACGAATTATTCTTAATAATAGTTTATAACTGGTTAGGGGAACAAATCCTCGTTTCTTTATACTACTTCTGTTAATTTAATTCAGTCATTTACCTAGTTAATTTGAAAAAGTGACTTAAATTAAGTGATGAAACGCCATGAAATTTAGATTTGTACTTATTGGGATATTAAAAATATAATGTTGAAGTTAATATTGTGGCTTTGTCCAGGTGAAATCAACTCGATCTTGCGATTGTTTCATAAGATATATTGCACAGTAGTGACACAATTGTTTTTTACATTGTAAATACCTGTTATACTATTTGACTAGATACATTTCTGCAAGTTAAACTAGATTCGAATGAGCAATTTCTATTGTATAGATTCAAATTATAAGCAAATACTTTTTAGGGTCTAGTTAGTCTTCGCATGTTGAGTCAGTGATAATTTTCATCGTTTTTTGTGCATTGCAATGCTATTAAGTCAACAGAATAAAAATGCAGTGTCTATAGTGTATTTTTATGATCCGATATGTGCTTAGGATTCTGGTGCTGAGAGTGAAAATTCATCTTTGTCTGTAATCAATACTGTTCATAATTCAAAACCAAATTCCATAGAAGGAACCACATCATCTGTGAAGAATTCCGATTGGATTCAAACATCTCGACCAAAACACGACAATTTTGAAAATTCAAAACCGTTATCCTCTTCATCTAGTGATCAGCCGCAACAAACCTGTCAACAACAGCAACTCCCGGAATCTCGTTCTCGAACATTGGCCGCTCAACAACGTTCATTATTCTCTGCTTTACATTCTCAAAAAAGACGTCTTCCTTTAGGATTATGGTGGAAACTTACACATAAAAAATTTAATCAACCTGGTGAAAATTTAAAAAGTGAATTATGGGATGGACAATTTATTCGACATCAAAAACGTTTTAGTTTACCTGTAAATTGTGGACCAGTGAGACAATCATCAGGTAAATCTTCAAGAATTGTTTTTCACTCAATTAATTTATTAAATAATCTCACAAGGAAATTATTATTTCACTGATTCGACTAACATAGCAATGGAAAAGTAGTATAGTACTCGAGTTTTTTTTGTATGAAATGCAGGTTACTATTGACAACACCAGAAACTGAAAATGTAAGTTAGAATAACAATTACATACTACTTAAATGATTCAAGTAGCTTAATAGTCTCAGAAATTAAATTGACAATTATATCTGAAATGATATTGAATGTGAGCTGTCTACAGTATTTCATTATGGAGAAATTCAATATGAATTCGTTTATTCCCTTTTTTAAAATACGAACATCAGTTCAATAAATTGTCAATTTTACTAAACACTAATTATGCTACGTCAATTTTAGGCACCATCAAAACTGAACTACAATGTAGGTGTCATCAACCATTAACTTCCGAATTATTACAAGAAATTGAACAAAAATTACATGATACTTCATGGATTCAAAAAATTCCAGCTTCTGAAATTTCAAACATGCAATGTATAACTAATGAAAATAAATTTAATATAGAAGAGATACCAGAAATTTATCGTCGTGGAAGTGAAGCTAGTCAAATGTCAGCATGGGAGCAACGTTTAAGACAAGTAGGTTACTTTTACATAGAAATTTGTTATTCAAACAGTATGTTTAAGTTTTTACAATCATTACTATATATACAACATTTTGAAGACCAAACATCTTACATAGATCTACTCATTAAACAGATCACTTAGCAGTTATGTACTTAATTCAACCAATGGATTAAGTTTGATATTTTTTGAATTTGTTTAAATAAATACCTTATCTACAACTTTCAAAAAGATTGAAAGTCTTGAATTTTAACAATGTTCATCATCCACTAACATGTGTTACCAAATGTTTTTTTTAATGTAATTCCAATTTGTATTGCCTCCATTGTGTACATCAAGTCAAATGAAAAATCTATTTAAAAACTCATGAACAATAATTTTACGAAAGATAACACGAATTCATTGTATTTAGTTAAGTTCTCATGAATTCATGTTATTCTGCTTAAGTTAATAAAATGAATTATGCGCACATGAAAATATCAAACACAGTTTATTCACTAAGGGCTTTTATTTTTCAAACAATATTTTCCATCGGAGAACGACACCATTTAAATAACTCATGAAAATACCTCAATTTTTTTCTCTGATTTCTAATTTAATTCTTGACCGAAACTATGAGTCTTCAGCTTTGATAACGATTCCGCGTAAACTGATCAAAATTATATTATTCATGTTGTTTTTATTTTATCATTGAAACTAAAGTTGTACAACACTGATACACCTTTTAAAACCGTTTTCATTCATTACAAAACAAATTATTTTACTGTAGTGTCTTGTAGTGCTTACTTTATATATTTTAAAGAATAATAACAACATAAAATGACATTGTAAATCAAACAGGTTTAGAAAATGTGAATTATTTGATTTTGGTTCCGTGGATTAAGCACATCGCGATCTTCAAGATACTGTCTTGATTTTTACTTCGACCCTATATTAATGGTATTAAACGTATTTATAAGAGAAAATAGTCCATGTCCAATATCTACATCAAATAGTGGTTGCATCTACATTTCCTTTCTTGTGTTGCTTCACTTAACTGATTTAAATAAACTAAATCAACTAAGATACGTTATTCATTTAACTTATATAGATCGTTGTGTGCTAACTGTGGTAGGTGATATATAATCATATGAATTTTAAGGATAATACATGAAAATTGTTCTTTACTTATTCACTATAATTTTCAAAATCAATATAATAATATATATTTTAAACTATACTCTTTAGTATAATGACCTATATGATCCTGGTGCACATGCTCAAGTGACATCTAGTTTTCATCAAGCAGTTCCTGAAATAGAAGCAGATGAAGACGAAGACGAGAAATTAGTTTCAAATTATCCATTCTTCACTTCTCCATATACTAACGATACATCTGTTCCAAATACAAGATTAATAACAACTAAATGTCAAGATATCAGTTCATATAATGAAACAATCGATACAGTAAAATCAAGAACAAATACAAGTACTCCTCAATTTGTACAATATAAAACACAACAATATTTATCAAGTTCCGTCATAGACGATAATCCATCAAACCCTATTTCAAATAAACCGTACAATTCACACATAAGTGCTCCAAATGTTTCCCCAATTAGTCAATCAGGTATTGAATTGACTGATTTGAAAACTGAGCTACATAATGTAAGTAAACGGTTTCTAGTTGTAATCTATGATGAGAAAAATGTCTCATTGCGAAGAACTATAATGCTTACTTCTCACTTTCCTCATTTTTCTTATCCATTTGTCTATATGACAAGATGATTCACTTAGCTATAATTGAATTCATTTTGTAAGTCTGAAGCTGAACTTTTGAATGTGTTCTCTTGAGAAGCTGATTTCCTACTAACTTTCATAACGTAATTTGTTAAGTCTCAGTTTCATTGATCATCCAGTGAATAAGTTGTAGATCTTCATACATAATAATGTTTAAATTTTTATATGAAAAGTATTTTATATAATAAAGTTCTGTGTAGACTAATATTACAAAAGAAAGTAGTAAGAACTGTATGTGTAAAATTGTCATTATATAACTCAATTTATTGATAACAATGTTTTTCTGTACAAATGAATGAACATTTACTAATTTTCAAACCTAATAACTCATAATTTCAACTATTTATTATTTACTTTTCAATAGCTTGAAGCAGAAAGAAGTGCTGGACATTCATCTTTTACTGGTGGTATACTGGTATCCTCTATAGAATCATCACGATCGGTAGATGATAATAAAATTCATAAGTCAAATGAATCCACCCATCTACCAGAATTCATATTATCTTCTGAAACATCAAATATACCTTCGTTTTTATCTGATTGTGCCATTAATATGCAACAATCCGCAATACCGATTAAATATACACTTATACCAAATGAACAATCTCCGTCTACTTCTTCTTATACACATCGGTCTAGTAGTGACTTCGATAATAAAACACATCGTCGGGCATCATCTGTCATTGATAATCCGGTAACATTAAACTATTTAATTCCCCCTAACAGAGATATCTGTGAAACTTCAAGGGATAACATTCGTAGGCATAGACATTCTGTTAGCGAAATGGTTGATAATAAACAAAATTATAAATTTAATTATGAATTTTGTTCCGGTGTAGGCTCCGATGTATTTAATGTTAGTTCAGAGTAAGTTATACAAAATTCTTGAAACTAACCTTTGCGAATTTTTTTTCGATTTTTATTAAAATTCACATTTCATTAATGAAGGATGCATTTTAATATTAAAATAAATTTTCATTGTTTAGTTGGTTAATTTTATTCGTTGATCATGTTTATCTCCTTTAAAACATTCTCCTGATTATCTATATTAGTTCCTTATACTGCGGTGTATGTTAGCAGATAGAAGTAGTATGTAGCACTAATAGGAAGTGAAATGCTTACCAGCAGAAGCTTAGAAAGATTGAACCGAAGAAAATGGGAAGTGACGCGAAATCAATTGCAATAACAAGAGAATTAAAAGAATCATGAAGTATGTAAAAGAAAACTGAAGAAAGATCTGCTAATTATGTATTTAATGTACGGTTTTCATAGTTTACGTTAAACAGTAGATTGGTCTTCCCCACTTAAGTTCTCGTTCACTAAAATACTACGAAGTCTAACTGTTACACAAGTTAACATCAAATAGTCTTTTATTAACATAATTATTCGTACAAATAATATTTATGATAATGTTACATTCTCTAAAATGGATGGTTAGTTGTTATCCTTTTGTTATTATTCGACATTTATGTGTCGAACCCATCTTGAATGAAGACTTTTATAATGAAAAATTATAAGCAGCTGAAGTGAATCCATGAAATAGATGAATTCATTTGTTATTTGCTATGGTTACTGCTCTTAGTTTTATTCATATTTGTAAATGGAAATAATTGTATAAGTTACAAGTTTGTGGTCTACTTCACTTCTCGTCAATCTGAACTATATTACTCTTCATATGGAAAACGTGCGGCCTAATGCTAAGTACAGAAATGGATATTTAGTGACTCAGTTGCAATGAGCAGTATTGATAAACTTTATCTATTCACTACATCAGTTTCCATCACGAAAAGGTACTTGACGTTAACTCAATTTATAGATACATTTTCAATTTCTTACTTAATTTTTCAACATTCATTCTAATTAATCAAATCTATCATTGGAAAATGTAACGTTAATTTCTACTCACCGATCAATCAAGATTTATGAGTGGATTTGTACAAAGGTGAAATTTATAAACCGTCAAAAAGACAAAATAACTATCTTATCTAACTTTGTTTCAGCTCAAATAATCACACTTAGATACAATCCGGAAAAAACTAAGCTAAATAGTAAACTACAAAGCTAGACAGAAATAGTCGAAAAGGATGAATATATAGTAAGAACTAATCATACAATCAATATTCGCACAACATTATCAGATAAATACATCTGATCGATATTGTTAATCCTAAGCTGACTCCTAGCATAAAGTTTTAAGATCGTATTTCACTTGAAACGCATTCCTTACGGTATCTACTTCAAACTACCAGTCGCTCTGTCTGGCTTAACTAGTGCTGTGTTTAGGTCTTGTCCGATTGACTATATGATCATCACTAACACTTAGTGAATCTAAGTCATTTTCATACGCTAAATATTTACTATATATACCCGATTTCGAATCCGTTAAGTAACATCGATTTTCTCAATATTACAAACACTCTTTGTCTGTAAAATGAACTCTAGTTCGTTTGTTTTATTTCTTTCTGATGAAATGTTTGTACTGGTTCTACAGTTTACTCATTTTCGTATGACCTTTTTTAAACATGATTACCATTATTTTAGATTGCATCAACCCACAATACATGTGGGTCTGAGTCCGGATTTGGAAAGTACCGAAGTTCAACTACATGATGAGATGAGCATAAAATCACTTTCTTCCTTTTCCATGGTTGAAACACCAGCTAACACCAATATGAATAATACAGGTATTGGTCAGCGCCTTTTCGAACGATTACATCCTGATCGACCAAACTATCTACATATATTACAACATTCAGGCGGATCATCAGATCGACGTTTGAGTCCTGATTTCCTAAGAAGTCCTCGTAAAAAAGTAAGTTTTTATGCATATAATTCCTTAATCTTAAATCAATATTTGTGAGAATGCTGACTACAGATTATCCGTTCAGTTTCAGTCTTATACAATCTAGCTAAACACATTGTTGAACACATTATCAGGAATATATTTTCTATTTATTAGTTCAGTTAGCTATATCGAAACACAACCTATGGTGGTTTCTATTTCTGCTCATTCAGCCGTAACGGTAGACGTTTGTTCACTTTCTAGAATGAATTTTTAAAGTAAATGACTCCATGTAAGTAGTCAACTTTGTTTGAAATAACCCTAGCTACTCATTTGTCATTACTATAAGCTAACTGAATAAGTCTGTTAACAGTCAGTTCTACTGTTACGGAGACTAAATTTATGAAACAATACTTAGATGGAAAATTATTATGAATAGAGAGTTGTATAAGGTAAACTATTTCATCTACAACTCAGTAAAACATACTGTTTTTATCCAGCATATTGCTTGGATAGAAGTTTAATTACTTTTTAAGCTACTAATAACGTGTGAGTAATAGCGGTTCATGATATTCTTTTTACTCAATTCAGATATTATTTGTTGGTTATTTGTTCGATGTGATTTAACAATTAAAACCCACTTTTAAAGTAAATTTAAATACACTGAAAATGAATGTTTACGTTTAAATCTGTGAGATTGATTACGAGATTTTCTGGTTTTATTTTATCATTACTATTAAAAGATCTATCAAGAATGGTTACCTAAGTTAACAGAATTATCACACAAAGCATTTGATGTTGCTCGCGATAAGATGAATAAGGTCAGAGCCACAACTAATTCACAGTCATTAGTTTATAATCTAGTCCATTCAGATATACTTCATTCATCAACACATTGTTATACAGTCAATAAAACAAACTCAATGCATAAAGATGAACGTAATAATGAATGTTGTTTGAGTGATATAATTAATAAATCACAGGTTGGTCAGAATTCCAGTACTACTGGTGTTATTTTACATGAGAAAGATGACAAAGTTAATCCTGTAGATGTTGATCCAGATCCAGAGTTGGATCCAGATATCGATGAGGAAGAAGATGATGAAAAAGACTGTGCTTTAGCTCCACTACAAACTCATAAAATTAACGCAAACAACCCATCGACTCATCATTCATCTCGACAGAGACATAGGATAATGAATCAAAATATTGGACAAAATTTAACCTATCCACAACAGGTAATGCCTTTCTTTCATGGTAATTTACTTAACCCAACTGTTATTCAACAACAGAATCAGAATACATTAATTTCTCAGTTACCTAGTGGTACTACTGGAATTAATACTTATGGTCTTCAAGATTTAGTCGATTTCTCAAATCCACAAGCTTTGCCTGCAGCGGCAGCTGCCGCTTCATTATTACTTTTCCGTTCGAGTGATGATGATGAAGATTTAGCTGCTATTGATCGTGTTAATCAACGTTTAGCTTTAAGTAGATTAACTGGGAATTTCACAGATACAAATCAATTAATAAATGATTATCCTAATCTGCTTGGCCCAACACCTCCCCATCAAACATTAACACCTCAACCGCAATCATTGTTACCACCAACAATACAACCAATTAGATCTTTACCTATAACACAATCAACCCTTCAAACACAATTTCCACATTCCACAACAATAAATGAAGCTTTAGTAAATAGACGAAACAATGTGCTGCATCATGATTCACATAACTATTCCCAATCTTCAACAATTTCAACTAATCCTCATACAATTACAGATATTGATGATATCAATGCACCAATCAATTCACAAGCGCCCAGAAGTTATGAAACTGAATCAAACTATGATCAAAAATGATTATGCTTATTGATGTATGATGCATAGTGAGATAATAAGATTAATGATATATCATATAGAACACTTATTTTTTACTCCTTTAAATATAACATTGTTTGTCTTTCTTAGTGATTATCAGTTGTTTTTTTTCTTGTCATAATACTTGACAACTAAAAATGTTTATGAAGTCATCTTTTGTTTTTCATTGCTCGTTTATAAATATCTTAAAAAGAAAAAGAAAACACAATTAGTTCAGTCATTTTATTGTAATATATTTGCAGCATTGGACATATTCAAATTAGTTAATGTATTTGCCTGCATTTCATTTGATGTTTGCTTGTATCGACTATGGGTCTATATAGTCCCATGAATGTGATAAATCAATCATCATTGTTAAAATTATTCTCAACATTATATACATAGTACATGTATACCGTATACCTGATCATATTTTTTTTTAAATAAACAGAGTAATATCGAAATAATTTTATGATTTTTATGCTTTTTAACTCATTCACTTTATATTTTTATCATTAATATTCAAATCAAGTATTTTTGTGATTATGTAATTGCTGGTGACACCAGCCTTCATACCCATAACAGCACACGTGACCAAGTTGGTCACATTCAAATCCTTCCTACACCTCTTACTAACTTCTAGTTTTGTTTTCATCAAAAGAGAATACTAAAATACTATGTACTTAGTTGTTATTTTTTTTCTTTTTAATAATTGAACCTTGATTTTCCATTGTAAATTTATAATTCAAATGGTATTATGTTTAAATATTGAATGTAAACAGTTCGTTTGTTTGTTTTTATCTTTTGGTGGAGAGTTTTTTATAACATGAAGGCGTAGTGATCAAATTATAGATTATTATCAACTGAATTATGATTGAAAATCAAGGGTACTTTGTTCCAGTATGAATGTGGTATTCTTTATTGTTTTTATTGTTACCAATCGAAATCAGTTCAGAACTATTACCTTTAAATTATGTTATATATATATATATATAACATATATATATATATATATATATATATATATATATATATATATATACTTATCAATATCATCTAGTGTATTTGATTGTACTTTTAAAACTTCAAAATTAAAAACAAACTAGTGGAATTCTTTGAATAATTTAATTCTACATGATTGCCGTATGTCTTTCATGATCTCTATGTCATGATTAAACATTAAATGATTGAACTAATTCATAAATGACTTATCTATATATTCATGAATATGGTGTACTATGTCAGTAAATAATAAACTGAAAACAAGTTTAAATAATAACAGTAAAAAGTATACAAAATATATATATATTAAAAGATTTCATATACACAACATCGACGTGAATGTGGCTTTCATTGGCACATAGAATATATAGAACGATAAAGGAAATAATTTGAAACATGATATTACAAAGAAAGAACATAATTTTACTAAATATCATTACATCTGTTTAACATAAAGAATAGTTTTTACATAAGACTACATTTCATCACATTTCCTATGGATATAAGCTCATTATATATTCAGTAATATCCTGATTCATTTCTATCAATAAGAGTAAGTTCTCTATCCGATATTGTATCACATTGAAAATGAATAACTGATTGATAGAAGAAAATTCAAATAACTAATGAATAGAAGAAGAAAAAGAAAAACAGATATAACACAATTTCATTTATTCTGTTCTAAAACGATAAGCATTTGCCCAAATATCAGATAAACAAACTGTGGAATGAAAACGAAAAAATACAATTAAAGGTAATGCTATATGTGTAATAATTTTCCATGCCATAGATGAATAATAATTTATATGTATACTATGATTATCTGCGTGTTTCACTTCGAATGTATTCACAAACCACATAGCTAAATTCAATACTAATAAAAATGTAATCATTGTACGTCCTGGTTTTTTTTGTACATGTTCTAATGTTCCAGCGCATCGTCGAGATGCTTCCAAAATGAAAAACACCTAAAATTGAATGAAAAAAAGTGTTAATTACCATGTTTCATTAGGATGAAACGGTATTTTATAAACCAACGACTTACTATAGTCATTGTTGGACTAAAAAAATTGGCTTTATTCCAAAGTTATCCTCGAGAAACTACATCTTGAAATAAAATATTTTAATAAATATCGTTTTTATGTTGAAGTAAACTGGAATTACGTTTCCTAATTGACTAGATAAACTATTTATAAAAAGAGATTTTGGTCAAACCACCTTATCTTAGACTGATAAGGATATTTGACGCCGTGAGCTATTTATTCTTTCCATAATTGATATCAAAGTTCATCATTTCCGGTTTGCTACATATTAATGTGGTGGCATCTAGGTTGTCTGTTTGTTCCTTCTTGTTATAAAAACTTGTGGCCTGTGTCCCCTGTTAATTTATAACGTAGCGATACGGCCAATTAGAGAACAGTGAATTATCGATCACACCAATGACACATAAAACCCGTGCGAGCAGTTTAGAGCCCTTATCGTTCCTGCTTACTGCCTAGCCCAGCCAGTTAAGTTCAGAACACTAATCTCAGCCTCTGTGATATGAATCGTTTATTTCAAACATGCTGGGTTTATATACCAACCAGACAGATCACATCGTATCATCAAAATAGGAAACAAAATTTGCACAAGGTTTGGTCAAATGTGGCTGTGAATGTGGGAGGTAGTAATTAATAGACAGGGAATAATCCAAGAATAGTAAATCGTATAATAATAGTTCATAGGTCAAAATAAAGCTCATAATAAGAGGTATATGAGTGTGAATAGTTTAGTTATTTAACAATTATACGATAAAAATGTACGCATATTATAGGTTCATAATTCACTTTGGGAAAAATGTAATTTTAATTGTTTCCTCGATACGATCTCACAACCAACTTTGGCCACAGAATAACGGTTGTTCTAGTTCATATGATTCTTATAGATAAATTCAGACACCGATATTGTACAACATTCTTAGTTCATATTTGTACACAATTTAGCAAATAAATGATTGGTTTACAAAATCATATAATCTACCAAGATTGTATGGTTAGTTAAATTCCAATTTGGTTGAGCTTTAGTGAAGTAACTCTGTCACTCACTAAATCACCACTTATTTATAAACTGTGAATACACATAAACCTTTAATGTGAGTATTCAACACCCATAGATTGCCACACAGTTTACCTTCTTCGTGACTTAAACGAAAGTATAATTGATTCAAGCTGTAGATTATATCCAAAAACACAAAAAGGGTTTATTAATATTACTACCATCAATACAATTTATTTGAAGAATACAAAATCAAAAAACGCTTACTTGTAGCATAGACTGAATCATTTCCATGATAGCTTTAGCCGCATATAATTTGGCTGCAATTACACCATTCGGTATAGCTTCTAAAGCGGGCACTAATAGGAATAAATCATAGAATAACATCCCAACCAAACCAATCAATAATAAATTATCATCAAACGCTACTTCTTCGGACAGATCACTTAATTTCAATGCTTGTAAACGAAACAAACTAATTAAACATGTCACTGTACTAACAGATAATAGAACTAGTTCAGTTCCTTGATATAGTGTTATAGCTGTATTCCGTCGATCACGTTTCACAATAAATATAAAAAATAGACTCATTGCAACTAATGTTGCCATGAATATTAATAGGCCAACAAATAAACCTTTATGTGAACGATGACATTCAGAGAATTGACTTGTTTTGGGATTAGCTTTACGCAATTTTTCTAAGCGTTCCGATTCTTTACGTACATGTCCAACTTTTTCAAACATTTTATAAAATATTGCACCAGCTATTAAGCTATATTCAATTGCACATGGAAACAAATATGGAGCCAAATATTTGACTGTTATTCCACAACCTGAATATAAAATCAATACAAACGAAAATAGCGAAGGAAAAGTCTAAACGTTGAGAAGACATTATTAAACATTAGACGAATATCACAGAACAATATAGATATTTTGCACAACGGTATTCATATGTTAGATGCAAACAAATTGATTTCCCATATCATAGATCAAGTACCCCACTAATAGTGATCTACTTTTGCTCAGTAATGCATGTTTGATCCCCCATTTTCATTTACTGTATCTTTATTGACTGTAACGATATTTGTGCATGGATGATATAAATCATAATATTTAAATGGAAAAGGCTTACGACTAAGTTCACTAGATCCCAAATGCTATGACAAAACGAATAATATAATTATTCCAAGAATTATTTTCACAATTCGACCGCGTGAAAATGATGAGAATTGGGTTTTGGAGATTGTTGAATTTCACTGAAATCATGAACTGACCCAAGTTAGAGAACCATTGAAAATCAGAAAGCCCTGAACGATCTTTTCGTCCTAGTGTGAGACTCTTCAACAGATCGTTGCCAATGGAGCTAATCCATGTCAAGTTTGAGGCAGTTACTGACCAAAGAAGATGGTCGTGCATTACTTGACGTTAGATACCGAACACCGTTGGATGCCGGTTCAGTAGTCTCGAGGTTAAGCATTAGCGCGCGAGACCGAAGGTTCTGCATTTAATTTCGGTGTGCGGTGTCGTTGATATGTACTGCTGAGGTAACCGATACTATGGTAAAACGACCATCCAGCACTTCCAGGTTTCGATGATGGTCTAGCTTGGATATGTTTATGATTGCAACGACATGTGAAATAGCTATTACACAACCCAAGTATTTTTGAATTAATTACTGCAAGTGATTATTTCGGGTTGAACGGACCAATCTCTAAGGTCACACTGTTACAACTGTTTCCAGCTGGATGAGAAAGTTCTTTGAAATTCCATTAAAGTTTTCATATAAAATGTTTATGTGTATTATTTATCATCAAAATTTTAATTTTTTTTCCTTTTGTTTAAATTCGAAATAAGATTTATTTCAGTCTCTTTTGACATACGTAATCTACCAACATGTTTTCGATCAAACGTTTATCAAAACTTTGGCTTACAATCGAATCCTAGATGCTTGTTTCCTCCTATTTCGGAAACACCAAACGGAAGTTCATATACTCCAATGTTATCGTTTAAGTACCTATCACTTTAAATGTAAACACGATGTTTACTGTGTTACCAAGTTTAGACAATTATGGAATTCTCTAACGGGTAGGATATTCTTAATGAGCTGAAAAGCTTGCCGATATTCAGGTTTGAATCAGACTCGTTTCTGACGCTAGCTTTCACGATTCTATAGCTTATTGGTTAACTCATCAGTATTCGAAGTAATAGGCAGTAGACTTAAGTTTCAGTGCGAAAATCAATACTAAAATGTAAATATATCCACACATACCTAACACTGCTTGTTCAGCTGCATGAATAGTTGAGTTATCATAACTTGTATGGTGAGATTTTACATTAGCATTATGTTTTTTTCTATTTAATAAAACCATATTTGCTAAATTAGTCAAATTAAAAGTTGATAACTTTTCTCCATTTGTATAATCATACAAAGTTGTATTATTATGTGATATTTTTGCGTCTAAAAAATATTCCGATGGAAAAACTATAGTCGAATCCGATATTAACTCTTCATCATGTCCTGGTTCACTACCAATTTCATCGACGATTGTTTTTAACCATTGACATAAATTAGCCACAGCCAAATGACATAAAAGAAAACGTAAAACAAATTTTTGTACATTGAATACAACCTAATTAAAAGAATAAAGTGATAATGAATAAATGATTTGGAATAAAAATATATATATATTCAGAATGAATACCATGATAACATAGAATGAGGTAGCCAAATTAAATATGAATTTAAACAAAACAGTTTATAAGAAATGATGGATAGTGGCTAGCAGTGGAATCCATAACGCGCGTTTCGTCCTATTTGGGACTCGTCAGCTAGATGTACCTGCATCTCAGAGAGTTGATGTTCACTCTGGGACTCGAATTAAGGTAATATCGAGGCATACGCACAGTATGCACATATATCAATGACAGACTGATCAATTTCAGTTATAAAAAAACCTCAATGGGAACATACAAGCCAAACAATACCAAGTGAAAATAATTTATAATAGAAAAAACACTTCAACATTAGACGCTCCAGGATATCAATAAACAAAATCAATAATTTATTGATATAACGATAAATAAGAATGGAAATACAAAAGAGATTACTTATGCTTGATGTCTTGTATAATGAGTTATTGTCACCTAGCTAGATTTCAAGTATATTACATATACACTTCTGACAATTTTTACACAGAATTAGCTGTATGAATATTTTATCACAAACAATTTATTACTGTACCATTGTCTTTCTTAATGTTAGCTGGAATAATGTTCTGTAAAACAAAATGTTATTATTAACCTTATTCTATTCATACCAAGCATTATATTGGTTACAACTCAACAATTAATAAGTCTACATTTTTCAGTCATACTCAGCCTTATTCAAGACCTGTTCTAATAGTTGTTAACGTGTTTTACCATGACATTGAGAGATGAGGATCCAAACCATTGTGGTAAAATCAATTCACTCAAGAATAAGCATATCGATTCTATATTAGAAGGTCTTCGGGTGGAATTATAACTCGTCTCAATGACCATCCAAGATACACATAAAGGACTACTAATGATGGTCTAACTTGGATCGATTTTATGATTTCCATGAAATCCTGCAGAACTGGAAAATTTATGAATCAGTTTAGCAAGAACATTAATTGGTACTTTTAACAACCACCAAATTGATGTCAATAAAATCACAGTAGTTCAAAAAGGATTATCCAACTACAAGGGAAGACGAGTGGCTAAAGCTTTTTATGTTTTACCAAACACAACCGAGTTTGATAAAAGGGGAGATGTTGAGACGGCTTCCGAGAATTACGACGGACCCTACAGAGGCCCTGAAGAAGCCGAAGAGTTTCCATCCAATCACAGCGTGATGGAGCTTTCAAGAATATCACCGTTGCATGCTACTATTGAATAGTAGCATAACTTGCCTCTAAGGATTGGCTGAATTATAATGATGTCATAACAATCGCTATCTAAAATACCCATCATTTTCCGTACATTTTGGCTCTTATCCAGCTTTCTTCTGTCTTCTGATTTTGCGACTGTAGGGTTCTAT